TCAAATGACTCTGAACAAATTACACTAATTCCATACTTGAAGAAAAGAAGGAAGATGTTGAATAGTTACAGAGCAGCAGCAGCTGCATAAGAAGCACGGACTTGTTCTTGTAGTATTTCTGAGAAAAGCAGTTATCCGAAGAAACTGCTTCCTTGAGCCTACAGTGTTATTTGTGGACTGCTCTTCAGTTATCCTCATACAGCTTTCTTCCCAGAGGTAATGAATTCCATGGCTGGCGTGAAACTTCGGGGGCTAGCATCTTCCAAACTCTATCAACGCCGGCAAGATCGTCTGAGTGGCACAGGGTCACTATGGAATGATGGGAAAGACAGGGCAGCTGGGATATTTAGGTAGGTTATTTGGATAGCTGTTTTAGATTAATGGTCTCGGATTATTGGAATGTTTCCTTTGAAGCAGGAAGGAAGGCAAAACTAGACAGGCTGACACGACTGTGTTTCAGTTTCCACTCTTTGTTTGAAGAGGTATCTTTGGCTCTGGTGTTAACAGTTCTGAACAATAACAGGAAAACAACCATGGGAACTTTTGCCTCCTTGGTGATCCTGGGCAGGCTAACAATGTGGGAGTTGTAGGCACCACATAAACAAAAGCTAAGGCGCTGTGTAGTCTTCATAGTCTTGTGAAAGTTCAAACTTTTGTTGACACCTGGAACAAACCAATACCTTTGTACCACCCAAAATAAGTCTTTTCCATTGTAAATAGTTTTCTGTGTTATTTTCTTTATTTCTTTCCATCATATATTGAATTGTCATACTGAAAAAAGAATAGGGATTTGCCTTTCCCTTAAGATCTCTAAAGCAGGGCAAAGTTCAGCAAGCACAGTGTTTCCTGTCTTTGTGATATGTCCCCGTGGAATTTCGGTGGTATTCAAAATTCTTACAAGAAACAATACCCTTATCCCCTCTGGAACATGATCATATGCAGGATAAATTAAATAAACACGTTGATACCTACCATCATCTAGAAGAATCCTGCTCAATTAGGCTTTTAATTTTTTTGCCAAATAGTCGTCAACTCGTGTCTATTGCAGGGTTGCCATATTTCAAGTGAAATCCAGACAAACATTTGTTGAGCTTTTATTGGAAGAAGCAAAGTTGTTGAGCTTTTTTTTGGGGGGGGGCATTGTTTCGCATAACATAAAGCTATTTCTGTGCAGCTACAAGGGTTGACTGGATTGCATTTGGTCTGGTAGTAGAACCAGAAGCCTTTTCTTTTGTTCTAAGCAAATAATGTCAGGTCTGAATTGCACTAGGCTGTAGGCTCTGTGTCTTAATCTCTATTCCCATAGTAATCCATACACTAAAACGTTTCTGTTTTCATGACTCACTTACATCCCATATGAAAACGTGTGGTTTTGGTGCATGAGAGGGTACTGCTTTAGATGCAGGGGAATTAAAGGGGAAGATTCTACAATAGGAGACAGGTTCATTTACTGAGATACTTTGGAAGAATACTGAAATAATTCAGAAGGGGAAGAATTGTAGATAAAATGGAAAGTGTAGGGCAGTGCTTTTCAAATTGTTCCACTCTCTGAGAGGTGTTTGAGCATGTTGTAGAGAACAGGTGGCATCAGTTGGGTCTACCAATTCTGGCTGGCATCTCAGAACCCAGAATCCTCAGCCAACTAACTTACTTAAATCAGATGTGTTTATGTACATTAAAGGTGAATCAGAGACTTGGCTTCTGAGCTCTTGATTTGCTTCTCTCCTGAGACGTGAACTCTTACATCACAGCAGGTATGCAGAAGTGTTGTAAGTGCAAAAGGTTTTTCAACCAACATGGATAGATAGTGAGCAAGTATTTGTGAGGCAGAAACATCCCTCCCCCAATTTACCGTACTTGTCTGTATTGAAAGGTAGAGTTAAGAACAGCCCCTTCTGAATTCTCAGCTGTGCAAACAAGACTGATTGTTTAACACAATGGCAATGAAATACAGTCCGTATCTACAGGAAAAGGGGTGCCCCCACCCCAAGCATCTTCTGCTTAAGGAATTAAATATAACATTGGTATGTTTAAGGAATTAAATATAACATTCACCATGCCTTTATGCTACATTGCCAACTCATCTTTTACATGAGACAGAGATACTGTAATTCTTTTGTTAGAGTTCCTAAATATATCGGAGATCAAAATAAATTCTGGTTGTGGACTGCCTCTCTTGTGCCATCAAGCTCCCAGCTGAGTTGTCACAAGGACCTCCTGAGCAGCTGTGAATTTCAAGCACAGCAAAGCTCCAGGAGAATTAATAATAGTGATGTGTTTGGGTGTGAGAGAGTGTGCACTTGTGTTATTTCTAATGACGTCTTCCTCATGCTGATTTCCATGTATGTTTGAGCCACAATGTGAAGAAAATTCCACAGACCTAAAGAGGGCTCTTTCGTTGTTGCCTTTTCTTGTTTTTCGTTGATCTTGACTGGCTAATTTGCACATGAAGACTTTTATACCCAAAACAGAATACCTCCATTGTATTAATTAAAACTGATTATTCTTAATTATAAATCTTTTAAGCTTTGCATATCAGATTATGCTTTGACATTAGACATCACACTTGGTAAACAGCCTTCCTATGCCATCTACACTGTGCTTTGGTTATGAGTCATCTCTCTGTTGATCTCCAGTGGATCAATGGGATGTGTTTACCAGTCCAGCACAATCCCAGGGACAATTACTGCTACAGAGCTTATGTTGTTCACTTTCAGTGGTGGTGCAGGTGCTGTATTGTCCTGTGTTGTCCCACTCCTTGGTTCTCAGGCACAAACATATGAGCTTTCTTTAAACCAGATGGCACAGTCCTTTCCAGATGGCACTTTTCAGATATCTCCATTTCACTGCCTCTAGTCTTGTCATTAATAACTATTATTGTCCTGCAGTTTCTCCAGTGCAGCCTCAAAATGAGCATGGAGTTGCTATCTGAAGCAAGCTGTCCTCCACCAAACTTTGCTCCCAGCTTTGTGGCATGAATAAGTCTGAAAAGTTTATGCTGTTCATATAAAAGTGGGAAATGGATGATTGCTAGAGCAGCTGCAAAGGCTGAGAGGTCTTAGCAAGGGGCTGGCAAGCACAGTTATAAAAGTAATTAACTAATAGACTGGTTGATGGAGGTAAGTACTTTAACAGGTAGGAACAATAATGGAAAGACCTTTTGTAGGATCAGATGAGGGCAAGGTTGAAGAGTTACTTCCATTTGGAGATGGAGATGTATATTTAAGGGAATTTTATAACAACATCTGTGAAGTTTGCACTTTTAGATTTGTCCGTGGCCAGGATAAAAGCTCATCCTGTTTGATATCATAATTATGTGTAATATTTTCTGAATTAATCTTGATTAATTTACATCAGGTTTTCTTTAAGGCACTGTGACTTCTGCATGGCCTTCGTACTTCTCATTACCAACGACATTTTTATTTATAACAGTCACTTATTCTGTTTACCCTTTATCAGTTTTATTACATCTCTGTATATCCCAAGATAGTTTTGGGATATAGCACCTAATTACTCAGTTTCATTATAATTTTTCCTGTGCTCTCATAAGATTGTCTGGATAGCTGATTGTTCATAAGATTCTGCTGGGAGTTATGAAAGCCTGCTGCCACTATGATGTTAAATATGATCAATCCTCTCACATTTGACATTTTTAGCCTGTTGTGTGTGGGTGGATGAGTGGGATGGATGAATTTAAGACCTGCATAGCTAGAATCCAGAAATGTTTCCAAGGACAAAAACATGGGCCTGCAAGGACACAGATTATTTGTCTCTTGGTGGGAGTTTTCATTTCTCTTTCGTAAAGCGCATTAGGACTCCTTCAGCTCTTGCATAAACATTCGTTCAATTGTGTTTGTGTCCTGTTCAGTATGTCCCACATTATCTGTATTTACCCATGCTTCCCTGGTAGTTTTTGCACTTTGTGTTGTGGAATATATTTGTGTTTAAATATCAAAGAGCATGAGTAAATCAACTGCATTTTGCTCCAAGGTGACTTTGCTTCCTTCCAGTCCCTTCCATAGTAGCATAGGTGGCCTTGGGTGACTCTGCTCTGCCAAGGCAATGATAGAGGGCAACTGCTGATGTGTCAGGAGCCCTGGTGGCTGATTCCATACTAACAGATATGAGTTTGGAGTTAGATCTCTTGAAAGCATAGTATTTGTATTTTGCCTTTTGCACAGTTATCCATGCTTCAGAAAGTGCCTATAGGCTTAACTTTTCACATTAAAACTCTGGAGAGGTTTGTTCACTCTTTCACATCTGTTGAAGAACACAGCATCAAGGCTATCTCCAAACTCAGAAGATTACTTGTGAATTTTTATTTGCATGAGTGATGTTGATTAATAGTGTCTGGCACTGTGACCCAGTAGCATAGATTATCTGAAGCAGATATGGCTGGAAACAAGGCTGTCCAGATCACAGAATTCTACACACAGCCAGAGCATGCTTTAAAACCAGCCAATGGATTCTAAAGGTAATGTAAAGCACTTATCTGAAAGTGGAACATTCAGTTATTTGTTTTTTCATTCCATTGTCTGCTTGAGACACTGGCGTCTAAACACATTTACTGTAAATTTCCATTGCTTTCAGTGACATTTAAGACAAATCTAGTCATCAGCAAAGTTGACTATTACAAAGAATATTCTGCAAAGGGCACAGAAAATTTATTGAGGCCAAGCAAATTCTTGGTTTTCTACTTTGTGCTAGAAAATGCCTTATTCAGTCCTCTTACGCAGTTTGGATTCAAATAGGCTCATCATTGAAGTTGACAGAAAATATCCCACTGACCTACTGGAAGATTTGGCTTTCTAACACAGAGGGGTTGATGAGCATATATGGAACCCTTCAATATATAGATTTTGTATATCTGATACCACAACTATGGTGAAACATAAAATTTGTAAGCGTGGACTTCTCATTGATTTGATTAATTTGACTTAGGTGGTTTTGATGGCTTCAATATGTAATTGTGATATTTCTTTTTCTGTTTTGTTCCCCAGTAACATGTCAGATGCCCTTGCAAATGCTGTGTGTGAGCGCTGCCGAGCTCGCTTTGATCCAACTGAGCGAATCGTGAACAGCAATGGGGAACTATATCATGAAAACTGCTTTGTCTGTGCTCAGTGCTTCCGCCAGTTTCCAGATGGACTCTTCTATGATGTAAGATCAGCATCTTTCTGATAGTGTGAAAAGCTACTTGACTTTTTCCTCCACTTACATGATTTTAAGAAGCTTGACTGAACTTTCTGTGGGGTTTGATTATCCAAAATTCATTTGCAATTCTTACATCAATGACCCCCTTCCATTTCCTCCATGTATACTGTAATTTAGCTTTGATATGATTCAATGATTCAGTCATCAATGAGTTGTTGCTTTCCTAGGCAGGACACCGGTATTGTCAATAATGCCCTGCTTCAGAAATAGTGCTAAGCTATTGTTTAGTGTTATGTTCTTGAGCCAGGGCTTGTTTGCTCCATCCTTCTCTAGGATAGCCACAAGGATGTGATTAGAAGCTTTCATTTTCATTCTCAGTTAACCACAGACAAGCATTAACGTCTGAATCCTAAACTGTGGTTTGTTTTAACTCTGGTTTATTGAAACAAACCAATTTCATAAACCACAGTTCAAAGTTGACTTGTTTCGATTAAGCATAGGTAAGACTAACCGCAGCTTGTCCTATATTGGGATTAGATGCTAAACTTCAGTTAGTTAAACATGGAAGCAACTGTTTCTGTTCTTTTATTTGGAGATGTATTGGAGGAAGTGTGGGGGTGGGGAAAGTGAGTAAGCTGATGAATTCAAGGCCCATTCACCTGTGGAATGCTGTCACTGTGCTGACCCATCTCAACAAATGCAACATTGCCTGGTCCAGAAGGGTACCCTGTTGCTCTGCCGCCCATCATGCTCTGTTCTGCAGCCAATATAATTAAAGTGAGAGAGTGTTGTAAGAGTGCAGTACATGCTTATAGAACAAATATATTGTTATTAAAATGTTGATCCAAAATAGGTTGCATTAGGGATTAGCTTTTCTAAGAATAAATTACTTCAAAGGAACACCAAAAACTGCAGTGATTGAAATAATGGTGGTAAATAGTTTGCAGAAGCTAGAACTTTGCACTTGCATTCTGTGTAACAGTAGCTTCATACGCAACACACATTTAAAGCACACACCCTTCCCAAAGAATCCTGGGAACTGTAGTTTAAGGGTGCTGGGAATTGTAACTCTGTGTGGTGGGCAAACTAGAATTACATAATGCAAATTTTGTAAAGATATGTTCTCCTGCATCTTTTTTTACAGTTTGAAGGGAGGAAGTATTGTGAGCATGACTTCCAGATGCTGTTTGCGCCATGCTGTGGGGAATGTGGTAAGATGCAGATCACTCAAGCCTCTCTCTCTCTCTCTCTCTCTCTCTCTCTCTCTCTCTCTCTCTCTCCCTTAAGGAAAGCTACACAAAGGTGAAAGAATTATTAATGATGATGGATGTTGTTCTTATCAGAGAGCAATCTGGTCAAGAGCAATAAAATAATTAGTTTTCAGGTTTTAAAGCCAAAGTTCCTGACATTCAGAATATAGTTTTTTATGTTTCAGTGGCATGGATATTAGTCCTGAGCCTGAAAAATTGGGTATGAATTATTCAGTGGCCTCCATTAAGTCACTCTCACTCAGACTCAGTTTCTTCGATAATAGTTAATTGCAGGCTTATTCTGAGTCTAAGATAATTGTAAATTGCAATATAAATGATTAAAATATATCATCCATGGAATTCTCTGTGGGGATGGTGGTGCACATAGAGAAGAGTCCTGAAATAAATCAAGTGTTTTAACTGAGGTGTGGTGCTTCTATTCTAAGGTGAATTCATCATTGGCCGTGTTATCAAAGCAATGAACAATAACTGGCACCCAGAATGCTTTCGTTGTGAGCTCTGTGATGTGGTTCTTGCTGATTTGGGCTTTGTGAAGAATGCTGGCAGGTAAGAAGGATCTGAGGATGTGAACATGAGATAATTCTTTGGATGTCAGGACCACTTCACACTCTAGAAGGAGAAATCCCAGGGTGCGCGGTGGGATCTGCAAATGCATGCTTTAAATATGTGCACACCCAGAGAAGGAGATGCCAAAAAATCACAGGCACATATGCACTTTTGCAGAGCTGATAATGTCTTCCGAAACACACATTCATCTCTCTTAAGTATGATGGTTTAGCATGTGAACTGCATGCATATATGAAATGTGTGAAATGTTAAGCAGTCTTGTTGTGGGATAAGCAAGGAATCTGGACCTTGCTCTTAAATGCATTGAGGCATATAGCGGAAATGAATTGGGAAGGTATTGGCAGAAAACTAGAGAATGAGTGGAGAACCATCCTCAATTGTAAGCAAATTACTTTTAGAAAAACGGTGAGGGAGTAGAAGAGGAATAACCTATGTAAACATGAAGATTAGGGATTGGATAATTACTCACCAGAAACAACTTGGTGGACAGACAGCACACTGAACAGACCACATAACTTCTTTTTTCCTCTGAATTTAATAGTTTTTGATGTTTAATAAGTATAAACAATATTTTTTTAAAGAAAGTATAAAATATGAAGCTAAATGAAGTAAAAATAGACACCCAAGCAAACGCCCTTCAACAGGGAAGTAAAAAAACAACAACAGCCTAGTAACTGCACCACAACATTTGAATCTTAACTTTTGGCATCATTGCATGCGATTTCTAGCTAGAAGAGTCTCTGAGTTTATATTCTCACTTCTTGGGTGGGCAGCGAATAGAACAGCTATGAAAGAGTGATGCAGTTTATCTGGTCATAGTATAAACCTTCTGAAATAGCCTTATACTGATACATTTCCTATGTAGTCCTGATGACTAGCCTAGTAGAACTGAGCTAATTAAAAGGGAACAACTGAGTATGGTTTGTGCGCCTTTTTTCTTTGTTGCAAGGTCTCTGTAGTGAATGCAAAGTCTGTTATAGGAAAGCAGTCAGGATTCCATGGTTAAGAGGCAAGTTGCAAGACTCCATAATATGGTAGCTGAACATTTGCTTCTTCTAAATAAGGGTACAATGGAGTCATTTTTAATTATCTCACTGAGAACTCGGCTAGACTGGTGAAGAAAAAGTGATTTATATGTGTTGTATGTGCGATATAACATTGTGCCACCAGATGGTGACGTGGAGCCCCATTTTTCTCTACCTGTTTTCCCTGTTTACAACTCTTTCAACTGAAGAAGAAGAAGAAGAAGAAGAGTTTGGATTTGATATCCTGCCTTTCACTCCCTTTAAGGAGTCTCAAAGCGGCTAACATTCTCCTTTCCCTTCCTCCCCACAACAAACACTCTGTGAGGTGAGTGGGGCTGAGAGACTTCAAAGAAGTGTGACTAGCCCAAGGTCACCCAGCAGCTGCATGTGGAGGAGCGGGGAATCGAACCCGGTTCCCCAGATTATGAGACTACCACTCTTAACCACTACACCACACTGGCTCTCCAGCTGAAACGCTTCTTTGATGTGTCCAAATCCAGCCAGGGCCTCCCCTTTTAGGTAGCCATGTACATTACGTCAGTTGTGACACATACAGTTCACATTTCTCTTCTCCCCGGCCCTTACCCTGGGCGTGCTATGCTGTACAACGGCTTTGTTGGAGCATCAAGCAAACTAACGGTTTGCCAACCTGATTTAGAAAGAAGAAATACTCTTGAGCATGTGCCATTTCACATCATCATGACTACAGAAATAATATGAGGTTTGCTTATGCTTCCCTGAAGGTAGACTCATTTACTTGTAGAAAAAGACAATGTATATTTGAAATACAAAATAAACAAGGAGCTGTAGCTGTGCATATGGCTGGCCAGCCACCCTCTCACTATATAACTTTTATAGATATATATAGTAATAAAAAAATACATTGAGGTGACCACCATTAGAATGTATACTCTGGCATGTCATTACCTGCCCAGGTGCTGACGTCAGGTCTACCCATTTGCTGCTGCCCTCATCACCTTCCACTCTCCGGTGATAATTTAGGGGGTTGCTGGACTCCAGGGACATAGATTTAGGCCTAGCTGCACCACTGCTTCCAAAAAAGCTATGGCAGCAAGAGTTCAGTATAAATGATTTCTTGCACAGCATGTGAGTGCTCAGGATTTGGGTGTAGCAATTATCAAAAATCACAGCAGACTTGACATTGAGACAACAGGCAAAGGTTCTGGTGAAGTGGCTCTTGACTGAGGATTTTTGTTCTATTAAGGTGGATATGGTAGGTACAGTCTGCATTAAGCAAGGGCAATTGCGTCAGTAAGAGTTGCATCCTAATAGTTAAACTGAACTAGATTACTCATTTGTAGCAAGCTCCCTAGAAATCTTTTAGTCTTGTGCATGTGATTCATGAACCATATACTTCATATAAAAACTTACAGATAAAATGAAACAAGTTGTGTCATGTCATTGTTTCTAAATGTTACTGAAAATAAGAGCTGCAGCCAAGGCTGTAACAAAAGAGAGTTTTGAATTGTAATGTGGTGTTTATATCAAGTTTAGTGCTGTCCATAGTCAAAAGGTCAACAATGAGACGATTGAGCTGTCTAGAAAATCAAATGGTTCTCCTTTCTTGCAGATGTGGATTTGAGGATTTCCTTTTCTTATCAGGTCATGTCAAAATCTATATGCACAATCTTCTCAAAGCTCTGCAGATGTAAAATTAGAACACCTTTCTTAGAGAATGTCAGGACTATTGAATCTTAGCTGTGTAGTTTGCTTGCTTGATAACTGAAGATGGAAGTATTTGCCTCAGTTATTTTTCAGTACAAAAATATTTCATGGAGCAATCATGGCGTTGTTAAGCAAATGCTTTCTTCCTTTTTCTTGTTGAAGACAATCAGAAGGGTAGTTATTATAGTGTAATGCTAGTTATATTTGTATACATTGAGATTGCAGTCTACCTTCCACTGAGAATTAGCACTTGCTGGTGGTAGCTGTGCAAAAATTACTATCTGTTACTTGTTTTCTCAAGAATGAAGCGTAGATCAGTGTGCGCTCTTGGAGAAACACAGTTTTGCTATCTTGGAGATTTAATTGTATCAGATAGAAAAAGCCTTTCTTTTAAAAAGCACTTGATTTCATTAGTTACAGTTCAGTTTTAGTGCTCAAGGAGCTGTCATTCGTTTTCCCATCATAACTTGAAGGTAGCCTTGCAGCTTTTCTGCTGCAAAATAAACCACATAAGGCCTCTCGGAACTTCTCAGCTACAAAGAAATACATGATGGGATCTAGGGCACCGTTCAGGCTGGTGAGGCAGGAAGTAATTCGGTTGCCAAGAGCCAGAATCCGCTGCATTTCACAGGAAGTCTTCACACCATCGTAATTGAGAATGTAAATGTAGCGGTTGATATGGTAGGGCACGAAACAGACCAAGAAGATCATGAGAACCATTATTATCATTTTGATGGCTTTTTCCTTTAGATGGTTCTCAATTCGGTTTCCTCTTTTCAGGCTGCGTATGATCAGCAAGTAGCAGGTCACTGTAGTAAAAAATGGAAGCGTAAATGCCACAGCCAATGACACGAGAGCATGGCGTGATGCCTTTTCTCTGTAGAGCTGCAGGCAGATGGTGGTATTGTTCATCTCAGCTGTCTGCACACTGACCAAAAGAGGCGCCATGGCCACAGCAACTATAACCCACAGGAAAGCACAGGCCAAGTGGGCGTAGAGTGATCTGCGGAGTTTGAGGGACTTTACAGGGTGCACGATAGCTAGGAAGCGATCTACACTGATGCACATGAGGAAGTAGATGCTGGCATACATGTTGAGGTAGAAAAGGAAGCCTGTGAGTCGGCAAGGGATCTCTCCAAACGGCCAGTGATTGCCTGAAAAGTGGTATACTAGCCGGGTTGGCAAAACTAGCACGAAGGACAGATCGGCCATGGCTAGGTGCATCAGGAAAACGTTGGCTGGGGTGTCTGACTTTTGGTCCCGGATGAAAAGCCAAAGAGCCAGAGCATTGCCAACAAAGGCTAGGATGAAATCCAGAAGGTAGAAAGTAGCAAAAAGGATGTTCTCCGTATTGGTCTCTTTGCCACATTGTTCTGAACTTTCCAGTGAAGTGTTGAAGAACAGGCCTGAAGAGTCAGCTAGGTTGTTCATTCCTCACTGCGGGACTTGAAATATGAACCTGAAATAATAAAGAAGAAAAAGCTAGAGAAGAATATTACAACGTAGAGGATGCAACATGGCAATCAGCCAAGCCTGCTGGTTTGCTTATGTTTGTAATGAATGTTGGCCAGGATCCAAAGCATCCTATGTCATGTTCTGCACAGGTTAGAGGGGTTTCCAGTTTTACTCCTGACAGCTTCCACTCTCTTAAAAAGCCACCCCCAAATAGTGAGGGGCTCCCTTAAAGTAGCACCCCGTGAGATAAAAGGGGCTTCCATCAGAAGTAAAAATTGGCCAAACCTTATACATACTCCGTTTGTATGCGCACAAGAGCCTTTCTAGATCTTAGCCACACTTTTTCTGTGCTCTCCATGACCATTATAAGTGTATGTACTCTACTTTGTTTTAGTAAGTTTAGTTTTTAGAAGTTTTGCAGTATAATAAACTGGTTCTTATAATCTCTTAATTGTTAATATTTTGAGGGGGGGGGAAGGCTAAAGCTGTAAAGTTTACAGGATGATATACAACGGACAGGCATACCTCACTTTATTGCGCTTTGCAGATACTGTATTTTTTTTACAAACTGAAGCACTGGAGGAACAGCTACTGCTGGATTGGAGACGAGGCTGCAGGAGCCTGTCCCTACCACACAGTGGCTTCTGCTGCTCCTTACAAGAGGATGCATAAGATGAAATGAAGACTCAGATAATGGAAAGCATTTTTAGCAATAAAGTACTTTTAATTATGTGTTTACATTTTTAAAAATAATAATGCTAAGGGCACAGTAGAAGTGAGAATTACAGGATTCTTTAAATGTCAGACTCTATGATGACGCATTAGAACAACAGCAACAGCTGCATAAAATGTTTCATTAGAATTAAGTAAAAAAATCACAAAGCAGAGTGTAACTCAAAAGGATGGAATGGAAGGATCTGTCGATTTCAGTTCTCTATCTCATTTTTCCAATCTTAAATTATGTGATCCACCTTACTGCAGCAACTTGCAATTTAAAAAACAAAACCAGCATTTTAGTGCAGATTTCTCTTAATGAACGCATGTTTGTATGCAGTTTTGTCAGCATTTACATTTTTGCAAGCTTTTCTCTCTAATAGGCATTTTTACATTTCCCCCCCACAAATGTATCCATTTTTCTGCACAATGTTCCCTAATATGTGCATTTTTAAAAACATTGTTCAGAGAATTGTGTCACATAATTCAGATAAGTATGAGTTCCAAAGGATAGCTTTATTGTGGTTTGTGTATTGTTTCAGGAAGTGCCATTTTGGTACATAAGAAAATGCAACATCCTAAGAGACTGCTGGATCAGGCCAACAACCCATCTACCCTGTTTCCCCGAAAATAAGACAGTGTCTTATATTAATTTTTGCTCCCAAAGATGCACTAGGTCTTATTTTCAGGGGATGTCTTATTTTTCCATGAAGAAGAATACGGTACACATTTATTGTCTAATTGTGAGTCAGCCAGACTCCGTCAGGGCAGAGCGAGCAGCAGGCGGCAGTTTGTCCTGGTGGCAGCGTGGGCTCTCTGATTTAAAGAGACCTCGCACTGCCTGAACAGCTCCGGCTGCTCTGCGGCCAGTCAGTGAGCTGCGCGGTGATGCCTGCTGCTACGGTCCAGAGGCGTCAGACACCTTACAGTAGCTTCAGGGGCCTTATATTCTGGGGAGGCCTTATTATTGGGGAGGTATTATTTTCGGGGGATGCCTTATATTACAGCGAGAGGCAAAACTGGAAGTAGGTCTTATTTTGGGGGGATGTCTTACTTTCAGGGAAAGGCGGTAGTCCAGCATCCTGTTCTTACAGTGGCCAACCAGTAGATTAGCCTTTAAATGTGAAAAGAATAAAATCTCTCTCACATCCTTATATGCCAGTCCTATTGAACTCAGTGGGAGTGAACATGGTTAGGATCGCATTGTTCATTAACCTATACCATGTGTGGTGCAAAGCACTCTCAGGTTGCTGCAAAGCATGCTGAGCTAAAGGACCCATGGCTCCTGCTCTCTGAATACAGTGGTACCTCGGGTTACAGACACTTCAGGTTACAGACTCCACTAACCCAGAAATAGTGCCTCGGGTTAAGAACTTTGCTTCAGGATGAGAACAGAAATCGTGCTCCAGTGGTCCAGCAGTAGCGGGAGGCCCCATTGGCTAAAGTGGTACCTCAGGTTAAGAACAGTTTCAGGTTAAGAATGGACCTCCAGAACGAATTAAGTGCTTAACCCGAGGTACCACTGTGTGTAAAAGCTGAAAATTGTTTGAGATCTTAACTTGAGATCTAATTGGGACAGACTGCTCTCTTGTAATAGACTTAAGTGTAATTCCTTCATCTGACCACAGAGTGCTCTCTTGTACAGCATTTTTAAAAAGAGGCAAAATAAGGAGTTTCTTCCCCCTACACACACAAGAAGTCAACCTTCCCCTTGTTCAGAAGAGAAAACTTTCCCTTAAATGTTGGGCAATAGGACATCTCCATCAAATGCTTTAGAAATTCTCTCCACTTGTTTTTCCCAAAGTTGCAATAACACAGCAGGCTTTTAATTCCTCGTTTTTCATAGACAATTTTGATGGTTGACATTAAACAATCTCCAGTGTTAACTTAAATTTTTTAAAATATATATAGCAAATATCTACAGCACAATTAAATGTCACACACAGGAATCTTGTTAATTATTTCCATGGGATCCCTAAATTAGGAGCTTGTTATCGACATGAAAAATATTTGGCAGTGTACTCCTAATAAACCTGATTGTTTAAACTGCATACTTATTTGACTTGTTTATCTTAAAACTATTCCCTGAAAGGGCTGACACATGGAAGCTCGCTAACATGGTACAGTATTTGTCTAGTGGCTGCCTCTATGCAATGACTGGAGAATTTTTCACCATGAGGCAGTTTTGTCTCCACTGCTGCTTCTGGACAACTTGTTTAATCAGCATTCAGCCTGATTTGTCTGCGGAGAGTTTAGGCGACACTGGCTATTAAATGAGCATTCAGCTTGATTTGTTTATGGGGAGATTAAACAATGCTGTGTCAAGCAAGTGTTATCCCACACTTTCCAGTACATTTGCAATTCCTTTCCTTATCGCAGAAAGTCCATTATTTTAGGGAAGTGGGTTTGTTATGCAAGAGCTCCAAATCAGCTTCGTTTGTGCACCTTGAATCTGCAAGTTGTGCAAAAATAGAAGTAGTCTGGAAACACCCCCATACCATCACCAAACAAAGTTATCGGTGATGTGGAGAATACTGAATGGGGGTCATCTCCTCCTTGTGTTGAACCGCTGTACCTGCACAGTTCTTCACTGGATGCAATATCATAAAATCATAGAGTTGGAATATACCACAAGGGCCATCGAGTCCAACCCCCTGCCAAGCAGGAAACACCATCAGACCACTCCTGACATATGGTTGTCAAGCCTCTGCTTAAAGACCTCCAAAGAAGGAGACTCCACCACACTCCTTGGCAGCAACTTCCACTGTCGAACAGCTCTTACTGTCAGGAAGTTCTTCCTAATGTTTAGGTGGAATCTTCTTTCTTGTAGTTTGGATCCATTGCTCCGTGTCCGCTTCTCTGGAGCAGCAGAAAACAACCTTTCTCCCTCCTCTATATGACATCCTTTTATATATTTGAACATGGCTATCATATCACCCCTTAACCTCCTCTTCTCCAGGCTAAACATGCCCAGCTCCCTTAGCCGTTCCTCATAAGGCATCGTTTCCAGGCCTTTGACCATTTTGGTTGCCCTCCTCTGCACACATTCCAGTTTGTCAGTGTCCTTCTTGAACTGTGGTGCCCAGAACTGGACACAGGTGAGGTCTGACCAGAGCAGCCTCCATTTGGTACCTTTCCATGTGAAATAAACAGAACATTAATAACTGTCTGAAAGATTTTTGTGGAGCAGCTACCTCTGTAGAACATGTTGAGATATTTACATGAATAGTTCTTGTCATCACTTTCACTGTTTTAAAGTGATCTAGAAGAGGTTTTAAAAGCACTCCCTCATACATGTCTGTCACTGGTGTAGTTACTGCAGTTGTGGGATTTTAAGAATATGACATATAAAACATTTATACTTTTTGGAATTATTCATATTGGATGTAATAGTCAATAAATAGGAAATAGGGAAATGACTGGCCACCATCTCTTAGTTTGTGTTACTAGTGAGTTGTTAGGGTCTATAGCAACAATTGCTTTATCTATCTATTCAATTCTGTTTTAGGAGTAAGTTATCCACAATTTTCCAAATTGCACAAACAGTAGGTAGAAGTGTAACTTGGCACACAGCTGCTCATTTGTATTGTGTGCTGTGCATTCAAGTCTATTTTATGCAAACTCATTTTGTGTGTGCAGTCTTCTGGATCATTGCTGCCGTTTTCACAAGAGTCTTTACATTCTTACTAGTATTCCAACATGCTACTTCTGTTAATAAAATTCATTTCCTGTCAGGGTTTGTATATCATTCATAAGTGTATATCTAGGTGACTTTGAATAAATGAAAGTAACATCATTACTTGCACACGATAACATCAGTCCATTGTTACTAGGCCCCCAGAAATCATCTTAGTTTGTGAGATATCAAGGAGGTTCTGCTTAGGAAAACAGAATGATTTTTCAAAAGCGTAGTGGCAAGAACATTTTGTCAACTGGAAAAATCCCAGGCATACGCTATTTTTACAGTGCTGTTGCTCTGTTCTTATGACTTGAAGATACTGTATAGGTTCATCAGAGGAGCTTTAATTGGCTTTTGCATGCTGTTTGTGTCTAGTTTCTAAGTGCTAGACCATTTTCACACAAGTTGCTAAAAAGTGCATCACTTGCACTGCCTGTGCAATGCGTACCCATCATTAAATGAAAGGCAGAATGCAAAAGAAAAGTGGAATGCACTGTCTGTGTTGCAGAGTATTTTGAGCACAAAACTTCTAAAGTCAAAATGTCCCTGCAACTCCTTGTACTTTCCCTCCTAGCTTGTATAATCTGTAAGCCCTGGGGAACAGTATGGTGCTCTGTGAGAACGTTCTCAATTTTCACACCCCCACACCCCAAGGTTGTAATTCCCATTGAAACCAAAGTGCTTACCTCTTGCAGCTTGCAGTCCTGTAGAAAAGAGAGGTAAAGATCTTGTTAGCTTCTTAGAGTGCCAGCAAATGTAGGTAAGAGAGAAAGGCTAAAAACAGTGACGATCCAGAAGATGCAGACAGTGGCAGGTTCAGTGGAAGGGTGAGTTGCACTATATAGAGCCCTGTTGGAGATGATAGTCCATTATCATCTTGCTCACATGAGAGGAGGGTAGATAACACATTTGCTGTGAAAGACAGTTTTCATTCCAGCTGGGCTGTTCGGAAGGGGGGAGTTGCTGTGGTATTTATGAATATTCCAATGTTTCTCTAGCACTCTCTTTCTCTCTCACTCTGAACCTCTGCCTTTTACGCTGACTCTTTGGATCCCTCTGACCATTTTAGAGAGTTTGGAAAGCGTTGCAGAAAGGGAGAGGAAATTTGGTGTTGCAGACACAACAGGACATTTCAGAAGGGGATAATTCCATAATAGTGGGAGTGGGGGTGAGAAGGACGGCTGCCATAGAAACGGCTCTGTGATTCTAAGACCTCCCTTTGCTTCCAGTGGAGGAGGGTCTATAGGATGGTAGGGGGGGTGCTTCTGAATGAGCCTTGCTGATAATGGGTTGTCAGTGGAAAGGGCTTAAGGCCCCTTATTCAGTTGAATGAGAGGGGGCTCTTTTTAGGACACTTGCTATAGGGGTCTCAGTGTCCTGCCCTGTATAATTAGACTCCGTTCCACAGTGTGGAATAAAATTGAGGCCTTTATCCTGAGATGAACACAGCTGCATGCCCCCATTTATAAAGGAACGCTGTCTGCTTTCTTTCTAGGGACTGTGGCTCTTGTCTGGGACAGCAATATCTTCAGCTCTAGGGAGAACAGAGTAGAAGACTTGTGAAGAGGGAGTGTTAATAACATTCCTTTCCACTTATGCTCACTGGGACTTTCTATTTGAGGCTTGTAAAAATACAAGGCTGTACAACAGCCTTGTGACATTGAGATTTATTATTAGCTTTATTTTACTGGTAGGGACCTGGAGGCTAAGTGACCTGCCTGGAACTCTCAGGAAGCCAGTGAGACTGCCTGGAATAAGCCCAGGGTCTCTTCGCTCCTTTCCCATAGGTATTTGCACTGTTGCATCTACCAGCTGTCCTCTGTGACTATGCACTTCGCTCCGCAGATAAGCAAACCGGGTGTGTCACTGGAGTTCCATATGTACAGAGGCACAGTTGCATACATTGTATTTGGAAATGCACACACTGGCATTGTATGTACTCATAAATATGTATTTGAATGGTCCAACCATTTATGCTGCTTTTTGTTATAGATATCTAAATTGTGCTAGGAGAGCATGAGTAGGGGAATCAATAGTTTTGGTCATTAAAAAAAATAAAATTCAGCTTGATGCTTGCCATCAGTGCCAGTTTTAGACCATTCATGCAATCTTTTTGTCTCTAAATATACCCTACTGCTTGCATTCACAAGTAAGCCTTCTCAACTACAAAGCTGAGAAGCTCTGTAGCCTAGAAAGCAACCTTGTGTAGCTTATACCTGTATGATGTCTCCCAACTTTTTTCTTTAATTCCTGCTCTAGGCACCTCTGTAGGCCTTGCCATAATCGCGAGAAAGCCAAGGGCTTGGGCAAGTATATTTGCCAGAAGTGCCACTTGATAATCGATGAACAGCCTCTGATGTTCAGGAATGATTCGTACCATCCAGATCACTTCAGCTGCACCCACTGCGGGTATGTCAACTCTCTTTCAGCTAGGACTCTGGAGCAAGTGAAAAGGCATAGAATGAGCAATGTGGTGTCTTGCAAGGGACCTGAGTGATCTTAAGAATAAGCTTTGCTGCATTTCTGCAGACTGACTAACAAGAATGCGGAAGTTCAAAAAGCATTTGAATAATAAAAAAGAACCCCAGAGGAACTGTAGTGATTGTGCTGAGCTGTAATAAACTTTGCCTTATACAATTCATTGTTGAGCTGGCACTGTTCCTGACGGGTGTTAACATCCTTGGAAAGAGCCAGTTGTGAAGGCTCCTGGTTACAAAAGCAATGGCATTAGAACTTAGCCGCAGCTTGATGGGCCCTACAGTTTACAGTATTTTAGAATCCCTGCCATTTCTGATGGAGCCTGCTTATCTAAACAGATTTCAAACTGGATTCACGAAAACCAAAAGCCTCATTATAAAATAGCTTTTTGTATGTCACAATCATGTTGTTAATCAGCAGGCAAAGGAAGGATGTTTGTGTTTAATGTTTCCTTTTGAGAGCTTCTCTTTATCCTGGGTGGCGCTGTGGGTTAAGCCACAGAGCCTAGGACTTGCCGATCAGAAGGTTGGTGGTTCAAATCCCCATGACGGGGTGAGCTCCCATTGCTCGGTCCCTGCTCCTGCCCACCTAGCAGTTCGAAAGCATGTCAAAGTGCAAGTAGATAAATAGGTACCGCTCCAGCGGGAAGGTAAACGGCATTTCCGTGCCCTGCTCTGGTTCGCCAGAAGCGGCTTAGTCATGCTGGCCACATGACCCGGAAGCTATGCCGGCTCACTCTGCCAATAAAGCGAGATGAGCACCCCAAACCCAGAGTCGGTCACGACTGGACCTAATGGTCAGGTGTCCCTTTACCCTTTACCTTTATCCCTATTTGTCAGGAGAGTGCCTGGTTTATTTGGACGGAGTGACTATCAGCATGATGTGTTGAGGACAAGCTTTTTCTGCTAAGATCTTGATTATTCCTTCTGTTGTGTGTAGAAAGGAGCTGACAGCTGATGCCAGGGAGCTGAAGGGGGAGCTCTACTGCCTGCCTTGCCATGACAAGATGGGCATCCCAATCTGTGGGGCCTGTCGCAGGCCCATTGAGGGTCGAGTGGTCAATGCTCTGGGGAAACAATGGCATGTGGAGGTGAGAATTCTCCTGTTGTGCTACTTGCTCTGGGATTCATGTTACAGAGAGACTCCTGACACAGCCTGTGTTAATAAGTAGATGCTGCCACAGTTCTTTTGAAGCCATAGGAGCTGCATGCCATTGTTTCAGGTGGCTTATTCATTATTATTCTGTTTATTTAGATCTCTAACCTATTCCCCAAAATATACTATTTAGGTATCAAAGCACATGTCAAACATAGTACAAGTAATAAAGTCACATCTCTTCTTCTTCTTCTTTTGCAAAGCATTACATTTCAAAAAGATTTAGTGAATCATCAAAGAAAGGAGCTTCACAATTATGGGACAGTCACCGGGAATACATTTCTGTGTGCCAAACAAATATATAAAATTGACACAAATATTAATTCCAGCAGGACAGTCTTAGTTTATCCATAGTTGAGAAAACAGTATCTTTAGTATGCTTTGGCAGTATATTAAATTACTTTATAGAGATTATAAGCAGGACCTTGCAGTGTGGCTGGGAGAAAATCAGAAGCCAGAGCTGATGCTGGAGGGTTGATATAATACACTCCAGTGACTAATCCCCATCAAGAGGCAAGCTGTGCTGAAACATCTGTCCACGAAATGCTGATCAATCATATTCCTAAATGCTTTATACAGTACTCAAACTATTATTAGGAGTCTATCTAAGGTGTGGTTCATATTTGCTGGCAAATATTTGCGTACTACTTATTTTATCCAGGCACTTTTCTGGCACAAAACTGCCTGTAGCACAGACCCCTGGACCCTGACATGTCTTTTAACCTTCCAGCATTTTGTTTGTGCCAAATGTGAGAAGCCATTCCTGGGACACCGGCACTATGAGAAGAAAGGTCTGGCTTACTGCGAGACTCATTACAACCAGGTGAAATCTGTTCTTATTTGAACTCTGCACTCCCAAACCCCCCCCCCCAAAATGAGCAAGAGATAAGAGGTTGTTTCAAAATGAGGGATTTAAGAAATCCCTGCTGTTTGAACTGAAATGCCTACAAATATGAGGCATAAGGAATTTCAAACTTTTAATATCTTAAGAGATTCAGCTGAGTGAGGCTGCTAACCCCTAGCGGTATCAACATGCAAATTTAAGGAACTTAAGCAACCTTAATCATAAATAAACATTATTTAAATTGAATAGAATTTTTTTGGGGGGGAGGAGAGCCAGTGCCAAGAGTTCTCTAGCTGGAAACTTGGGGGGGGGCTGCACAAGATTGCTTTCTTTACAAATATATCTCCAGAGTTTTGTCTTTCAAAGGAAGCTATACCCAATACTGTAGCCTCTTATCACTCAGGAAGTGGGGAACATGTAACAGTACATACCTATGCCCGTTTTTCTGTCTCTCGCTGAGCTTCAGATACCATGCAGCCTCATCACTGTACGGGATTATGCATGCGCTGGAAGGCCAGTGTCAGAAGGAGCCAGTTGAGAGGGGAGGGAAGACAATGGGCTTCTGCCCATTAAGCTCACGGGTGGGGGTGGGGCTCATTGTCTCTTCCTACTTCTTTGCAGGGTCACTCAAAGTTCTTAACCTTACCCTGCTTAACTTGTAGCTGTAAAGCTGCATTTGGAAATACTTGAGATAGGAGCATGTGCGAGGCTTGTATTCCACCTCAACAGTGTCATTAATTGCTGCACATTTCCTTTCTCTTACAAAAGTTAAAGAGAGACACATCCACTTTGGTGGGAGAAAGTAAACGCAGACTGTCCTACTGATGGCACTTTGCTAGCACTCCATGTAAGGCACTTAGCGAATCTGTAAGGGGAAGAAAACAGACAACTGGGTACACACCTGCAAATTGTCTTTGATGCCAGGTTGCACTGCACTCGGGATGGAATAAAGCAGACTATAACAAAATTGCTTGGAGGCAGCATTTAGGGACAGCCCATTCCTGCCTCTTGCAGATCAGTTTTTTTCAAAGCACCAAACACCTGTGTTAACATTAATTCCTGAGGAAGTGAAACCCTGAGGAGAAAACACAATAGAAACCTTGTGAAAATGAAATGGATTGCAGGCATGTTGCCCTCCAACAGATCCTCGGCCTGTCCCTTACGGATTAACAGATTCAGAATAAGCATTAGCCACTATTTTTAAGTCCAGAAAACCCAGTACACATCCTCTCTTAGAAACCTATTTCTGGTCCCAAGGATCTGGGTTGTTGTTTTTTTAAGCTCACATTTCCCCCCTGACAGGTATACGCAACACACTACTGTGGTGTGCCATTCCTATCAAAGGGTGCAAAAAGCAGCCTTGGGAATGCAAGTTTGATTGTTGTGCAAATGTGTGAGAAAAGCTATTGAGGTGCCTGAAATGTGTAAAGTAATGTGGGGCACTATTGTAGAGGCACTAAACTAATCCATTGTTGGGACCAAGTTGTCTGATTTGATAAAAAGGGGCAGACAGACCCCCTCCATTAGTTTAAAAAAGCTCATTTTGTTTTGTTTTTTTGTTTTTCTGCACAGCTCTTTGGAGATGTCTGCTATAACTGCAGCCATGTGATTGAGGGGGATGGTAAGTTTAAGCCTGTTTGTCAATGCAGCTGTTGCAGCCCTGCACGGACAAGGCCTCAGTGATTGATTTCCCCCCACATCTGTCCTTGCTCAATTTGGTACAGTTCTGCAGTTTGATAACCCACCCTTGTTTGATATTTTCCACTAGTGGTCTCTGCTCTCAACAAGGCTTGGTGTGTGAACTGCTTCGCTTGTTCCACCTGCAACATCAAACTCACATTGAAGTAAGTGGCAAGCAAAGGCTGTTCTGGTGGGGGGAGGTAGCATGACTCAGGGAGTTCCTGCAGTCTGGCAGTGTTACATTGTGGTCAGAGTAACTGGCTCAAGTTTGGCAAGAGAAGCGTATAAATCATAGGAGACACTCCTTGAAATCACTGAGAAAATATGTATACAAGTATACACTCAACAATGTTCCATCACCGGCAAGTAGTTTGACATTTCTTTTTGGGCCAGATAGTCCAGACTGCCACTCCTTATCTTGCAGTGTTCCTATGCTAGTCCTGTTGCATGTGCAACTAATGTGTGACGGGAACAGTGCCATAATTACTTTCAAGGAGGGGACATGTCATGTCAACTGGCAAGGGGGCTCATTCATAAGATTTGCTTTCAGATAGAAGCCTGCCAGTAGGGTCACTGTATGCATACCTGTAAGCAAATCTTCTATCAAGATAGGCTTTATTCCATTGTGTCGATTGGCTGGCCATGGCACTTGCTCACTACCCAATCTGCCTGTATTTTGATTTCCCAGTTTGTTGACTGACATGACAGGCCGGAGCTTGCTCCACCAGCAAATTTTGTTTTAGAAGAAGTGCCTTTTCCCCCACCCCCAAGCCTGCTGCTTGATGTAGCAGGTTGGAGCAAGTATCTAAGAAGATCTAGTCACAATTGAGCACACTTACCGTATTTTTCGCCCCATAGGGCGCACCGGCCCATAGTTTTTTTTGGGGGGGGAATAAAGAAAAAATATATTCCCCCCCCCAGGTGTGGGGCTGGGGCGGGGAAGCCCGAGCTTCCCCCGACCCCAGCCCCCAGAACAGGCTGCTATCCGCAAGCCTAGGGAGCCCGGCGGGAAGTCGTGCCGGGCTCCCAAGGCTTGCGGAGAGCTGCCCGAAGCCCAGGGTGCGCTCCCCGTGTTTCGGGCTGCAGGCTGCTGTCCGCAAGCCTTGGGAGCCCGGCGGGAACTCTCGCCCGGCTCCCAAGGCTTGCAGATAGCTTCCTGAAGCCTGGAGAGCGAGAGGGGTCGGTGTGCACCAACCCCTCTTGCTCTCCAGGCTTCAGCGAAAGCCTGCATTTGCCCCATAGGACGCACACACATTTCCCCTTCATTTTTGGAGGGGGAAAAGTGCATCCTATAGGGCGAAAAATACGGTACCTGGAATTTCAAGCACTGAGTTTATGAAACATATTCATTTTATGAAAAGATGTGAAAAATGCAAGAGAAAGAAGCAAGCGTCAAGCTGATACCCTTTCAGAAATCATGAAACGTCCACACATTTTGATCCTAGCCTTCTTCCGGAGCAGTCACGTTTTCTTTCTTTCTTCAGAGAAAGCTCTGATTGGGATCCTTTTATCTCAGACAGAGAACAGAAATGGACAAGGGAAGCAGTCTGCATCCAGTACCTGGCAGGCAGTGGCTCCCCAGCCTCACTGGCAAATATATTTCTTTGTTTTACCCTTTTAAACCTGCAATGCTGAAGACTGGACTTGAGATCTTCTACTTGCATAGTTCTAACTCATTCATTTGGAACAGATTTTATGTTGGCAAGTTTTTTTAAAAAATGAAAGGAATGTATACCACATACCTTACTCACTTAGATGTTAAGCCTCACATGACTTCCTAACTGAAGATTGAATCCTTCTGTATTTCTTTGAAAGGAATAAGTTTGTGGAATTTGACATGAAGCCAGTGTGCAAGAAGTGCTATGAGAAATTCCCTTTGGAGCTGAAGAAGAGGCTGAAGAAGCTGTCTGAGTTGGCCTCCAAGAAAACGCACCCAAAAGCTCTGGACTTAAACTCCGCTTAAACAGGTCTGTACCCTCTGCTGACTGTATGCACCCACACCAGCTACAATCTGCCTCAGCTACTGATCACAAAAGGAACTTTTAAAAATGGTGTCAAGGACTCAAGACAAACAAAAGCTCACCAGTTATATCTTGCACTCTGAATGTTTATTCTGCTCAGGTATAGTGTGTGCAGAGGCTGTCCTCCAGAAGAGAATGGTGGCAATATGCAATAATGCACTATGATTTTTCCTTTTGTATAAGTTGTGTATCATGTTCTCTCACTATTTGCCCATTTTGTTTTGAGATTCAGGCTCATGTTACACACTTACTTGAATTCTTCTGTCTTCTTCCCCCTTCTCTCTCTCTCTCTCTCTCTCTCTCTCCCTCCTTTTATACCAAAATTAGCCTGGCCACACTACAAGTGGGAACACAGGAAGGTTGGGTAGAAAAAGACTACTTAACCATTTTCTTCCAAAAACAGCACAAAAACACATTTTTTTCCATTTAACATGCCTCTTGAACATTCTCTTAAAATTGCAATGGACTAATCAAAACCAAGTAATAATTTTCCTTGCAATTGTTAGTTAACTCATTTTAATAGTTTGACATTATTTAGTATAAGCCTGCATTGTTTTTATTAGTTGGCTGACCTTTCCTGCTGTTGTAGCTAAGCTGCATAGGCCAGGATTCCATAATATAGAATCTGGATGGACCAAAGTGGCTGAACTGCAAGCCTATCATTTTTGAAAGAGACTGTTCTTGGTGCCTGCATTTTTGAGATTTCTGAGCGTTTAGACTAGGCTTCCTCAGCCTCAGCCCTCCAGATATTTTTGGTCTACAACTCCCATGATCCCTAACTAGTAGGACCAGTGGTCAGGAATAATGGGAATTGTAGTCTCAAAACATCTGGAGGGCCGAGGTTGAGGAAGCCTGGTTTAGACCTCTCCTCCTCCATATTAGTGAGCGCTCTTTTTTGTCTGTTGTGACAAAGTATAAGTAAATTCCTGGAGTCTTAACCCAAACGTAGTCTTCCTACAATGTACATTCATTTCAGTGTTAGTTGTAAAGCAATCCTCTTGATGGTCTCTCTCTGAAGCTAGAACTATTTATTACCTCAGCAAAATACGTATTCCAGCACACATCTGAAAACAGCTGTGTGTGCTTAATCCTTTCCCCCCAGCCACTTTTCTGTCATTTCCAGTCTTGGAGCTCAGGGTATGTGCCAGAGAGGAGGGATGGGATGGTGCAGGGAGGGAGAGGTTGCTGGGTATGGGGAAAGTGGCAGACAGTGGAAGTACGAAGCAGTCCCCACCTGCCAGTTCTTCACTGTGTGCTCCTTCCCAGCCTATCATTAGCAGTACCAGTCCATGTGGGTTTGGGAGCCCTGTGTTTCTCCATAATTTTGTCATTTCAACCTAAGTTCTCCTCAAATTACACCACAGTATTTGCTTTCCTGTAATAGGAAGATAAACGTTAGCACAGAACAAGACTGTTTAATATAGAAAAGCATAAATCTTTCTTGACTTACATTGTTATAGCAGTAAATAAGTATCATGTATTGCTTCTGCTGATGGGAGAGGACTGGTTTTTATATCCTCTTCACCCAAACTAGTCCTTAAATACCATTATTTATCTGCTACTTACTTACTAGCACTTAGTTTGTATTGTCACAACTAATAGCACAAGTGCAGTCTGCCATATCCATCACTGCCTTAGTAAGAATGGGAACCACAATGCTCTCACACAACTTCTCCACTCACAAGGCATATCACTTTCATTTCAGTGTTGTGGGCAAACCACAGAGACTCCAAGTTCTGTGTTTAACTCCATTTAAATATGACAGCACATATACATGTGTACCATTTTAAATGGAGCACATAGAGGGCTCTGGATGAGACTGACAACCAATTCAGTGAGAGTCCAAATTCAGGAGTACTTATCCTAGAGACCTAAGAAAATTATGTCCTACATTGTGAAACTTGTTCCTCTATATTTGTGCCTGGAGGATAGTCTCAAATCAAGAGATGGGCAATGCAATGTGCATCCAGCAGTGAGTGTTGTCTGCTGGAATGTGTATTTGGGTGTGTACTGGAATGCGTAAGTCCAATATGATTTCTTGTGTGACTGTAGCTCGATTGAATCTTCAGAGGGAGGGCACTACAGTCTCATTTGCTCTCACTGTTGTCACCAGAGTCTAATCAGACTGATTCCATGAAGACATATTGTTCACAATGTGGTTTCTCATTGCCACTCACTTGGTGAATGGAGGAAGAAGCTGCCTTGTTTAAAAATGGCACAGAAGCAGCTCATCAGGGGAACCAGGGCTGTGAGCAAGCATGAAAAATGGCATGTAAAGGCCAAGCATTTATGCAGAGATGCTGTTGTGCATCGGTGTTAGCAAATGTGTATATTTCTTATTAAAATAAGTAATGGGGATGGAAAGTAAGGGTGGAGTTGCTTTTTTGCAACTGTTGAAAGCGCATTTTGCATCTTAACTATAAACAAGTATTACAGTTTGTTACAGCTTTATTGACCAGTCTATGACAAGTGACTTTTGCTCCATCAAGGCAATCTGAAAGTGCCAAAATTATAGGTAAATAGCAATTTAATTCATATTACGTATATTATCCTTCCAGTAATTGCACTGAATGTAGATTTAACTGCTTATAATATATTGTTATAATGATATAGTTTTTGTATTAACATATTTTATATCACTTGCTACTAAAATGATTCATTTTGTATAAGATCCCATTCATACAATAATGCATGGCATCACACTTTTATAAGACCTACATAGTTTCCTGCCAGTATTTTGCTCCAGGATCTTGTAATTTCACTAGCAAAAGGGTACATCCTGATGATTAAAATACTGTATTCCTCCATTTTACCATACAGTATACTCTTGAAATGACAACTCACTGCTATATATCTTTTAACTCTTCACAGTAAAGACTATTTTAAAACTGCACATCTTGGCTTGCTTTTATTTGGTGCAAGAACTTGCTGCAGAAAAGTTCTTTTGCAAAAATGTGCAAATGTTATTGAAATGTCATTAAGACGTCTAAGTAATGTAATAGTAAAGGTATAGCATTGTAACCTGCTCTGGCCAACAGGTGTTCTACTGTAGTTACTGGACCATTTGTTTGGTCCTGATGGATTTACCAAATATTCAGCACAATGTGGTTAAATGCCTGCCAGCTTTCATTAGTAAGGAAATGAAAGAAATGCTTTACACTCTGGAATATATAATATAACGTAATGTTGCATCTTTCTTCTGCAATGTGCAAATGTACATATTTACTTCCAATGTAATGCCCCATAGCTGTGAGACCCTTATTGTTAGAGGATTCCAGCTTTATTGTGGTGTCCAATTACTTGTGAATAATCAGTTTCTGTGACAAAATACAGTTCCAGCCCCCAGGCCACTGTGTGGAGAAAGAGTAGCCCTCAAGAATACAGAAGCTGGTCATCTCCTTTAACTAAAGCAGAATGTTGATTTTACTGCTTAATGTATTTCACTGGAATTACAGCTGTTGTGCAGGAAGGATTCTTTGACCCAAGCTGTAGCCTTAAGCATTGTGACAACAGAGGACTGAGGTAAGCTGTTCAAGAGTTTGATTTATTCTTAGATATACATTTCTAGAAGAAAGTTGACAATATCACTCCCATTACTTTGCAATTCTCTTTAGAAAGTGGAAACAATTTGGCTGTTACCATTTAAATCAAAAACTTCAAATTGAATTTACATGAAGAATTCAAAAATACAGTACAATCTTGACCCCAGGTAAGCATTCCCTGCCAGCAATGGATGCTGTGCATGGAATGTATGGATGTTCTTTTTCAAAGGTCAAGTACTCTGAAAGGTGTGGCACTCATTTAGCTGCACAAAGTTACTGAAGCTCTAATTCCCCAATACCCAAGCAGGAAAAAACCTTCATTGCAAAACTGTGCACCTTCTCCTAAATTGAACAAAGACTAACTATTGTGACTACTTTGGCAAATGACAGGGGGAAGCCAACAGTAGTCTTTCCTCATCTGCTGAAAATGTGAGGACACTAAAGGCAGCTTCACTGCTGAAACTGACACAACACAATCCTACGCATGCTTCCTAGCAGACAGCTGAAGCATGTTTCTTAAGCTAAGGCAACAGTCATGGAGTGAAGATGCTGTTCCATTCATTTGTAGTACTTCACCACGACTTAAAAGGTAACAGCCACCTTTTCCCATGCGTGCTCCAGGTTTGTGCTGACGCCTGGCACGTGCCAGGACTGTCCTGCATTCCTGTCCCTGCTCAACAGGAAAGGCTGGCATAATCTAAAACAGGATATACCGTATTTTTCGCTCTATAACACGCACCTGACCATAACACGCACATCGTTTTTAGAGGAGGAAAACAAGGGGAAAAACATTCTGAATGAAACAGTGGATGTATCATTTTTGTGCTTCATGCTGTGGCCACAGACATGTGATCTGATGGTGAATTTGGGGTGACCCAATGCAAAGATCCTGAGAATCCCTGTGGATCCATGCTTTGTAACCACGTTTTTGCACCATTGCAGCCCCAGGCAACAGTGGGTGCGTGATTTTTTTGGTGCAGGCTGTAGCCATGGACATGCTATGTGATCTGATGGTGAATTTGGGGTGACCCAATGCAAAGATCCTGAGGATCCATGTTGATCTATGCTTTGTAAACAAAGAAGGGACATGAGAGGGGTGTGCAGAGAAGCAGCTGGCTAAGAATGCTGGAGAGGGATTTGGGGTGGGAGGAAAGAAAGGCAAAAGTTCCCCCCCAAGCCAGCCATCTCTCTCTCTCTCTCTCTCTCTCTCTCTCTCTCTCTCTCTCTCTCTCTCCCTCCCTCCCTCCCTCCCTCCCTCCCCCCTCTCTCCCTCTCCCTCCCCCCCTCTCCCTCTCCCTCCCCCACTCTCTCTCCCTCTCCCCCAGCAGTACCGGAGCACAGAGACGACACTTTCCCCTCTGCTTGCCTGGAGGGGAGGGGCTTTCCCTGCTCTTTGTTCCGTTTCAGCAATCACAGCAACGAAACAGAGGAGGGGGGGCAGTAAGACCCTGAGGCAGAATGCAGGAAAGCTGCCGCTTCCTCTTTTCAGGTTTCCCTTCTCCGTGACTCGCGGTTTGACTTTTGCTTGATTTTTTGGCTCCAAGGACCACACATTCACTCTATAACACGCACAGACATTTCCCCTTCCTTTTTAGGAGAAAAAATCTGCGTGTTATAGAGCGAAAAATACGGTACTTCCAGAAAAGCGGGGGGAATGACAGCTAGCCTTGTTGAAATCAATGAGTCATAAAATGTTTTAAGCTGTAGTTAGTTTAAAAACAAATACGTTTTTGCTACAACAGCAGCTTTTGGTTCACTCCCCTAGGGTCAAGAAGAGGTAAAACTAGAGACTGCTCTGACAAATATAAAGCTAAAAATGAATTCCTTCCAATATTTGACATATTTTCAGTTTGGCACAGCCTGTGAATGATGGTCTCTGCACATCCTTAGGCAGGGAGATGTGAATCCTTCTGTTTGTTTGCAGCATTCAATAACAAGTTCACATATGATGTCAACAGGTCATCCATTTTGTATCCCTGAAGGAAAAATAAAAGACATTTAATGAACTACCCTGGAAAGAGCGAGACAGACATGAGACCCTTTAGCAGTCATGGAATGTTTCACAATAGTAGACCAGCCAGTTAAGATAAGCAGCATTGTGTTGTTACTCCTGCAAATACTGTTGGCTTAAGATATTAACACTGCTAAGCAGTGTACAAAAAACTTAAGTTTTCCTCTGATAAAATTGGAATTCAGTGGTTTGTGGAAAAGCCACAAACTAAAATATCATAAGTCACAGGAGAAGGGTTGTTCAAGGGTGAGGTAAATGATGCCCTTCCCAACTTATTTGGTGACTGCACAAGCAGTCTTAAGGATGGAAATTTATCTCTCAGAATGTCCTGGTTGATCATGAGACAAAGGAAGCCACTTTAAAAATAAATTAAAAGTGAATAATGATTGCTGATAGATATATACATCTTGTTCAAAAAACTGTCTGTCAAAGTAGTTTGAGGTATTTTAATTTAAAACACAAAACATTTCTCTGTGTGTGTATTTTCCCTTTTGATTTAGAAGGTTGACACTATGGCACAGCTGTGGGAGCTTTGACTCCACAAGAAGTGAATCTTCTACCCCATATACCTTTTGTAGTAATATAACATGTGCCTGAGTTCCCAAAACCACCAATATGCACATAATACAAGCCAGTTCTGTTTCCTCCACAATCCCAAGCCCATTGCAATTACAGTGGTGCCCTCGCTAGACGAAAGGGTTTTCCGTTTTTTGAGTCGTTCCGCAAGACGAATTTCCCTATGGGCTTGCTTCGCAAGACGAAACGTCTTGTGAGTTCTTGCGAGTTTGTTTCCTTTTTCTTAAAGCCGCTAAGCCGCTAATAGCCGTGCTTCGCAAGACGAAAAAACCGCAAGACGAAGAGACTCGCGGAACGGATTAATTTCGTCTTGCGAGGCACCACTGTACCATATGTTTCGCTCTGTAGGACGCACCCGACCATAGGACACACCTTGTTTTAGAGGGGGAGAACAAGAAAAAAAAATGTCCCCCTCTCTGCCCAGCGCCCTTTCAGCAAAGCGGCAGGAGGCGCTGCGCAGAGAGGGGGAGATTTTTCCCCCCTTGTTCTCCTCCTCTAAAACATGATGCCATTCAAGGTGCGTTCAGGCAGCTACCTTGGAAGCCTGGAGAGCGAGAGGGGTCAGTGCGCACCGACCCCTCTCGCTCTCCAGGCTTCAGTGAAGGCAACCCGAAGCCTCCGGAGTGCTGCGGGAGTTCCCGCTGCGCTCCAGAGGCTTCGGGTTCCTTTCAACCTGCTCTTTGGGGCTGGCGGGGGGAAGCCCACCACCAGCCCCAAAGAGCAGGTCGGGGAGCAGCAGAAAGGCAGGCACCCTTCCCGCTGCTTCGCGGGGCTGCCGGGGAAGCCCAGGTTCTCCCCCCCCCCAGCCCCAAAGAGCAAAGAAGCCAAGACAGCGAGCAGGACGCATCCCGCTCTCTGTCTTGGCTTCTGCCATAGCCACATGCAACCTTTCCAGCCGGGAGAGGCTGAACGGGGCTATGGCTTCTTTAGCCCCGCGCAACCTCTCCGGCAGGGAGAGCCTGCGCATGGCTATGGCAATACCTCCACCTCCCGTAAAAGCCCACAGGAGCCGCGCACCCTTTAAGGAGCGCACGGCTCCTGTGGGCTTTTCTATGAGGAGGGAGAAGGGACTGACTGGCCGCGTCGGTCCCTTCTCCCTCCTGAGAAAAAGCCCGCAAGAGGAGCTTGTGTGCAGCTTTCAGGGCTTTTCCTGCCTGCCTCCTCCCTGCATTCATTCCATAGGACGCACACACATTTCCCCTTCATTTTTGGAGGGGAAAAGTGCGTCCTATAGAGCGAAAAATACGGTACATCGTTCTGCTGTTTAACACACACACACCCTGTCGTCTCAAAATAATAGGACACAAATATCTAAGGCAAGAAGAGACTTCATCTATTTCAGGATTTTTCCCCAACTACCCAAGGCAGAACTATTACTCAGGTTGGAGAAAAGAGGAGCAATGATAGCTCTTGGTGACATTTACTCAGAGTGCACCATTAGAGGAAGGAGAAAAAGGGTTAACCAGTAATTACCAAGTCGTGGATGGTCTTGAGCAAATCTGAAATCATAAGCTTTTCTTACCAGGGAAGTCTCACAAAGGATCCGGCTCCCACGTACCAGGTTCCCTATGGTCATGTGGAAATATGTGCTGCCACTGCTCCAGTTGGAGATTTTAGTGAAAGGGTAAACTGTCAAGATCTCCTGCAATTTAAAATCAAAATAAATGCTACATGTAAGTTTTATTAGAACAAACAACTCCTACAAAAGGAGACATGTGGCACATCTGGTTTTCCAGGACGCAGTTCTGTGCTGATGCCTCATCAGATTATCTTCTGCGCCAATCCCTATTGATCTTAAATAGCACTTCTGACCATAAAATAGAAGCCAAGTTTCTATTTATCTGCTGTCTGGCAATGTTGCCTGAAGGATCCTTCCAAGAAGATACCACCTGAGTTTCTCCTTCCTGGGTGTGCAGGTCTCATGTTTATTCCTTCTTTATAAAATTGTTTTTATTTCCCTTAATGCTTAAGGGAATACTAGATGAATGTCTGAGGCTGAAAACTAAATTCTGTTGGCCAATGTACAGTTCTGCTTCTGTTGAAGAAAAGTACATTTCCTGCTGGAATCCACAACTCTCATCACATCTCCCTATGCCTTTACCTTAAAGTGTTTTTTGAATGAAACTTATGGCATAGCTCAGTGTGTGTGTACCTTTTCCAATGGGTAGGTATGCTGTCAAGTATCAAAATATGACTCTTACCTTAGACTTCATATGTATTAGAGAGACACCTTGTTTGTTGATAGCAATCAATACAATGTCAGGGATATTTGGCTCCGAGGTTTGCTAGTAAAGGGGAAGAAAAAATGAGTGATAGCTGTTGAACTATTTTAAATCACCAGCTGTCAGTGTCCTCTTATTTGAACAAGAATCTAAAGAGTTCTCAGTCAAAATGTTTGTAACAATAAGAAAATCAGGTGCGTGTGTGTGTCATGGGAATACTGCACGCTGCAAATAATGCATGTGCTTACACTCAGTGCCTTACTCCTCCCATATTTGGCTTCAGACACATGGGAGCTATTTGGAACTGGGAACCAGCTAAGGGAGAAATGGTTAAGCTTCATCTCCTCCTACAATTTCACCCCACTCCCAAAGTGGCTTTTCTTCAGAACGGAGGTGGCATCAATGCGGAGGACGCCACATCACAGGAATGGGCCCTAAGTAGACTCAAGAGCTTAAAAGAAGCAGGACAATAGAAGAAGCTTCTACTCTGCAGAAAGCAGCTTTCCAAATGGAGGCACACACAAAAACAGCACCTTTGAAACTCACCTTCACTTCGAAGAAGGCTGAGCCAAATGTTGGCCAACGATGTATGTACTTCAAGAAGGCAATCTTGGCCTCGTCCACAGTCTTCTGTTCATGTTTGCTGGCGGCAGAAGTGATATTCTGCATAAAAATACACACAAGTCAAAACGGAGGGGCATCTTTCTCTCGCAGTAATGGGTCTCAAGCAATTGCTCCCAGGTATGAAGAATGCAAAACTTATCTAATGCTCCTTGCTACATAAATTTATTTACTGAGGCACCTCCCCACCCTTGGATTAGAATGATAGAAAACACCCATCCTTTGGTCTTCAGGTTTGCGTGAGTTAAAAATCCAAATAAAGTAAGTACAGCATGATGCCTGCCATTTTTAAAGAGTTTTAGCAACTGTGGTGACTTCAGAGGGTCTCTGAAAGACTGCCATCTGCAAGGAAGCTTTGTGGACAGCAAAAATGGTTTTATTTGCTCATAAATTGGGAGGGGGTACTATTGAGGCATGATCAGTAGCCGCAGGGTGGTCCCAACCCAAACAAAAGCCAGGACAGATATGAATTTGACACTCTAGAGCAGTGTTTCCCAACCTTGTGCCTCCAGCTGTTTTTGGACTACAATTCCCATCATCCCTTGCCACTGGTCTTGCTAGTCAGGGATGATGGGAGTTGTAGTTCAAAAACAGCTGGAGGCCCAAGGTTGGGAAACACTGCTCTAGAGTTCTCAAACCTTCAACCCTCAGGGCCTACTTGAAAAAGTTACTGAGGCCACCAGAAACAAAATGGCGGTAACACAGTCGAAGGCAAATGGAGGCAGAGGGCAAGCCCACTCTTGGGCCCCAGCCCCACTGTTCAAGAAACAACAATCAAATGATTCTTCTTACCCGTTTCCACTCCTCTGGAGATGCTGTTCGGATCATGTTCTCAGGCACTAGTTCCTTCAATATTTTGGGAATTGCTGCATATTGCATTCGATCATTGTTATAGTTAACCTTGAAAATCAGCCCAGCTAATTGGATGGCATCCTCTTTTGAGCACTTGTGATATCCGCGTAGATACTTTGGTTGTTCCTGAAAGAGACAATTGAAGACACATTGATCTGTTAACCCTACTCTCTGCAGTGTGTGTGTGTGTGTGTAAGAGAGAGAGAGAGAGAGAAAGAATGAGTGATAGTGCTTTGCTTTTGGTTTCAGGGTAGGCACTGTATTTGTCCCTGTAAAATTAAGGCAAGGAACTTAGGGAAAGCATTAAAACATCTAAATTTAAAACCTGGGCTCAAGAGACCACACTCAGTGCTTTATAACATTTACTGGTTTGATGATGAGACATTTTCCAGGAATTGTAAATACCCACTGTCCACAAATCGTGTGAATCTTCATCTCATACCGATTCTCCACAAATGTGTATGACTCAGAGAAATCACAGTGGGTTCAGCAAGGACAGTGCTTAGTACATTCTATCTGCTCTGGGCATTGGACTTCCAGCAACAAGAGGGAAACCATTACAGGAGAATCCCAGATATCTCAGAGATTAATCTCACCTGTGTATTCCAAAAGATCTACCTCCTTCAAACCAAGTAACCCATCAATTCCTTTACCTTTTAGTATGATGATTAGCCTTCAACAAAACCACTTGCCAAGGTAATTGTGCAGCCCTCCCTGCTCTGGAAAGTTAATGAAGTGATAAAGAACCTTTGAAGTTTTACTATTGTTTGGGACAGTTAAGCTCAATTTCAAAAGGTGGAGAGACAAAGGAAGCATCTTTAGGAGAATTCTTCCTTAGGCATCTTATCTATGCTAATCAATTAAGCAAGCAGAGAAACCAGATCAAACATACATGGGGTGGTATTCAACTAGAAACTGGAAATTAATGATCGTTACTAAAATAGGTCTTAATTTCAATGGGTCTACTGTGAGTAAAACTTAGTTGAATACCACCCATAGAACTTGATTCCTTCTACCTGCAGCACCTGAAGTTGCTGATTTGCCCTGCTGTATCTGCTGCTGGTAGAGAACCAGCACCACCACCAGTGCTGATTTGGGGAAAGATTGGATTGATTTTGAGTGAAATCTACCCCCCCCCCCGATTGTGTGAGATTTTGCATGCTCTGCAAGCTCTCCCCAAATGGATACGATTCTGCTGATGGCGGCAGGGCAGGTGGGGCACCCATAGGCATGCTGCCTGCAGGGCCTCTGCCGCTTGTGTATCGTGGTGGGACAGGACTTCACAGTTGGCTAGTAGAAACTAGGACTTTACTATCAAGACTGGCCATAATTTGTAGACCTCTCGTGATTATTGTTATCGTTACTGTCAGTGGTATGCTATAAATATCAACCGTGTTAATTACCTGATGATAATGAAAGATGCAGTCAGCCTTCAAGTCCTTCCCAGGAGTCACATTCAGCCATAACTTTCTCATGAAATACACCTGGTAATTCACAGTGGTTGGAGCCACTAGGAAAACAGTGTTATATACATTTAAACAGGGAAGAAATCTCATAAGACTCATTTATATAGCCTGATTATGCATAAGTATTTTTTTTATGCTTCACATTACTCTCAGAAAGCCAGGTGCCAAAAATATGGTCCTTAGCCCACCCAACAATAAAACTGAATCGAAATTTAGAAGTTGACATACAAGCAAAAAAGGAACCTGTAAATATATTCTCTTGTACAACAAACAAAGACAACATGGACTAAAAATTTAGCCTTAAGTGAAAGACTAAGGAGAAATTGTGATAACAATTGGCTTTTAGAGAGCATTTTCTTCTACTGCTTCAGATAAGAAGCAATCTGTATAAATGAAGGTACAGTAGGATTATGCCGATGAACAACAAGACTTAGCTGAAATGAAGTGTACTTTTCTGGAACAGTTTGTTCCCACAACAGTCCCCCCTGCCCCGCTTTCATCAATCTCTGAACTGGGGCAAAATGTTTCCATCCTTCACAGTGACAACTGCCACTTTAAAAGAGGTCACTGTGTGCAGCACAGTCTTCTCCTCCCTTGGCAAGTGCTGGGGGTTGTATTGGGATCTGTGTATTGCTGTGGATGGGGCCTTCCTCAAAGAGGCAACTCCTGCTACTTGAAGGAAGGCAATTTGCAGCCATGGGATCCTTCTCCTTTCTTGGCAAGTATTTTGTCAAGAGATAGGAACAGGGGCCTCAATTTTTAAGGAAAAGGTGAATCCACTCACTTTGGAGAATGCTGCATTTTCAGAGAAAACTTGCACCTTTCTCTGCGAAAAACTAACTGCATGAAAATTCAGCTCAGTGCTTTTAAGGAATATTTTTACTACCTTTTTAGTAACAGAACAGTGGGTGGGAGTCACCTAATTAGCACCATCAGCGGAAGCTCTGTGCAGGGACTTCCACATGTGCAACAGGGCTCCCCCTCATTCTCTCCTGCACCCCCTGAAGTTGGCTCAGGGGTGTGTTCATCAGGAAAACCCCCAGAGCAGCACACAGCGGAAGGAGATCATCCCATTTTGCAAGCTGCAGTGTTTGCACAGATGGAATGATTGGAAGAGCACAATGCTAAATTCCACCCAATGTGCTTAGGGAAGTTGTAGAATTGTGATCCTCAAACATTTTTTAAAAAAGATGGATAAGCATCTGAGGGATACAATAATACATTGAGCAAGTCCTGCTTTACCTGAAAGATTTAAACTGAATAGTGATGCTCGAGGTTGTCGGCAAACACACTAAGAGTTTTAGGTTTGTTCAGGAAATGGAATTGTGCTATCTCCTTTGAGGATGTGGGGGCTTATGATATCTTATCTGGCAATGAACAAATTTCAAAGTGGAACAAGCAGTTGCCAGATCCACCAACTAATGTGGCAAATGAAAATTATTCAGTTATTTAGTGTCTGGACTCATTCCACTATTTTTAAATGAGCCTTTTTGTCAAGCTGAGCCAGCTAATTCATGCCACCAGGTGTAGATACAGAACACACACCAGAGAGCAATGATAACAAAGAGAGAACTGATTAATTATGGCAATAAAATGGGTTGCTTCCTGAACTCTTCCTGTTTCCTAATACCGAGCTGTCCCTGGTAAACAAACACCCAAGAATCCATCCACCCATTTCCATACCCTCTCTGCTCGGCCTGTTCTTCCGCGTCCAATCAGTCACCTGTCTCAAAGAGTCAAAAAAGTAATCTGCTTCATTCTGGCTGATCACCTAAGAAAGAAAAGATGAATGAGAGGGGAGTTTGCACAAAGAATCAATTCAATCCCCATAGTTCCCGTTGCAGTAATGTTGCAGTAACTGCAGTAGCTTATGGAATTAAACACAAATGATGCTGGCATGTGTTAGACCATGGGTCTTATTAAACAGGTACAGTAACCCCGCAACTTACAAACATTTAACTTGTGTGCATTCAGCTTTGTGTGATAAATAAAAAGGGGGTGGAAAGGGGCAGCATCAGATTTAGGGCAATGAGGGTGGTTCCAATGCACAGGGTGCCAAGCCAAGGGTGTGCAAAATTGAGAAGATCCACTTGGGGGTGCCAAATTTTGGCCTTGCAAAGTGTGCCATAATGCAGGTTTGCCAAAGTCCACTCCTGAAAGGGCAGGGTTCTGGGGGAAATGACTTTGGCAATCCCACCTGCCACTGAATGTTTTTGAGTATACACAATTTTGGCTTTAGGTGTGATTCCTGGAATGTACACCCTGCATAAGTTGCAGGCTTCCCGTATGAAGGAAAGAGATTAATAAAAAAAGCATTATTCTTTCACCCAGAAAAACAAGTTGAAGCATGCATTATTATCACACAGAGCTCACAGTGGATATGTGACCAAAAGGGCCCATCAAAGACACTCGCTTTATACGGTTGCCCTCTCTGCCAATTACCTTGTCTGCAGTCTTGACAAAGAGGCTGAATCCTTCCCAGGAACTCAGTTCCATCTGGCTGGCGATAGTCTCACACAGAGTCCGTACTTTTGTGTTTGTCCCTACCACAAATGCCTGGAACATAACAGTGGAGGGACCAAAGTGAGTAGACTGGAAGGAAAGGGAACGGAGGACAACTTGCATGATGCACACAAACCGCTAAGAGCCGGGCATCTGTCTCCTTGGCTCCAAGCTGCTCCAGAAGCCAGTGAAGGAAAACATGGAAGTCCATGCTGAGAGGCAGCACCTCTCTCTATGTCCACTGGATGCTGAAGGCAAATGTGAGGAACTGGCTGTCATTGCAACCCAGTTTCTGAGATCTTCTCAAGGGCTTCTGGTTAGCCACTGTTGTCAACAATGCTGACATTATTGTTATTAGCGTTTATTGTCTCCTTTTTTGTCCATAGCATTTTGTTTAAATACATATTTTAAAATTTTGCAAATATAAGAAAAAGAAGAAAAGCAACATAGACAGCTCACATTAAAAATAACCCATCAGTCCTGATTTAAACGTATATATTAATGTAAGCAGCCCACATGTTCAGACACGCCTAAATGAGTGGCCATGACAGTTATGAAACATTAAGGAATGGTACCTGAATTTGCTAATACATACAGTAAGCCCACAACTTACAGTGGTACCCCGCAAGACGAACGCCTCGCAAGACGGAAAACCCGCTAGACGAAAGGGTTTTCCGTTTTGGAGGCGCTTCGCAAAACGAATTTCCCTATGGGCTTGCTTCGCAAGACGAAAGCCCATAGGGAAATCTCCGGGACAGCGGGGAAGCGCAGCGCGTCTTCCCCACTGTCCTCGGACCTCCTCCGAAGGCTGGCGGGGGGGCGGAGAGACCTCTTCCCGCCGCCAGGCTTCGGAAGGATGCTCCGAAGCTAAAGAAGCTAAAGCAGCCTGCCGCGACCCTCTCCCGGCTGGAGATGTGACGCGCGCCTATGGCAGGAACCTCCATAGGCGCCCGTCACCTCTCCAGCCGGGAGAGCGCGCGCGGGGCTAAACCAGCCCCCCGCGACCCTCTCCCGGCTGGAGAAGTGACGCGCGCCTATGGCAGGAACCTCCATAGGCGCCCGTCACCTCTCCAGCCGGGAGAGCGCGCGCGGGGCTAAACCAGCCCCCCGCGACCCTCTCCCGGCTGGAGAAGTGACGCGCGCCTATGGCAGGAGCCTCCATAGGCGCCCGTCACCTCTCCAGCCGGGAGAGCGCGCGCGGGGCTAAACCAGCCCCCGCGACCCTCTCCCAGCTGGAGAAGTGACGCGCGCCTATGGCAGGAACCTCCATAGGCGCCCGTCACCTCTCCAGCCGGGAGAGCGCGCGCGGGGCTAAACCAGCCCCCGCGACCCTCTCCCAGCTGGAGAAGTGACGCGCGCCTATGGCAGGAACCTCCATAGGCGCCCGTCACCTCTCCAGCCGGGAGAGCGCACGCGGGGCTAAACCAGCCCCCCGCGACCCTCTCCCGGCTGGAGAAGTGACGCGTGCCTATGGCAGGAACCTCCATAGGCGCCCGTCACCTCTCCAGCCGGGAGAGCGCGCGCGGGGCTAAAGAAGCCATAGCCCCGCGACCCTCTCCCAGCTGGAGAAGTGACGCGTGACTATGGCAGCAGCCTCTGAAGGATGCACCGAAGCCTGGCGTGGGGGGGGGCGAAGAGACCTTCTCCCCGCGCCAGCCTTCGGATGGCTGTCCTGAAGACTTGGGGTGGGAGAAGGGTTTTCCTTCCCACCGCCAACATTCAGAATGCTGTTCTGAATGTTGGCGGTGGGGAGGAAAAACCCTCCTCCCACGCAAGCCCCGGGAACAGAGGAAAAGCGCTGCGCGCCTTCCCCTCTGTTCCCGTACCTGTGCTGAAGGCTTGCGGTGGGGAGAAAAGCCCTTCTCCGCACCGCCAGCCTGGCAAGCGGTTTCCCTAGGAACGCATTAATTGATTTTCAATGCATTCCTATGGGAAACCGTGCTTCGCAAGACGAAAAACTCGCAAGAAGAAAAAACTTGCGGAACGAATTAATTTCGTCTTGCGAGGCACCACTGTATATGCATTTAACTTGTGCATATTCAGCTTTATGCACTTGACAAAAAATTTAAAAGGATGAAAAAGGGGCCGGGTTCCAGGAAAAATAACCTTGGCAACCCTCCCACCATTGACCCAAATGGGTTTTGATGATAATGCGATTTTGGCTTTAGGTGTGATTCCCCAAAATGTAACCCCCATGCAAGGTGTGGGCTTACTGTATTCATTCCCTCCCCTTCCATGTCCCCTTTTTCTGCAGCATCAAGTTTATTAGATTGTATGTAACTGTACAATACAAAGAACAACCTTCCAATATATTTAACAGATACGGGTAGATAGCAGAGTTGGCCTCACCTGCTCTGTATCATTTGGAAAGTAAACCTTGTGGGAAATCTTTGTGATATTCTTCTGGATCGCCTCCACTTCCACGCTGTGTGGGGCCCACTTCCGACAGCCACTCCTGGAAAATAGCAATGCAGCTAGAAATCTCAGAGGTGGGCATTTGCTCATGGGCAGCTGCCATCAGTCTACTGCAACTCAGCCTTATGCAGAGTCTGAAAATTGGTCCACCTTGATCAATACTGTCTACACTGACTGGCAACGGCTCTCCAAGGTTTCAGGCAGAGAATTTTTCCCAGCTCTACCTGGAGATGCTGGAGACCTTTGCATGCAAAACATGAGCTCTGCTACTGAGCCAGGGCCATTCCTCAAGTTAAGCCACTAAACAGCTATTAAGAGAGCAGGAAACAGAGGCCTCTGATGGAAGAGTAATAGCTACCTTGACATGAATTTTTGTGCTCCTAGATGGCTCCTCTCTTACCCCGTGTTCTTCCTCCTACTAAGGGCTGAACTCTAAGACAGGTACAGGGCTCTGAGGCACCTGTTGCTTCAAGTATAGGATTTGTGAAGAGGCTTCAGCTGAAGAACCAAACCGTCATAGAAACCACAGGGCTCTCTCATTCCTTAAATGTAATTATTTTTAATCTAAAACGAACCCCACTAAAGCAAGAGCCCTCCAGCATCACCTGCTATTCAGAGGGAGCTGCCTGTGAGTTCTGCAGAAAAGAGAAATGTGTGTATGTCTTGAGCACATCTGTCTTATGCCCACATCTGTCATGCTATCAATCTCTCCTGGCATGGAAGAAAGGTTAGTCCCTTTCAATTTCTTTTGTACATTAGGTTACATGTTGCATATGCTTTACCGTATACGCTTTACATTTCCTGCCACATTGCACAAGGTGGGACTCTGCTGTTACCTTAGGGACAGAGGACACAAAACCTTCTCAAAGGATTGATAAAGCCTCTGTACCTCATCACTCTTTGCATCCTACGCCTGCAGTCCACAGCCAGGTTCTCTTTCAGGCGAGTCTCCATAAATTTCTGAGCATGACTCAGCAGTGATTTACTCGGAGGGAAAAGGCCTGTGCAGAGCCAGAGTAATTGCCAACCACTGTTCAGGCTGTACCTGTAGTTTGGAGGGAAATAATAATAATTACTTAGAAATGTTAATATATTTTATTTACTTAACCCAACAGCTCTTGAGACTTAGGAAACTATCCATCCAGCTGGCTTCTTTGTGACCCCCCCCTCCATTGTCACCATAGGAGTGGAAATGGCTTCCACTGCTGGATTTGGAGATTCTGGAAGCCAGATACCTCTGAAAGCTCAATAAGTTCTTTTTCTGACAATGACCGAGAAATACATTGATATAAAAAGGAACTGTCCTGTAAGAGATGGTTGGGACCTTGGTACCTGTTGGTGTTCTCTGTCAGCTGCTTCATGATCTGACAGTAGATCTCATCGCGCAGAACTTCCTCCTGAATTGCCACTACAAATATCTGGTCGGTGAGCTCCGCAGGGGACCTCTCCTGCTTTGAGGATAGTCTCCCATGTATCTCATGATAGGTGAGCAAAGAGGTAAGGAAAAGTTTGCAGAGATGATGTGCAATTTCAAGCACCTCTCCTTTTTCAGAGAACTCCTAGTGACTGAGCCCTCCGGTGACAATTAGGCTGTGCTGCCTAGCAAAACCTATTAACAGGTCACCTTACCAATTAGCACTGCCTTCTGTAACTTCTTCTCTTTTGGGGGTGTTAATGCTATGAACCCCTCCATCATAGGCTCAGGTTGTATATAGTATGAGCCATTTATCCTAAAGACACCACAGTCTCTGCTGTGCCTCATACATGAACCCTGGAATATGGCACCATTGTGCCAAGCAAGGGAACCAGGCAGAGGGCCTTCTCAGTAGTGGCACCCGCCCTGTGGAACGCCCTCCCACCAGATCTCAAAGAGAAAAACAACTAGCAGACTTTTAAAAGACATCTGAAGGCAGCCCTGTTTAGGGAAGCTTTTAATGTTTGACAGAATATTTTGTTGGAAGCCGCCCAGAGTGGCTGGAGAAACCCAGCCAGATGGGCAGAGTATAAATAAATTTATTACTCTTATTTTTAATTTTATTTTTGTTGTGTTGTTGTTGTTATAATATTGGGGAGGTATGCAGCCCTATCACTAGCATAAAGGATATCAATGAAGGACTGGCAAGCAAAGTCCCAGAGGTCAGAGTTGGTGCACACCTTCTTCAGTAAAGGCTGTTTTAGGGGTTCCCTAGAGTGAGCCCATAGGTGACTCCTCCCACGGGACTTGTGTAAGACCGCCTTGCTGATGGACTCCTTTTCAGGAACTCTGGGAAAACAAAAGAACATTTCCTCAAAGCAGTGCCATTTGGACTTAACATTTGCTTGGGATAGGTAAAAAATGTAACAGAGAAAATCTATCTGGACAGGTATAACCTGGCTGCAGTATTCTTTGCTCTGGTAACCTCAAGCTAGGATTGCTGCAGTGCAGTACATGGGACTGCCTTTTAAGACTGTTTGGAAATTGCAGCTTGTGCAGAATGCGGCCACTCAATCGCTGGCAGGTTCGAGGCAATGCACTTGCACCACAATTTTGCTTCTCCCCCTCCTAGTAAGCAGGGGTAACACACCTGCCAAAAAGCTAGGATTATGGCTCTACCCTGCCTGGCATGGATCCAACCTAAAATTCCCTGCACCTGCTACAGGTCACCCTTTAGCACAGAGGTGGGGGACTGGACCTGGCCAATGGGCCAGGTCCTCCCTCCCCCCCACTCCAACTTGACAGCGCCATCTGCTGAACAAGGGAGTTCCTGATAGGCAACTCCCTAGTGCAGCTGATCCCAGCAGAGCTTCCTATTGGCACCAATCAACTGAAGAGTATTAAGAGTGACCTCTGTTTGCCTTGGAACAGTTGGGAGTGCATGTTGAGCTCATGAATGTTCCTATGCAGCCACACCTGATGTCACATATGGCTTAAGGTGGGCATGGCTTGGAGAAACAGCCTCCCAGGCCAAATTATGACCCTTGCAGGACCTAACTAGACCTATGGGAAGGAGGTTTCCCTCTTGCACGTCTGAAGATTAGGCCCCTTTTTTCTATGTTGCCACTTGAAGATTGGTGCCAACTCTGATTTGCATTTGAATATGGCGAAAATCCTGGCTGGAACAGTATCTCATTGCTCATCAGGAGAGGAGTGGTCGACCTTCACTGTGTCCTCTACTTCACTGCAGATAAGGAACGGCAAGAGGGGTCACCACAAGAGTCATTTCCATCACATGGAAGATGGAGTGGGATGCAATAACTAAGACGGGTTTAAGCACAATAACATGCAACTGTTGGTTGAAAAAGCAGCATGACTTTCAGGAAGTAAGAGGCTCTGGGAGAAACTGAATAGGAAGCTGCAAGGCACAGGGATAAATATACCTGAAGTGCTCGTAGGAGAATTCTTCCAGAGTATATGGCTTCACTTTTGCTTCTTCTTCCTCATGCTCCTCTGTGCGAGAATTCAGTGACGCCAACCTCCGTTGTTCAGGCGACATCATCAGCAGGCTCTGAAAAGACACAGCCCCTTGAAGGCTACAGGCTCCTTGCCAAGATGTCAGACACCGACCACCCGTGCTGACGCTTCAAGGAAAGATTTGTGGGCAGGATACTCATTTCCTGCCAGGTCTGCTTACAGACACTTCTTCAGAGCAAGGAAGGATTACCAAGCTTGCCAACATTTCCCTTAATGAGGGGGAAAGTTCCAAAAGAATTCCCACAGGGACAAGCATTGCATTAGAAGAGGCCCCAGAGAGTCAAATCCAGATATCAAGTCAATGCATAACTGGAACTACTGTTGCTGCTTGGATGTACTTGAAACTTACATGAAACTGCTAATTGAAACAAATACTCAAAACAGAGAACAATGTTAAAAATGCAATTTAAAGTAGTTCAGTAATAATTACAGTCCACAACAGATCAAAAGTTTCCATTTATGGGGGAATAACTTCCAATGTTCTGGTCTCAGTTTTAGTTTTAATAAGCATGTGAAAATTCTGAGCATGCTCTGCTAAAGATTTAGGAATTCAAGAGGAAGCCTGATTTCTACTAAAGCTCTAAAACGGGATCCGAATTAGCTTTGACAATTTCCCCAAAGGCTCCAGCAAGCCCTTGTTCAGTACTGCTATTTTCTTCCATTCCTCTGAAACACAGTCTACAGATTTTTTTGTGGGTTTCAGCATGTTACCTTAATAGAGGTCATATCCATGCCATACATTTAATGCACATGGCTCCCCTGAAGAATCCTGGGAACTGTAGTTTACCAGTCACAGAACTACAATTCCCAGCACCCTTAGCAACCTACAGTTCCCAGAACTCTTTATTTGGAAGGGGAATAGGTGCTTTAAAAATATGATGATGATATGAGCAGAGATGGGATGGAAGCCATTTATCTTGGTTATCCTTACCAGTAATTGACTAGAAGGTTTCGTAACAGTGGGGATGACGTAGATTGCATCTTGTGACACAAGCCCAGATTTACCAGTTCGCTCATTCTGAGCATAGATCCAGCCTTGGCTTCCTTCCAGTCTTCTGCCACGGGCATGCATCCTGCCTTGGCTTTTTTCTAGTCCCCTGTCCTTGGCTAAAATCAGCAAATCCCCCTTCTTAAATGCCAGAATTGTGGAGTCATCTGGGAAGCAAAAAGAGAGAGAGAACTGCAGTAATGCTGTCCAGCCATTGCACATCAGAGAGAAATCCAGGGGTGTGGTGGGGTGGAAAAGTGTTTTCAGAGTCAGACCAAGCCATGAGTCCTCAGACTTTCTCACAAGACCTGTAGGGATCTGTTATGCAGCCATTTTGTGCAAGTATTGATATCTGAGTTTGTATTAGGGGGGCCACTTCCTAGAAGCTGAGCCCTTTTGGCTCCCCTGTGATATTTTTTTGGAGGGAGACAGACCTGCCCTCTGTGGAGGAGGCCAAGTGTGGAGCTGAGCACAGTGCAGCTTCAATAGCCAGCTCCTCCTTCTCCTTCTCCGCCTCCTCCTGCCACAGAGGGGAAGGAGCTGCTGGCCATGGAAGACATGCTGCTGACATGTTCCTCTCTGCCCCCAGCTCCTTTGATGTTGGCCCCCACATTCTCCTTCAGAAGCTGGTGCCACTGGTTTGTATCAAGCATGTGGCAAGTGGGCCATGAGAGTAACTTGCCATGAAATGAACAGCAAATCACATTTGTTTATCTTGTGAACTGCCTGAGATCTTTGGGTGAAGGGTGGTATATAAATTTAACAATAAATAAATAAGGAAGATGTATGTCAAATTGTGTTTTGTGCTCATAAGGCTGTGTACACACCATACATTTAAAGCAGACACATCCTGCTCCAAAGAATCCTCTAAACTGTAGTTTAAGCCACACAAAGCTACAATTTCCTGCACTCTTACCAAGAATCCTAGGATTCTTTTGGGGGTGGGGTGGGGCATGTGCTTTAAATGTGGGGTGTGTACAGTTTCCCTTCTTTCCCAATCTTGTTTTTACCTCAGTGACCTGTCTAGTTTTTGTTCCATTCTTCTGCTACATCATTACCTGTTTCTGCTCATGTTTCCCACTAACAATTTCTCATGCCACCTCAGGGGATGTGGGAGATTTGTGACTGGATCTTTCAACACTTTCCACTTAAGAGTATTTCTTAGAATCAAGTGGTATATAAATTGTGTTTAATAAATCAAGAACATGTTTTTCCTTAAAAGAAGGTGGAGAAGCTGAAGCATTTGAACTGAGACTGCAGGAAAGACGAGGAAAATTTTCCCTCAGTTCTTCCAATAGCAAAAGTCCATCCTTATCAAGAGCTGGGTGTAAAGCTAGGTGGTTTACTGTTTATGAGCCAGGAATGCTGCCTCATTTTGGTAAACAGCTCAATGACATCTTTCACTAAGAGGGGACAAATGATGCACACAAGTTTGGATGGGACCACACCAGAAGCTGCTGGGGGAGTCATAATCTGCACCTGACATCTATCAGCAGAGAGAGAAGCCCAAACCAGCCCTCCACTGGACACATTGATTCAGCGTAACCTGATCCTTGGAAACTTCTCCATCTGAAAGCACCCTAAGTTACCTTGCTGCTTGTTTTCTTGCATTGCCACAGCATACTGTGACCTCTCTTTCAGTCCTTGCAGAAACATGACCACCAGCTCAGCAATGACAACGCTGTTGGCCGATGTCAAGACAAACTCTTCAGCACGCAAGGTGTTAAGGGTGCAACTTTGTCCAAACGCCTTGACTGCCCTGTGAAACACAGAAGTAATTTGTTAATTACTCTGGGAGCTGCAGGAAAGCAAAGCTCTACATCTACCTACAGCCTTCAGAATAAGAGTCCAAATGTCCTCAAATCCATTAATTCAAAGACACAGTAGAGTCTTTTAACATGGATCAAAAAACAATGGGTGGGAAGGACAAGACCTGATGTTTTCCAAAACTAGAACAGAATCACCAACTCCTAGTGGGAGGTCAAATTTGTACATTCAGCCCTTCCATGTCTCCTTACAGAGACATCTTATCCTGCAAGACTCATTCTCAAACAAAGAGGGAATTGGAAGCAAGTGCTGTAAGGGAACAGTGAGATGATATAAGATTTCATACTCGGAGTAAACAGAACTCCACACCTGCTCCTTGAAGAAGAGGATGCTTTTTAAAACTTTGGGGAAGGGCCATAGTTCAGCAGCAGAGTCTGGTAGGACTAGGAAAGAACACTCTGAAATCTTGGGAGAGCTACTGCTAAGCCACTGTAGGCAGTACTGAGCTAGGTGGACCAGTGATCTGGCTCAGTGTAAGGCAGCTTCCTGTCTAAAACCTCCCCCTGGCATAATTGCCAAGGAAGGAAGACAGAAGAATCAAATGTGGCCAATGATATGAAGAGCAGGTAGGAGCTGAGCACCCTTGGGTTTCTTGAGAGTTCCAAGAGGGGACTCTGCTGCTCTGCTGTGAGGGAGCACTCAGTCATGTCACCTGCCTCACTGCAATAGTCCCAGTGGAGTGCCAGCCCCTGCATGGTGGTTTTTGAACCCCAAGTTCACGATCCCACTGACAATGGAAGACTTCCAGCACTGTCTCCCACTCAGTTCTTGACCTTTCCTTGCATGGCCAATAAGGGATTATTTCTCAAGCTTCCTACGATCAGAATGTGCACGTATTCCAAAGTTTCCCAAGAGAGTCCTGCGATGATGAAATGCATTTCAAATATTGTGCAGAATGTCGGTGAGGATGCAGTACCTACATTCTCTCGGGCCCATGGTGTCCTAGCAGACTTACCTGTTTGTGTGGATGCCAGTGATTTCTGGGAAAGACAGGTCTAGAAATCTCTTTTCTGACTCATCTAGGAAGCAGATCCCTTTCCAATTAATTGCCACTATGAAATGGTTCTTGGGCAGACTTGGCCCTGTAAACACAATTTTTAAAAAGGTAGTGTGGCAACCTTTTCTTACCTCAGATATTCCTCCCCTCTGTACCCTCACCCACACGAAAGGGGTTGACATTACCTGAAAATTTGGTGACCTCAAAGAATCTAGAAAAGAGCAGAGGCCACTGAAAGCGGGCAAAATCCACCAGCTGCTCCTTCACATTCTGAGGGGAAAGTCGGTCCTGGGTATAAGGGGCCTGCAACATAGAGATGCAGAGGTGACTAAGTCTGTTCCCTTCAGTGGCAACCATCTCTCTTCTGTGTCTATGCAGGCTTTTATGGGGGAAACCCTCAAAACTCCATTCAAGCCCACAGATTTAGAAATACTTCAAAATCCTTTGAAGTGGCAGAGCTGTCATTAAGTACCTCCAAACTGCCAAAGGCCAGATGTGAGCTGTCTCCTTTTGACTTAGCAACAGCTGCAGCCACATATACAAATAAGATTGCAATTTCCCTGGGAAAACAGGTACTGATGATGCACTTCTGCTCTCAAGAGGAATTGCAGATGTGCAGGAACGTGGATATTTCCATGGGCATGCATGTCATCACTGCTCTTAGAGACTCTGGGATACTTGACAGCCTGATCATGGAATGTGGACCGAGTGTAGATTCTCAAGCGGACCCATGTCCAATCCATATTTCAGTCTGGATGGTATGGATCAAGTGAGTCCAGTTTGGAATTCATGTTTGCTGAATTCCTCCAAATGCTCTGCAACACACATGGGATTTCCTGGTGCACATCCACCAAGGATAAAATACGACCGTCAGTTCTCCCCAAGTGTTTCAAAGACTGTTCACTTCAGCTGCTATTGCCACCAACGCAGAGGGGGAAGGGCATAGGGAAAGAGAAAAGCTGCAGGAGAACAGAAGAGGTAAGTGGGAAATCAGCAGCAACAGCAGCAGAAGCAAATGCTCAGTGAAGTGAAAGAAACAGGGTGCACCATTAGCAATCCATCACCCCTGTCAGGCCCATACACAATTTGTCAACTTGTTGAAACCTCTCAATTGTCATAAATTCGTTCAGTGGGACCCCCTGCTCAATCCTCCTTAGTAAACCATAGGGGGCAAATATATTGGTCCTCTTTTCCTCGGCCACATTCCTCTAGGACACTTATTTTCTGTTCCAGAAGAAAGCACAGAAGGACAAATGCATTATAAAACAAAGTTATGTAAGACAGAAGCTATGGGTTATGTTAGTCCCAGTATGTACCCCTGGGTGTTCTTACCTTAGCGTGAGCATATGTGATGAGGCTCACCCACTTCTCCTTGGATTTAGACTTCAGCAGCTTTGCTGGGATACACTCCTGGAGCATGTTTTGAACCAACTCATTTTGGATGGACTCTCCAAACTGGACGTAGCAATATTTGGCTCCTATCTCCACCAAGTCCTCCTCCTATGACAATTAATCAGGTTTGGTGATTTGCTAGAAGAGGCTTTAACCTAATGTCAGTCATTGCCCAGACTAGACAAATTAGATATTCATCTTCTCCCAAGCAGGTTTGATCCAGAGGTTTGTATAGCACACATATACAGAAGAATGAATTGCACTAATGGCATTGAATAGAATATTGAAACAGTAAGGAAAGATCCATTTGTCAAAGAAATGCCCCTTGGAAGACTAATTACATATACCCAAACCAATCCATTTCCCAAAGTGCCTTTGGACTCCATGTATTAGTAAATTAAAAACCTACCTTCTCACAGCGGTATTCTCCATATCGAATGCCACGGATGATTTGATGATAGATGAGCTCAGTGCTGACAGGATCTTCCTTAGAGTTGTGCCAGGGAGTGAAGACCTCTTTCCTGAAGTACAGACGCCAGGGAGTGTGGCGTTCGTGGCCACCCTTCTCCTTTTCCATTTGTTCACACTGGGAAATGGCATCCATTATGTGTTCCCGTTCGCCACCAAGTGACCAAGCCTAACAACATCAACATCACCCATTTCAAAGATAAATGAGGTTGTTTTCTTTAATGGATATTCTAATAATGTCGGGAAAATGCCCCCAAGTCATCTCATGTAAGGGTGAGTGAAAATTACACAGTAAGTTATATTTCACCAGGATAATTAATTAGCAGCATGGTGTAAGGCAGCCTTCTCCCCATATGCCCAGACCCTACAATCATCATCTGAGATCCTTCCTCCTGCGCCTCCTGCACAAGAGGTACAGAAGGTGGCAACATGAGAGCAGGCCTTTTCTGAGGTGGCTTGTGGAATGCTGTCCCTAGGGAGGTTCGCCTGGCACCTTCATTATATATATCTTTAGGTGCCAGACAAAAATGTTCCTCTTTAACCAGGCCTTTGGCTGAATAACATTCTACAGCTTTATAAATGTGTTTGTGGGTTGCGGGGTTATTGTTTTGTTGTTTCTGTTTTATTATTATTATTTTCAAAGAGAACAACAACTACCAGACTTTTAGAAGACATCTAAAGGCTGCCCTGTTTAGAGAAGCTTTTAATGTCTGATGTGTTACGGTATTTTAATATTTTGTTGGAAGCCGCCCAGAGTGGCTGGGGAAGCTCAGCCAGATGGGCGGGGTATAAATAATAAATTATTATAAATTATTATAAACCAGTGCTTTTTTTATGGGGATACTCAAGAGTACGCCAGTACCAGAAGCATTTTTTCTAGAAGAAAAGCACTGGTTTTAACTATTTATTTGTGTTTCCATCTTGTATTCTTATCCTGAGATTTTTTTGAAGAGCAGTACATAGATCTAAAAAAACCCACAACCTGGTACCCTCCTACAACTCCTATCAGCCCCAGGCCAGTGTATGGTAATGCAAGGACGGGAAGGTGGTTTCACTTTATGCCCTTCTAGGGTATTTGTTGATGTCAGGGCAGGTGCTTGATACAAACACTATTCCTTAAAAAAGCCATGTGTGGAACTTTGTAGATAGAGACATTTGTAGATATTCAAACATGAGGTATAAATGCATACCAAAACCACCCCCACATTTATTCCACTGTATTTTGAGACCCAGATGATTGCTAGAAGATAAAAGGTCATTCCTTACTTGAGTATCCAAGGTAGTAAAGGTAAAGGTACCCCTGCCCGTACGGGCCAGTCTTGCCAGACTCTAGGGTTGTGCGCTCATCTCACTCTATAGGCCGGGAGCCAGCGCTGTCCGCAGACACTTCCGGGTCACGTGGCCAGCGTGACAAGCTGCATCTGGCGAGCCAGCGCAGCACACGGAACGCCGTTTACCTTCCCGCTGGTAAGCGGTCCCTATTTATCTACTTGCACCCGGGGGTGCTTTCAAACTGCTAGGTTGGCAGGAGCTGGGACCAAACAACGGGAGCTCACCCCGCCGCGGGGATTCGAACTGCCGACCATGCAATCGGCAAGTCCTAGGCACTGAGGTTTTACCCACAGCGCCACCCGCGTCCCTGAGTATCCAAGGTAGGTTGATATAAATGGGCTCGTTCTTTAAAAAGAATGTCATGTAGACTTTTTGCCCATGCAGACGGAATATGCACGTGTGACTATTTGTGTGAATCTGCTACCAGGAGCACAAAATCTACAGGCTGCATGCAATGGGCTACTTATCATAGGGATGTTAGCCATAGTATGACTTTCACATGACCAAGATAACCACAAGCACATTCAATCTACATCAGTATATGTGTGTGTTTGGCCACATTAAAAAGCCCAAAACGCAAACTGGTCTTCAGATCTAAAAGCACACCTTCCTTGCTGCAATTATGTGGGAAGATGGCCAACAATCAGGCTTAGAATATGGGAAATTGCATTTTCACATATGAAGAATTGGGCTACACTGATGGCAAAGAGCCCTCTCCACCCCCCACCCCCCATCCTGCCTTTCACACACAAAACATAACTGAAATTTAAAAGAGTTGTGTAGATGCCTCCCACCCCCAAATGCATTTACGCAGATTTCACCCCACATGCAATGTTTTTTTCACCTTGTCGTACAAAGCAATATAGAGAGAGAAACCAAATGTATCCTTCAGGTTAGTTTTCTCAGCAACACGCTGGCAAATTTCCTTTGCAATGGAGGCTGAATCTGCCGAGACTGTGATGCTGCTGCCATTCATCAGGGTCACGCTAAGCGTAATAGGCTTCTTATTCTTTGTTGCCTGAAAGCCAAAGAAACACAGGGGCAGAGTCACACAGCAACTTTCTCCACACTTGCTCAATTTGCAGCTATAATGAGAGTTCCAAATCTTTACACAAATATCCACCTTTCAGATAAAGGGGAGAAACCTGACTCTTCTAGATGCTATTAGACGAAAGTAATTATGTAGTAACATTCAGGCTTCTTCTGCTCTAAAGCTCTTTAGCACTGCAGACACATTGCTTCTCTGCAATTAACTGGAAGGGTTTAATAATGAAAGTTCAGCACACCACTTAATCCAGCAATGCTCTTCCTTGTGGCCAGCAAAGATCCTTTCCAATATTAATTTTTAAAAAATCTTCCCCGTGATCCTGGATATAGGATTAGTAATATATACTGCCTTAATTGTCCCTTGAATAGCTCATCTTAATTGCCTTCATTGTTCTTGCAGCTGGAGTTGGGGTTTAATTACAAGTACTGTATGTTCTGGCGTATAAGGCGACTTTTGAACCCTGGAAAATCTTCTCCAAAGTTGGGGGTCGCCTTATACGCCGGGTATGGTTGTGGCAGGTGGCAGCGGCTGCGCGGGATGCAGCCTGGCAGCGGCTGCGGGCTGAAGAGAGCTAACCCGCGCGGTGACAGCTGCGGGGGAGGCAGCCAGGCAGCGGCTGCGGGCTCGAGAGAGTTAACCCGCACAGTGACGGCTGCGCGGGATGCAGCCAGGCAGTGGCTGCGGGCTGGAGAGAAGAACCGGCGGCGACTCTTCCCACCCACCCCGTTCCAAGCCCTTGCCCTCTCGCTCGCTTGCCCGCCCTGCCACCATGAGGACCACCAGATAGCAGGCAGCTATCTCGAAGCAGCAGCAACCGCGGCAGCCTCCCCTTCCCATGGCGAGGTGGTGCGCGGCTTCGGCCGGGGCTCCAAGGAGGTGGGCATCCCCACAACTGCCAGAACTACCAGCCGGTAAGCGTAGCCTGCCGCTTTGCTGGATGGCCGAATGGGGCTCGCTCGCCTCGCCTTGGGCTGCTGCTAGTTGGCTGCAGGCGGGGGTAGTCTTATACGGCGAGTATATCCCAAACTCTATATTTTAACAGGAAAAGTTGGGGGTTGTCTAATACGCCCAGTCACCTAATACGCCGGAATCTGTCATATTCATTTTAAGAGCGAAATATCAGTACTGAATTTTGCAATAAAAACTGAGATTCTACATAGCAAGATAGCATTATATTCTCCAGAAATGCACTTCCTCATGGCCAAACTCCAAGGAAAAAAAGAGAATAAATGAATACTTAAAGACTCGCCACTCCTGCCACAGGAATGGAAATTGGTACTGGGACAACCAAAAGAGGCTGTTCAGGGGCTGGGGAGCACGCGGGGGGGGGCACGGGACTCAGCAGTATTTTGCCTATCCGCGCTAGGCAGGTTGTTGCTGCAATCACGTTTTATTGCAAAAATTATATGTTTTTGCCATCTATCAGAACTGGAAAAACAGGCAAGGGGGACAAGATACAAACCATCGACTGCAACAATCTGCCAATGGCATCCATGGCTTCCACACTGGACACTTTCTGTGACAAAGGCACACTTTCCTCACTCACTTTTTAACATGTATCTGTATGACATCATGAACAAGACAGGTCTCCCTCTCAAATTTCCCTTGTTCTGCCTTTCACATTTCCCCCCAAAGCTCAGGAGAAAAAACTTTTTAAAAAGCCCTGAATTTAATAGTTGCCCTATTTCCCTAAGTGCAGATGCCTATTGTGCTGCTATTCCGGCTGATTAGACTGCTCTGGTCATTTCTTAGCTTGAGCTCTGTCCCGTTCCTTCTGTATCATCTGTCCCTCATCACTAGGAATCAAAACTATCACTTTGGCCTTTGTCTAAAGAGTAAGTGAACACAAGGAAGCAATTCCAGACAGACTAGTGCAGAAAGCAGTAAAAAGCACAGACCCCATAAGGAGGTTAACTGCCTTCTGTTACAACCCAGCAAGATTCATCAGTGTGAGAAAAGGATAAAATGATGGTTACCTGCAGCTCCAGCCAACTAGGTGGGTCAGATCGTGTTCCATTCATATATGTGCGCTTCAGTCTTTCAGCACAGTATGGGACATATAATGTTGGTCCACCCTGGATGAAATTCAGTAGGTACTGGAAGTATAAAGCAGACCACAGTATTATAAAGCGAAGAATATCCCCAAATCCTTATTAACCGTCTAATACAGGTATGTAGAACTTGTGAAAATATTTACTCATGGTTTACACCTCTTCTTTCTGGGTTTTGAATATCATTTCCCAAACGACATGATATTCTTTGATACTCCTTGACCTCAAGGAAAGTGACATTTTTTTCTGGGGTTGCAAATGTGGAAAGAGGAATTTCTTCCTACCCCACAATTATGCAGTGCTACCTTCACTGCCACAACCATCATCGCCACTGCCTTCTCCTCATTCATCCCCTCTTCTGCGGTTGCCAGGAAAGAAGCCCCAAGATGGCACCAGGATCCAGGAGTGCCAGCTTGGCCCTATGACCATGGGGGCCTGGGGGCTGGGGCCATGGGTGTCATGCAACGTGCATGGCCCTGGCACTGAAATGTGTGGGTGCCCGGTCCCTTCATGGGGAATTTTGTGGGTACTCAGGCACCCAGGGCTCCAGGGAGTTGGCACCTATGCCAGGATCCTAGAGTTGCCAATGAGGTTATTTTAGGGTAACAGCATCTCATCTCAAGATGGTGAAGTGGTGGAAGGTGACAGGGTGGGGGGAGAGGAGAGGAGAGGAGGAGGTGGGGAGGCACCATGAGGGTGAGGGCAGCGGAAGGTGGTGGTGGTGAGGGGCAGTAGCTGTGGGCTTTCGTCTTTGGCAGTTTCCCCTCTCTATGCACACCTATCACAGACAAAATCCTGTACATTATTGATATTCTAGATTCCAACATACTTTAAAAAAAAACCCCCGCAGAATAACTACCTTCACAAACTTGTCTGAAGGACAGAAGGAACTAAGACAGAGAGACAGCAGAATCCAACCTCTCAGATAACTGGTTTGGTTTTTATTCTCACTGAGTTGCTTGCAGATCTGACAGTAAATTTCATCCCTGTGGAAGAAAACTAATTAGCAAAATAATTCTCATCCCCAATGACAGACTTTTTGCTAAACATCCATGTACAATTTCCCTGCTACAAGTGGGTGTACTTGAAGCCTGTTTGATTACATTGTGCTTTTTGTTTTGTAATAAATGCTGCACCCAGGCATCTTATGCTCAACCTGGTAGAGATCTACACAATTTTTAACACATTTTTCTAAGGGCTGTATGCAGGACTGGCTCAACACATTTTGCTGCCTGAGACAAAGGCCCTCATATCCCACATATAAAAGCCCTACCTATGCTACACTTCTGCTTCATTCTTGTTCTTTCAAGAATGCCTAATTTAGGGGTTGCCAATGTGGCACCCATAGGCCTTGCAGAGGGCTTTCCTGGCACCCACAGGGTCCTTGCTCCCACCCCCCTCCTTGCTGAAATTAGGCTGGAAAGAAGCCACCAATTTAAAAAAGTTGGTGTTCTGCATGTGGTGCCCATCTCAGTTTGCAAATGGCCACAGACCCACAAATGTTGGCCTAGTTAATATACCAGATATACAGAATGTTAAAAAATGGATGAAGTTAAGATGAACCCAGACTTTTCTAGCTGGTCATTTGGATATACTCTGTACAGTGGTACCTCTAGTTACGAACTTAATTCGTTTTGGAGGTCTGTTCTTAACCTGAAACTGTTCCTAACTAGAGGCGTGCTTTCACTAATGGGGCCTCTTGCTGCCGCTGCGCCATCCGCACACAATTTCCATTCTCATCCTGGGGCAAATTTCTCAACTTGAGGTAGTTCTTCCAGGTTAGCGGAGTTTGTAACCTGAAGCGTTTGTAAGCTGAGGTGTTTGTAACTCGAGGTACCACTGTAATCTGAAAATGTAAGCTGCCCCTTAATATATAATACCTGATGGCAGGACGCTGGATAGCATTGCCAATAATGAAGTGCACTTTCTCAAGGTTAGACATAGGTCCCTCAGACACAGTGCTTTCCTCCCGAAACATATCTTCCCCATTGCTCAGCTGGTAAGCCACCTAAAATGAAGCAGGAAACCATTTTCCTCCTCTTGCCTGAAAGGTTATTTTCAATAAATACACTTAATTCTGGGATAGGAAATTGTTACATATAACTGATAACATTCTCTTCTATGGAACCATCCCCTTGCCTCTACACTCACACACACTCACACACACACACACACACACACACACACACAAATCTCCTATATATATACTTAATTTTAATTTTATTCACATATAGGAGCATAGGAAGTTGTCTTAGACCAGGGGTCTGCAACCTTTAAGACAAAAAGAGCCACTTGGACACGTTTCCGAAGGGGGGAAAAAACTGGGAGCCGCAAAACCATTGTGACATTTAAAACAAATATATCTCCGGAGCCGCGATCTGACAGCGGGCGGGAAGGTGATGTCGGGACGGTGCGTGACTAATGCACGCACTGCCCCCGTGCGACGTCACAGCCAGTACAGCACCCGCCACAGTGGGGAGTGTCGGGGCGCACAATGCGCCTCCTCCCCTCGCTAGTATCCGCCCCGGAGCCGCAGCAAAGGTGTAAAAGAGCCACATGCGGCTCCGGAGCCGCGGGTTGCAGACCCCTGTCTTAGACTATCAGTCCATCTGGCTCAGTCTTGTCTGCACTGATTATCAGCAACTCTCCAGAGTTTCTGGCCTTCCCATCCCTACCTGGAGATGTCCAGGATTGAACCTGGGGCCATCAAAAACAGATGCTCTGCCACGGAGCTAAGGTACTTCCCCTAATTTTACTTTGTCATTTATATACCTCTCAATTAGCCATGTTCTTTGGGCAGTTCACACATTGAATCATCAATGAAAACAACCAAATACAGAAGTAAGCACCAAAACAAAAAGTAGCACAAAAACATACAAAATCAATAGAATGTCACTAAAGCATGGCAAGGGGAGAAACACAGGAGTTTTAAAAACTAAAAAACATTCAATTTTAATTATTAAATGACCTGAAAGGGAAAGAAGGGGGCTTAACCAACCACTGGAGGGATCCTAATGCAAGCGATGGATGTGTCTTTCTGGGGAGAGCATTTCATGAGCGGGGTGCCACCACTTAAAAAGTCCTCTCTCTAATAATCATAGAATTGTAGAGTTGGAAAGGACCACCAAGGTCATGTAGTCCAACCCCAGGCAACGCAGGAATCTTTTGCCCAATGTGGGGCTTGAACCCACGGGCCCTCAGATGAAGAGTCATGTGCTTTACCAACTGAGCTATCCCAGGTGACATAATCTGACTCACTTCACTACACAAGGGGAACCTGGTTGAGGGCCTCTGATGAAGATCCTATGGAAGGAAGTGATCCTGCCTCCAAGCCATTTAGGGATTTAAAGATTCAATTCAATGTTCAGTGAATGACTGAAGATTCAGGATATACAAAATAAAGTGCTTCTTTACACAGTGCGTTGTTAGAGGCAGTGATGACCACCAATTTGGATGGCTTTAAGCGGATTAGACAAATTCATGGATATAGCTATCAATGGCTACTAGCTGCATTCAGTATGCTTCTGAATACCAGTTTCTGGAAACTGCAAGAAGTGCTATTGTGCTCAGGTTCTGTTGTGAGCGTCTCATACGCATCTGGCTGGTCACTGTGAGAACAAGATGTTAAACTAGATGGGTCCTTGTTTGCTCTCACAGGACTTGTCTTACATTCTTAATTCATAATTCAAACTGATGCACTATGAATGCTTATTTGGAAGTAAATCCATCTGTCCCGTCATATTTATTGTTGATCAGAGGATCGATGCCAACAAAATGTGTTTGGTGGGACTTGGTCCTGAATAGGATTGCAGCCTTCATTTCCTTTTAATTCTTGAGACATAATCCCCCCACCCCCTATTGCAGGGGTCAGCAAACTTTTTCAGCAGGGGGCCAGTCCATTGTCCCTCAGACCTTTGGGGAGCCGGACTATATTTTCGGGGGGGGGGAATGAACAAATTTCTATGCCCCCAAAATAACCCAGAGATGCATTTTAAATAAAAGGGCACATTCTACTCATGTAAAAACACGCTGATTCCCAGACCGTCCGCAGGCCAGATTCTGCCCCCGGGCCTTAGTTTGCCTACCCATGCCCTATTGTCTTTGTGCCTTCTTTATAATGTTCAGAGGGGGTTGGGGTTCTTTTTGTCTTTTGAGTTCTGTGCAAGCAACCAAATTGTCCTACTCTTACAAACATTTCTTTTTTCATTTAACATCAAGTCTGGTCACTTGACTCAAAGAACCGTCTCCCCTTGCTTTCAGAATGGACATGTTTTCATATGCAATTTTTCTATTAAATTACTGTTGCCCAGAGTACTTATTATTAAACAATGTAGTTCAAGCCCAGGGCTTTTCCCCCAGCTTGAACTCATCAGAACTCAGTTCCAGCACCTCTCAGGCGGACACCATTGATATTATAAGAGAACAAGGGAGGCATTCGTGGTGAGTTCTGGCACCTCTTCTTCTGTAAAAATAGGACTGTTCAAATCCAATGTCAAAACATAGCCTACCTTTCCAGTCAGCTTGGAGTTGCGTTTTAGTTTCACAGATGAAATGACATTGGAGAACTTGTCCTTCCTGTTGTCCCTCTAAGACAGAAATGTTCATTATGAACTTTGATCCTCAAAAGTCAGTGGCAACTGCTAAATTAAGGGAAAATATTCTCTACAGTCTCAAGCACTGTTTTCTGAGAACTTTCCTGTCAAGTAGTACATGCAGGAATTTTGATGCAAAATAAGAATGATTTGTTGTCCACAGTATATGTTATACTGGTGATTCTGGATTCCACAGTATGAAAGACACAGGTGGATGACATATCAGACTATTGCAAACTTTTGGTTTTAACAAGTTCTTCATAAGGCACAGGTAATCACATAAAGAAGTGGAGAGAAAAGATGCCATGGGAGCATGTGGAGCTTTTAGGCATGCATAGGACAGCCAGGCTCCAATAAATTCACCAGCAGATCACCTGGAATCAAAAACACTTTCTAGAATGTTGATAGACTTTCATATTAAACATTTGGTTGAAGAAAACACTTTGAGGAGCAGAGGTAGGTTGTTCTCCAGCTTAGCCAAGGATTTTCTGAAACCACTTTTTCTGAAACCCTAACTCTGCTTTCACTGTAGTCAGAAGCGAGACAAGGGTCTTGCCAAGTACTTTGCAGATTTTTATTTTAAAAAAGAATCACACACTAGACTATCTCCCCCTCCCAGCACTATAAATCATGTACTGAGTAATGTAAATGGAATGTAGGACTTTCTTTTCACACAACAGAGTACTAATGAACTATGACCCAGTTTTCTTCCAAACCAAAATGGGTTACAATTAACAATGGTCCAATCATAGACAACTAGCCTGTCCTCATTAATTATACCAATTCAAGTCTGCAAGGACTAATTGCAGGAAATTAACAATTAAGCCCCAGAATCCAGCTACAACATGGAACAACCATCTGCAAAATTCCTTTCATCTTGGCCAATCAAACGCAGATCCCCTGGTCCATACACACTGTACCAGTTATATTAATATAGCACTTAATGACCCTCTTGGCTTTGCATCTCTATGATGGCTGCAAAATCAGGATAATTATCAAGCATCTCATAGATGGCAATTCTTGGTGAGTGTGTTACTGGCAGGAGTTGCATGGGTTTGAATCAGGAGATTTGGCTCTAGTCTACAGCTGCCTGGTGTGTTGCACCTACATGAAGGCCATTTAGCATCTCCACGTTCTGGGTAGACATCCCAATCATCTAGGTGGGTCATCGGATCCTCTAGGAAAGGAAGAACTGCAAGAGATTTCCTCTTTCTTATTAGGTCTTGCATGAGCAACATGGTCTTCCCAAGCAATGGTGTGTGCCTGTATCCTTCGGTTGCTTTCAGTCCTGCCTCCTAGTTTCTCCTTTGGTCTGGACTTACTCTCCACCCCTGCTCTCTCAGCTCACCTCAGGCTGCTCCCCACAGCCCAGCCTTGACAGCCCCACATACAGCCTGGGAGTTTGGGGAGGTCTGCTTCAGTTCTTGAATGTAGCAAATTAAAATGCAGACTTCTAGCCTCCAGTTACCAAGGTCAAGCTCAACATGCGTTTGTAACTTGGTGTGTTTTTTTGCTTTATAAAACAGTTGTGAAAGTCCCTCAGTCCAGGTCAGGATTGCAGCACTTGGAGATGCGGGGTGAAAGTTCATCCTTCCTACACACTGACATTCCCCCTCTGAGATCTTCTCCCCCCCCCCAAAGATGCCACTGCAAATACAGTAGTACCTTTGGGGGCAAATAACAATCTTCTGGGGGAGAACAGCGCAGGCGAAAAGGTTAAGATGCAAATACTTCAAAGGGAGTGGTCTAATTTTCATAAGATTATAGCTGTGAAAAACAATGCCTTCCTCTTACCACATCAGGACTGCAGTTGCCTGTGGGCTGCAGCTGGTTTTTCTTGCCAAAGGTATCATAGACCTGAGTCACTTCAGAGCTGCTCTTGCTGTTGGTGTTTTTTCCTAGCTCTGGTAAGTCACCCATGAACTGCAAGATGGTGGTCCAAACGGCTAGAGATGCCTAATACGGATAGGACACACGATGAGATAATTTTGCATAGTAATGGTAAAGCTAACGTGTAACATATTTTACCGATGCACTTAATTCCCACAGAAGTTTGTGAGGTTCTGTGTGCCTGTACTGAAACCATAACGACTTTGGGATATAATCTGCAATAGTAGCAGTAGCTAGGCAGCAGCAGTTCAGTCAGTAGTTGGTACTGGTTTTTGCTAATACTGTAAAACCAGCTTGTTAGTTTGCCCTGTGTTGAGACACAATATGATAGTTTCTTTTATAGTGATTGTAAACCGATTCAGTAAATCTTAGTCAGTTTTATAAACTTCATTTATTAAATCTACATATGAATATATACATATTCTCCCTTTGTTTTTAGATAACAACTGCATGAAGCATTCCCTCCCATATGTGAGAGATGGTGGTATTTCTTTAAGTACCTGTGTTTTTAAAAAAGTTCTTTAAAAAATTGCTGCCCAGTAAATTAGGGTTTTGCTTTTAACTGAACAAATATATTGTAAATCAATTGGTCTAGCAGTTGTATTGACTAAGGCTGCATACACACCATACATTTAAAGCATGTGACTTCCCAAAGGATCCTGGGAACTATTGTTTGTTACGGGTGCTGAGAATTATAGCTCTGTGAGGGGTAAACTACAATTCCCAGGGTTATTAAGAGGGGGAGAACATCCTTTAAATGTATGGTGTTTACACAATCTAAATCTTGCATTCTAGCATCGGTGTTCTTTCTGTTTTATTTCTAGAACAGCATTTTGTGGCCTGCAGAAAACAAAGGGGGGGGGAGAATAAGATCTAAGGTGCTGCTAGTGTTGTCAGCAAAACTTAATCAGTACAGTGAAGAAGAGTTACACTACCAGAATATCATCCTTCTCCTCATGGTAGAGCAATGGGTGGCGCAGCGGCCGTCGAATGTGCGTATGTGTAGAGGAACCTTGGAAGTAAGTGGCTGCAAATTTTGGGAATGAATATTCTGCAAGACCACTCGTCTCCTCTTCCTCTTCCTCCAGCTCCATGGCCATCGGGATCATATCCAGGTCCACCTCATTCAGCTTGTACATCTGTGTCTTTGTCTCTAAGTCCTGCAGGGCAAAGAATCACAGACTGTGACACAGAAGCAGAGAGCATCTCTCTAACTCTCTCTCATGTTGTTATCCTTCACTCTCTGGCTTCCCACAGAAACATCAGTGCTTACTAGTTCTGATGGCTGCATTACCTCTGGGATCAGAGGCAGTGTTTGGGGAACATGAGTCAGAGCGCATTGTTGCACTTGTGAGCTTCCCACATGCATGTGGTTGGCCACTGCAAGAACAGGATGCTGGGCTAGATGGACCTTTGGTGTGACCCAGCAGGGCTCTTCTTATACCGAGGCTCCAGCAAGGCTGTTTGCTTGTCTGAGGCATTTCTACCCTGCCTTTTAGCCAGGACACACTACAAAACTGTGTCAATGTTGGCTATTAATAAGCATCATTGTAAGGTGTGCATAGTGGACACCTTCTCTATTAAGATAATATCTCCAGGTGGCCAATTCATATGATGTTTTCCCCCCTGGGGGTGAACAGGCCTATACAATACTGACTTTACAGCTGCTTACCTCAAAGCCCAGAGGAGCCTGTCCTTCTTGGCCTCCGATTAAAGAAGGTAAGAAGCCAAATACTCTGTCCACCATTTCCTGGTCACTGATGACATCATATATTGCTTCATGTTTGTCGTCAACAGCATCATATTTCCTTAGCTTCTCAGCGTCCTCTTCCAGCTGTTCCTGTGGATAAGTTATATGAATCCATATAGCCAGCACTAGGAACTTGTGGGAATGAAAATCTGTACACACACCAAATCCTCATAGGCACAAAGTGCAAGTTTGGATTTCCATGGCCAGGAGGACAAACAGGTTTACAAAGTAAGTTACTAGAATGCATATGGGAATACTCAGGAGCAAAGTATGCAAGCTACTCAGAGCATACAAAAATGGACCAGATATTTTCAAATGTTTCTAAATCTCATCTAATTCTGTAAGCAATCTACTCCTTATAAGCCTAATTTCTGTCACCTAGATTTCCAGGGACAGGCACAGTGGTATCCCGGTAAAGCAGATCTAAGTAGTAGATATCTGACCATATACAGTATATACAATATACAATTAACTGTGTAATCTCACTGTATACAAGTTGTACAAGTGACAATAAAGTATTTCAATATAACATGCTGGAACTAGGCTTGCTGAGACCCAGCATATGCTCTTGGATTCCAAGCAAATTATTTCATTTTCAAATACGTATAGGGAACAAGAAGATTTCATGGTGAAAATAATTTGCCTGGCTAGTAAAGGTAAAGGGACCCCTGACCATTAGGTCCAGTTGCGGACGACTCTGGGGTTGCGGCGCTCATCTCGCTTTACTGGCCGAGGGAGCCGGCGTACAGCTTCCAGGTCATGTGGCCAGCATGACTAAGCCGCTTCTGGCGAACCAGAGCAGTGAACAGAAACGCCATTTACCTTCCCGCCGGAGCGGTACCTGTTTATCTACTTGCACTTTGACGTGCTTTCAAACTGCTAGGTTGGCAGGAGCAGGGACCGAGCAACGGGAGCTCACCCCGTTGCGGGGATTCGAACCGCCGACCTTCTGATTGGCAAGTCCTAGGCTCTGTGGTTTAACCCACAGCGCCACCTGCGTCCCAATTTGCCTGGCTACTTCTGACTTTAAAAAATCAGATGACCCTATAAGGAAAGGTGTGGGGCACCTTTAACCCTCTAGATCAGTGTTTCCCAACCTTTTTTGGGCAAAGGCACACTTGTTTCATGAAAAAATCTCGAGGCACACCACCATTACAGCCCCGTGACGTCAGCGCGCAGCGTCATGCCAGGAGGGACGCACGAAAGTGTAAGTTTCAATTTTTTCCCCTCCCCCTTGCCTTCCTTCTGTGCCAACCGCCAAAAAGCCAAGAAAAAAGCCAAGACTTTAGGGCAGCAGGTTGACACGGAAGAAGCTCCTACCTAAGGACAGGTGCGACGGCCGTGTCCTCTTCTGCCACACTTGGCAGCCCTGCCTCACGGTCGTGACTCCCACCCTGATTTCTCCCCGCAGGTCGAGCGGCACAGGCAGCCCAATGTGTCCAGCCCAGACACAAGCCCCGCTTCCCCACTCTAGATCCTGAATGCGACCAAGTGCTCTGGACTCCCGAGCAGGGTGGGAAAGAGGACTCGCATCTGGTAGCCTCCGGGCTCCTCGCCTGCTCGAGGGATGGCATTGCAGGCAAGCTGCCGGCCGTCGCCATCGCCGCCCCCTCATGCGAGTGGACCTGCCCGGAGTGGTGGGCCGGGGGAGGCTCGCTCTCTGTGGGGATGTGGCCCGCACGCGTGGCCCCGCTTCCTCCTGCCCAGGGCTGAGCTCCTTACCCGCGATCTCGGTCTCGCGCACGCGGATCCCACTTATTCTGAAGCTCGCACCACCAGCCCCGTCTTGTGATGCACGGTTTCCCATAGGAATGCATTGAAAATCAATTAATGCGTTCCTAGGGAAACCGCCTTCAGACCAGGTCCGGGGACAGTCTGTCCCCCGACCTCTTCTGAAGGCTGGGGGGGGACAAGGGCTTTTCTTCCCACCCCCAGCATTTTAAAAAACCCCGGGACAGCGGAGGACTTCTCCGCTGTCCGGGGCAATCTTAAAATGCTGGCGGGCGGCATTTTAAAATCGCCCGGGACAGCGGAGGACTTCTCCGCTGTCCGGGGCGATTTAAAAGCCCCTGGGAAGGCAGGCAGGGGGGACAAAGATTTTCGCCCCCCGCCCGCCTTCAGAAGAGGTCCTGGACCTCTTCTGAAGGTGGGCGGGGGCGAAAGTCTTTGCTCCCCCCTGCCTGCCTTCCCGGGAGAGCGGAGAAAGGCAGCGCGTTTCTCCGCTGTCCCGGACGGCTTTTGAAGGCAGGCTTTTGAAAGCCGTCCGGGACAGCGGAGAAACGCAGCGCGCCCTTGCCGCTGCCCCCCGACTTGGCTGGAAGGCTGGCGGGGGGAGAAGCCTGCTCCTCCCCATCGCCAGCCCCGCAAACTCGGGGGACAGCGGGAGAGGCGGCACACTATTGGGTTCTAGGTCATCTGGAAAGGGAGAGTAAACTGTTATCAACAAAATAAATGATATTTCTTAGGTCCCATTCAGTGATGTTTCAACACTATTACTTAATTTCCTACAATCAACCATTTCATTATTTTCTCTTTTACTGACTGGCAAGGATTTAAAGCAGGATTGAAGAACCCTTTTCAGCTAGTGTTGCTTGTGACGGGTGAGGCCACAGGAAAAAGTGGCTCGCACAAAATATGTAAACTTTACCTTTATACAGTAGGCTAATTTCGATATCCTCTTTTATACCACATTCAGCCAAGCAAAATACATTATCGGAGTTTAAGGACAGAATCAAGCCAGATAAAAGGACTCTAGTAGGCTGCAATCTGAGGGTGGGACTTTTTATTTTTATTTACTTATCAAATTTATACACCACTCTTCCTCACAGGATTTCAGGGTTTGAGGAAATGAGGTGTGACTGCGGAGGGTATGTGGTGTAGGGCAGTGTTTCCCAACCTTTTTTGGGCAAAGGCACACTTGTTTCATGAAAAAAATCTCGAGGCACACCACCATTACAGCCCCGTGACGTCAGCGCGCAGCGTCATGCCAGGAGGGACGCACGAAAGTGTAAGTTTCAATTTTTTCCCCTCCCCCTTGCCTTCCTTCTGTGCCAACCGCCAAAAAGCCAAGAAAAAAGCCAAGACTTTAGGGCAGCAGGTTGACACGGAAGAAGCTCCTACCTAAGGACAGGTGCGACGGCCGTGTCCTCTTCTGCCACACTTGGCAGCCCTGCCTCACGGTCGTGACTCCCACCCTGATTTCTCCCCGCAGGTCGAGCGGCACAGGCAGCCCAATGTGTCCAGCCCAGACACAAGCCCCGCTTCCCCACTCTAGATCCTGAATGCGACCAAGTGCTCTGGACTCCCGAGCAGGGTGGGAAAGAGGACTCGCATCTGGTAGCCTCCGGGCTCCTCGCCTGCTCGAGGGATGGCATTGCAGGCAAGCTGCCGGCCGTCGCCATCGCCGCCCCCTCATGCGAGTGGACCTGCCCGGAGTGGTGGGCCGGGGGAGGCTCGCTCTCTGTGGGGATGTGGCCCGCACGCGTGGCCCCGCTTCCTCCTGCCCAGGGCTGAGCTCCTTACCCGCGATCTCGGTCTCGCGCACGCGGATCCCACTTATTCTGAAGCTCGCACCACCAGCCCCGTCTTGTGATGCACGGTTTCCCATAGGAATGCATTGAAAATCAATTAATGCGTTCCTAGGGAAACCGCCTTCAGACCAGGTCCGGGGACAGTCTGTCCCCCGACCTCTTCTGAAGGCTGGGGGGGGGACAAGGGCTTTTCTTCCCACCCCCAGCATTTTAAAAAACCCCGGGACAGCGGAGGACTTCTCCGCTGTCCGGGGCAATCTTAAAATGCTGGCGGGCGGCATTTTAAAATCGCCCGGGACAGCGGAGGACTTCTCCGCTGTCCGGGGCGATTTAAAAGCCCCTGGGAAGGCAGGCAGGGGGGACAAAGATTTTCGCCCCCCGCCCGCCTTCAGAAGAGGTCCTGGACCTCTTCTGAAGGTGGGCGGGGGCGAAAGTCTTTGCTCCCCCCTGCCTGCCTTCCCGGGAGAGCGGAGAAAGGCAGCGCGTTTCTCCGCTGTCCCGGACGGCTTTTGAAGGCAGGCTTTTGAAAGCCGTCCGGGACAGCGGAGAAACGCAGCGCGCCCTTGCCGCTGCCCCCCGACTTGGCTGGAAGGCTGGCGGGGGAGAAGCCTGCTCCTCCCCATCGCCAGCCCCGCAAACTCGGGGGACAGCGGGAGAGGCGCAGCGCGCCCTTCCTGCTGCCCCCCGACTTGGCTGGAAGGCTGGCGGGGGGAGAAGCCTGCTCCTCCCCATCGCCAGCCCCGCAAACTCGGGGGACAGCGGGAGAGGCACAGCGCGCCCTTGCCGCTGCCCCCCGACTTGGCTGGAAGGCTGGCGGGGGGAGAAGCCTGCTCCTCCCCATCGCCAGCCCTGCAAACTCGGGGGACAGCGGGAGAGGCACAGCGCGCCCTTGCCGCTGCCCCCCGACTTGGCTGGAAGGCTGGCGGGGGGTGAAGCCTGCTCCTCCCCGTCGCCAGCCCTGCAAACTCGGGGGACAGCGGGAGAGGCACAGCGCGCCCTTGCCGCTGCCCCCGACTTGGCTGGAAGGCTGGCGGGGGGAGAAGCCTGCTCCTCCCCGTCGCCAGCCCCGCAAACTCGGGGGACAGCGGGAGAGGCGCAGCGCGCCCTTGCCGCTGCCCCCGACTTGGCTGGAAGGCTGGCGGGGGGAGAAGCCTGCTCCTCCCCATCGCCAGCCCCGCAAACTCGGGGGACAGCGGGAGAGGCACAGCGCGCCCTTGCCGCTGCCCCCGACTTGGCTGGAAGGCTGGCGGGGGGAGAAGCCTGCTCCTCCCCATCGCCAGCCCCGCAAACTCGGGGGACAGCGGGAGAGGCACAGCGCGCTCTTGCCGCTGCCCCCCGACTTGGCTGGAAGGCTGGCGGGGGGAGAAGCCTGCTCCTCCCCATCGCCAGCCCTGCAAACTCGGGGGACAGCGGGAGAGGCACAGCGCGCCCTTGCCGCTGCCCCCCGACTTGGCTGGAAGGCTGGCGGGGGGAGACGCCTGCTACTCCCCATCGCCAGCCCCGCAAACTCGGGGGACAGCGGGAGAGGCACAGCGCGCCCTTGCCGCTGCCCCCCGACTTGGCTGGAAGGCTGGCGGGGGGAAAAGCCTGCTCCTCCCCATCGCCAGCCCCGCAAACTCGGGGGGACAGCGGGAGAGGCGCAGCGCGCCCTTGCCGCTGCCCCCCGACTTGGCTGGAAGGCTGGCGGGGGGAGAAGCCTGCTCCTCCCCATCGCCAGCCCCGCAAACTCGGGGGACAGCGGGAGAGGCGCAGCGCGCCCTTGCCGCTGCCCCCCGACTTGGCTGGAAGGCTGGCGGGGGGAGAAGCCTGCTCCTCCCCATCGCCAGCCCCGCAAACTCGGGGGACAGCGGGAGAGGCACAGCGCGCTCTTGCCGCTGCCCCCCGACTTGGCTGGAAGGCTGGCGGGGGGAGAAGCCTGCTCCTCCCCATCGCCAGCCCCGCAAACTCGGGGGACAGCGGGAGAGGCACAGCGCGCCCTTGCCGCTGCCCCCCGACTTGGCTGGAAGGCTGGCGGGGGGAGAAGCCTGCTCCTCCCCATCGCCAGCCCCGCAAACTCGGGGGACAGCGGGAGAGGCACAGCGCGCCCTTGCCGCTGCCCCCCGACTTGGCTGGAAGGCTGGCGGGGGGAAAAGCCTGCTCCTCCCCATCGCCAGCCCCGCAAACTCGGGGGGACAGCGGGAGAGGCGCAGCGCGCCCTTGCCGCTGCCCCCCGACTTGGCTGGAAGGCTGGCGGGGGGAGAAGCCTGCTCCTCCCCATCGCCAGCCCCGCAAACTCGGGGGACAGCGGGAGAGGCGCAGCGCGCCATCCCGCTGTCTCCCGACATGGTTTGGAGGCTGGCGGAGGGGTTCCTCCTCCCCCAGCCCCGCAAGCTCCCAGAGCGATGCCAAAGCTGCGCGCAGCTTCGGCATGGCTCTGGGTCCCGTTCTGGGGGAGGGGGAAGCTCGGGCTTCCCCCACCCCAGCCCCACGCCTGGCGGTGGGGGAATAATTTTTTTCTCCTTTATTCCCCCCCCCCCGCCAATTTTTCCCGCGGCACACCAGGCAACGTCTGGCGGCACACTAGTGTGCCGCGGAACACCGGTTGGGAAACACTGCTCTAGATATTGATAAAGTACGACTCCTATCAGCTTCAGCAACCATGGCCATCAGGGATGATGGAAGTTGTAGTTCAGCAACATCAGGCGGGCCAAAGGTCCCCCCCCACCTGGTATAGAACCATAACACATGCGTGAAATGAACTTCACTTTCACAAATGGCAAAGTAGGGACAACAGGTACAGATAGGAGGACGTTTGTTGTGTATGATGAACTTTCCTAATATTTCTGCACAGACAGAACTCTCCATCAACATGCATGTCTTTCCGCTTTGGAAATGTGACCACTTGCATAGCTGTATATGACCTGCCGTGGAAACACACATTTCTGTGGGAGTTTCTTCTGCCTGAATGCCATCATACATGAGAGCCCGGCGACCGAGAGAACCTACCTTTTCTATTCTAAGCGCTTCTTCCCTTGCTTTCTTTGCTCCAGTTATTGGAAGGAGATGCTTATCTTCCTTGAAGCGTAGCTGTCTGGCTTCCAGTTTGAGTTGCTGCTGCAGGTAACAGAAACTTACTATTGTTGTCTTTAGCCAGATTTATCACTTTGCACTCCCTCGTTTCCAAATGATGCCCAGCCTAACATTTGCATATAGCAAGGGCAAAAGTCTCACTGTGGCTGGAGCCCCCTTCCAGACAGCCTTTATATTATATGCATCCATGATGATTTGTGCTCATGATCTTGTGGGGGAGCCACATGTGATCTCAATTTCAATACTCTTTGCACCTGGAAAAGTTTTGGGCTGGTCACACTGCTTCATTTCCATTCAGGGCATACCTAGTAACTTCCTGCTGAAACCCTGTAACTTTTTGCACCAGGAATGTTCTCGTTTATTTTTGTTCTGCTTTTGTTGAGCTATATCCTCTCCAGACAGCAATAATATGGTAGCAGTGGGGAAGCATCACAGAGCAACCAATAAAGCAGAATAAATGCACCACGAATACACTATTATTGCATCAAGAACATAAGAACTGTAGAGTTGGAAGGGACCACGAGGATCATCTAGTCCAACCCCTGCAATGCAGGAATATTTTGCCCAACGTGGGGCTCAACCTCATGATCCTGAAATTAAGAGTCTCATACTCTACCATCCGAGCTATCCCTGCAATAAAACACCAGTTTCACCTTTATAATTAGTAAATACTACTGTTAGAACCTAAATATCTACCGTATACTGGTGTCCTTATAAATCAATAGCTTTCATTCTGTATTTTAAAGTTGCATCAAAAATATTTTGGAAAATTAATGTCTTTTAAAGTCATCACATATCATTTTGGCTGTGAACGATTTTTAAAAATTTATTGCAAGTGCTAAAGGCAAAACTCATTCAGTGACATCCTGGGAAACTATAGTTAATGGTTAGTGTGACTGGGCCTAAGAGGACTTTTTCACTTTTCCCTGCTAGTACTGGGAGGAAACAAACCATGTACTCTGGATTTGCAATACATCCAAAACAAGGATTACAGTTTGTTTCACTCCCAAAAATGCATGATCGGTATGCATTCACTGATCATAGTTTGTTGCAGTAAAACATGGTTCATCGGACATAAAGCAAAGGCAGAGATTGTGGTTTGTTTCTTCCATGCTCCAGTGAAGAAGAGCTAATCAAGTCTCTTAACCATGGCTTATGACATGTGAATGAGGCCAATATATCTAACCCTGAACACAAACAAATTGAATTGGTATGTATTTTAAATAATTCTGTTCTAATCACCTTGTCAAGAGTTCCAAGACCTCACCCTCAACTGTAATAAGCAGGGGGTCGTGATTAAATGCATTATGTAGTATTCAGTTATTTTGTACCTTGAGGATACTAAAGTCATCGCTAGGCCAACTCTCTATTCGCAGGATTTGGCTGCTGTCAAGCTTTCCTACTATGATGCATCATGTGCTGATTATGATCCAACTGTACCCACCTCTCTCTTCATTCTCTGGAAGCTCCTACGAGCAAACATCCCTCTGGCATAAGCCTGTATCACACACACAGCTTTCAGCTGCTCAGCTGTTTTCTGGCGCATCAGGTAACCTCGACACAAAGCTTGGAACTTAATCACACTTGCCCGGGCGGCCTCATATTGCTTCACAAGCTGCCTGCTCCGGAAAAGGGCCTGCAGGCGCTCAAAACCCAACATGATCTAACCACACAAGAGAAGAAACGGACAAGGTGCATGAACAGCAGGTTAAAAATGCTTCAAATGAATAAATATTCCATTGTCTTTGAAAGCATCTCATGGAGGTCCTTGCTACAGTGACAAAACCAAATTTATTTTATCCACCTCCTATCTTATCCATACACTAAAAGCACATCAGGAATACATGCAAGCAACAGTCCCCCCCCCCCAGATAAATCAGCCATCTGTTAGACCCTAGACAGTTGTTGCATTAAAAACAACAACTGAACCAAGGCAGGGATCCAAAGAACTATGTGAAAAGCACATCCAGGGGGATTTTTTGACACTTTCCCCTTTGCACAGCAGAATGTTGTGCCATAACACAACTTGCAACATTTCAAAAGCAGCCCACCATATAGTTTGAGGTGTGTGAAGTTCCATAAATAGTTCCATAAGTAGCTGTGCAGCTGATTCTCTGAATCCCATTCAAAGTAATGTTTGAGTGTTCTAGGTCTTTTAGTGTTAGAACCTATGAATAGTGTGCCTGGCTATGCAGAGCCCATTTTGATAACTGCATCTGAAAGATCCACACAAGCTTTTTACCATCTTGAAGTTCTTTCGACAGCAATATCCCCTCCAGGCTGTCTGAATAACCACAGCACAGCGCCTTTGCCTCAGAAACTGTTTCCTGCAGGCAGAAGGAATTAAAACAAAAACAAAACAAACCTCAATATGCTAACATTAATCCCAAAATAGTGGGTTCAGTGGAATAAACCCAGAACTGCACCCCCTCCTTCCCACCTCACACACAAAAGCCACCTGCATCGAGCCCAAGAAAAATGCAATTTTCTCCCCATGGGTAAAATACCCAAAGGAAATTAACAATCTGATTTCATTTGCTACCTTTAAAAGCATTTTTACCTTTCCTTGAACCCTCTCAGCACTTTCTGAATTAGGATGGCTTTCTCTGTGAGTGCTTTGTCTCTCTGCACCTCCAGTACTGTATCATGATAGTCCTATTAAAGAATGGAAAAAAATAATAATTCACATGTTTATCACCAACTAATCTAACCTAAAAATCACCACATATAAAAGGGTTGTAACAAAACAGAACCAATCAGTCGGTATATAGGACAATATACGAGTTATTCTATTGCTCTTAGCAACAAAATGTATTAGAGAATCTGTGATGGAGATGGAGGAAACACTTCTGCTTTGTCATCTAGTGTCAACCGATTTAGATCCAGGTGAGGGGAACAAGGGGGGCAAGTACAAAAATTAGGCTGGATGTTATAACAGCGGTGAGGTCAGCTTGTAGACTCAGCTTCCAGATGGAGAGTAAGTTCCTCTCAAGCATGGGTGTCCACAGAAATAATTTGGGCAGGAGAAGACAAGGTCTATGACTTGTAACTACAAGTTACTGAGTTGTGACTGAACCCTGTGCACCACTACATAGTGCTGAAGGGAAGTGATGAGAAAAATTCATAGAAGATCAGGCAAACAGACCTGAGGGAACAGTGCTCTCACATAGGCCCTATCTGCGCTATACGTTTAAAGCTGTGTCGTATCACTATAATCTGTCATGGCTTCCCCCAAAGAATCCTGGGAAGTGTAGTTTGTTAAGGGTGCTGAGAGTTGTTTGGAGACCCCTATTCTCTTCACAGAGCTACAATTCTGAGTGGTTTAGCAAACAATCCCTTTGGGGAGGGTCACTCTGTGAGGGAAACAGAAGTCTCCTAACAACTCCCAGAGCCTTTCATGATCTAAGGTTCCCAGGATTCTTTGAGGAAAACAGTGGCTGTTAGATTAAACCAGTAACTTACTTTCAGGAATACTTTGGTTCTTCCAATTTTCCACTCATCATCTTTTCCTATCACCTTCTCACAGATGTAAATGCAGCACTGGCGAGCATCATTCTTCAGCTGAAATGTAAATCCATTGTCACATTTATGTTTGGTTGGAAACTTAAGAGGCCTCATGAGAAATAACTAAGAAATGGGCACCAGATTCTGGTCATACTCTGGAAGTGCTTTTTTACACTAGAATTGGTGAGATTTATATCACTGGTAATATTGCCATATAAATTCTTGCAACTGCTAAAGAATGATTTAAGAAAAGCATAAATAAAGCAATCCCTTTATTGGTGATATGCTTACTGGATATGTATATAGCAGTAAGAAGGGATTCAAAATTTACAAATCAATATGCCTCTTATTGCAGTAATAAGGTTGATCAGTCCTGCTAACTTGCCTGCTCACGAGAAGACATTGGCTGCAGAACTCGGTATCTCTCAAAGAATTCTGCAAAGCCATAGCGAATTGGGTAGCCAGCTTTCCTAATCCGGATGGTTTCCATCATTCCAGAGTAGCGCAGCTGACGGATACAGAGTTCTCGGTCGAACAGCTGAAAATAAAACAAGCAGCAAAATTTGACACAAACAACCTTGGTTCTGTATCATATACATTAAGTGTTCCTGTTTATTCTTTTCACACCTCATCTTGGGTCTAATGAAAAATATATTTATCTCTTTCACATTTTCAGTCAAGTTGGGATACCAGAACAAGCACAGGAGGGAACAAGAGATGTCAATATTGCCGTACATTTGCTAGAGTCACCCACTTGCTTGCTTCTTATTCGTACCTGCCTATTAATACAAATTTTCACCAAAATGAATGGGCCAGCCTATTAAACCCTGGAATGTCAATCACATAAAGAAAATTAGATCTGAATGTGCCACCTGCAGGAAACTGCCCTCATTTGGAAGCACCCTGTCACATGCACCACCTTGCCCCCGTGACTGGGGGGCGGGGCAGGCGGGGCGGGCAGGGCCACACGATGTCAGCACACTGGGTATGCATGCCCTGCTACATGCACGCATGGTGAAAGCATGCCCTGTGGCATCCTCGCATCTTGCACACACACCCAGGGGCATGCTGACATCACTCACACATGCTATGGGGGGTGCTGACATGTTGTGCAGGTGCCCCGTAGCTTGTGCATGTGACACAAGTGTGCCCCGCAACATGCAGGGGGGCTGGCCCTTTCGTTGGTTTTTTTATTATTATTTGAGGGGCTGGCCCCCATCCCCCACCTCTGCTAACTGTACAATTCCTCCCAAACGAATGTCCTTTCTCTTCAAACCAACAGATGCTAAAGACAAAAGCTTGATCAAGATATTTTAATGAAATATTACCATTGGCCTCTTGTAGTCATTGGGTTTGATACAGCGGATAAAATATGGCTGGCAGTTACTCAGGATTTTCATCAGCTGCTCCAGGGACTGTTTGAACTGCCCCCCTAATGTAGAGAGACGCTTGGTGGTATCTGACCCCTGGGAGAGCAAACCACATGTCTTTAATATCAATTCAACACCCACATGCGTTGAAGGCCTATGCTGCATTATATATATATATATATATATGTACTGCCTCGGTGACTGAACACCCTTTCACAGTGCACTCCTACACATGTTTACTCTGAAATAATAAAATGCTGATTAGGCACATTTTGCCTGATGTTGTGGTGTAGACAAACCAATAATGAAAATGCTAATACAACCAATACAGGGAAAAGCCCTTTCTTACTGCTTTGCATTCACATTAAAAACAATCCGAGCAATGCATTTTCAGAGAAAATGTGTTCTTAATATTGCTGGCGAATATGCCCTTAATAAAAAGCCATACTTTTTATAACTGACAAGTTCTCTCTTTGTCTACTGTGTCCCCCTAGTGGACGTTTTGTAATGTGTGTCTGAAGTTGTGGAGCATATATACCCATTGCCTCTCCTGTTATGCTTGTAGACCTGAGGTTCCCTTTTCAACATGGTTTGTGGGACCTATTGGTGTTATATATGAAATACTACTGCCCTCCAATGGCCAAAATCACAAACCAAAGGAAATCATCCTGTTATAATACCAACAGTCAACTTGCTCAGAATTCTTCAACAGGCATAGATGTTTAAAGGAAAAATGACAAATGTAAAAGAGAGGGTGGTATTATGTGTCTCTACTGGAGCTGACCTGATACTTATTTTGTTGGATATTTTAACTTCTTTAAACAAAGAACATAAAAATTTAAAGAAGAACTATGAGTAATATCCAGCATTACTCATATTCAGAATAGACCAATTAGTTAGAAATCACCCTCTATGAACTAGGTTACAAACAAACATTTAATTATCTCAATGCTGTAATAGTGTTATTGTTAATGCCACAAAATGGTGGAGTGGCAACTCAGATGTGCAAATTCAACAGAGTAATAACATAGGAATAGCTCTTGCCTGCTCTGAGAGGAAAAACAATAACTGTTGACAGAACAAAAGTCTAAAGAAGAAAAGACATGCCAACCAAGAGTATAAAGGAGGCAAAATGAAACAAAATTACTATGAATAAACACATATTACATATTTTAACCATAGCAAGAATTATGCACGCTAAGGCATGGATGAACATTCAAAAACCCCAATGAACTTGACATAATTAGGAAGTTGTGGGAACAGGTAAATACAGGCAAACTAGTAGCAATGTTACAAAAGAATGTTAATAATGGTAACTACAAGATACATTAAAAAGTTAGGAATAGGAAGACAAGTGGACTTTTTATCGTTTGCATAATTTTTTCCTATAACTTCAATATTTAATGTTTATACATTTATATATTTATATATTTATATTTTGGAAGAACTGATACAAAAGAATTGTGATTATTCAGGGTGTATTTATTCTGGTAATTTCCTTTAGTTTTTAAGCACTGGAAAGCTATATAGCTTAAAAATATCTGAATACAATTGTGTATGTACCAGGAGTACAAATATGGATGAATAAAACAAAACAGGATCTTCCATTCTGTATTTTAATGGACATCTATGCCCAGGGATGGCAAACCTTCAGCCTATAGGTCTAATTAGGCCCACCAGTCCTCTTACATGAGACCATGTAGGCCAAGGCACAACCAACTGCCCTACACTTGACATCATATATACTATGTACAACCCTGGCTCAGCCAAAGGGAGGTTTGCAGGCGCCACCAGCCAGCTGACCGTTGGTGCCTGTAATGGCATATGCAAACTGCTGGGGAAAACAGCACTTGGTAAGGGGCTCCTGATTAAATTTGCTAATTAAAATCTATCTTGCCCTTCCTCCCAAAAGATCCCAGGTTCAGGTTTTCAAACCCCCAAACAAACTCAGAAGCAAAAGATAAAGGAGCAGCTGTGTGTATACATAGATGAAAAATATCTGAATAGGGCAGGTGGCAGCTGCTTTTCCAGCAGCCTTGAAACCTTGCAATTATTCTGGAAGCTGCTGTTTTCAGAGAGGGATAAACACACAAGGTGCTTTCCTGCAAAGAAACAAGGACATCTAGGCATAGGCATATCTCTCAATGTCAGTTTCTCTCAGTGTCTTATTTTTACAAGCTGAAGTTCAGTTAGCATGAGCATATGCTCCAGAATGGGGGAAATGTGGCTAACAGAACATGCACGTTCTGCAGGTAACTAACTACTTAGCAACCTTTGTCAGAGTTGCAGGGGAATGCTTGAAATTTTCCCAACAGTAGGCACAATCCAAAGGAAATAGTTCCCCTTCCAGCCTACTGAAATAAAATAGGAATTGCACAAACTCGCAGCTGCTACAGAAATAATTAAAGCCAGGTGATGGCTTTAGGGGTGCGTTTTTTTCAATCATGGCATTTCTTCTCCAAGCAGTTTACCTGTCCAAAGGCAGCAGGTGATGTTCTGGATTGCACAAAACCCCGGCAGGACAATGACTGGTGGCAAAAGGACAGCAAAAGGGAGAGCAAAAAGGGTAGAATTTTGAAAGAATAAAGGAGAAAATGAACAGATAGATAAGTACAGCAATTATTTGATGTTTCACTACAGTTAGATTGAAGGTAGTGCAGAGGGAAATCTGAAAAGAGCATTATGTGGATAAATCCTAAACACTTGCATTGGCACAACACCGCAATAATGTCCCTACAATGCTATTACAACATGATGCCTACATTTGCTATTACCTACAATGCTATTACAACATGATGCCAACATTTGCACAGTCACCGCATATCCTTTCTCCAAATAGCTGAGGACAATGTAGACTGATGTTATCTCATTTTATCCTCACAATAACCTTGTGTCTGAGAGATGTTGGCTAGTTCGAGATTACCCAATGAGCTTCACAGGTGAATAGGGATCTAAGCCTAGGTTTTCCTGGTTTAGGGCCAATATTCTAACCACTGCATCACACTGGCTAAATACTTAGAAATGCCTCATCCTGATTTGCCAGTGCTATGACTGCAAAATTGTAACACCTGCACTAGTTGGACTGGGCTTGCTCCTCCTCAGCCACTGTTTTGCAGTCAATAAACATGCAGATCCTCCCCATACCTGTCATACAAGAATTGCAGGGGTCCCCATCCCCTCACAACAGGCCAAGGCTGTGTACAAACTATAACTTCAAAGCACATTCAAAGCACCCTTTTCCTCTCAAAGAATTCTGAGCACTGTAGTTAGTTAAGGGTGACCAGAATTTCTTGAGGGAGGGAAATATGCTTTGAAAGTGCTTTAAAGATATAGTGTGTATGCAGTCTAGGAGTGATTGTAACTGTAGAAGATGCTTTGCTTGCTATATATTTCTACTCTCCTGTTTTGAATCTGGTAACCCTAGGAAAACAAAACTGCATATTCTGACCAAACCACTCATTCTAACTAGGAAAGTATTTTCTGAATTATAGGATAAAGCAGCTATATCTAATATAAATAGCTCGGGATCATTCCTACGATTATACATTTAAAATATGGCAAAGGCTTAAAAAATTGACACAGAAGGCAAAGTGCAGCTAGAATGTCTAAGAAATAGAGGCTGGGAGGACATCTACATTTCAAGTCAGTGCTGGGGGGCAGCTAACCTTGAGGGTGGGATCCACTCCTAGATGCCTGATGCTCCCACGGCCAAAAGGAATCACATTCACAGGGGTCTCCACCTGAAAGACCTGTCTGAGGAATTTGTTTTTGGATGAATGAACCAACTGCAGGATGTCAGAGCTAAGCATGTCACGGTTTTTCTCGAGAAAACCTGTAAGAAAGGAGAAGCAAGGTAAATCAAGCCTTTCTGCTTGATGCCAATCTCAGTATTGTACTGAGTTCCCTTGGCCATTCTCCCTCCTCTCTCTTTGATAGTGGCCATTCCCACTCCATTGAAATGGACCCTGCCTACCACACCACTTCAGTAAAGTAATGAAACAGCTGTTTATGAACCAAGAGTTAGTCTGACAGTATCAATGTGCAGGATTTGAAACTGGGGGAAAAGGAACTCTCTTTGAATTGATAGATTATATAACGCTGAAACAGGGAACTTTTATTATTGACTCACCTTTAGACTGGTAATAAACAACACCAGCAAAATGGTTGATACCAAAGACTGTGTCATGGACGCTTCTTGGTGGAATGTAGATTTTGCTTCTGCAATGATGATTGTTGATTTTGTGCAACATGGTTGTGTCTGTTCCCTGGAAGCAAACCACAACATGAGATTAAAGTGGGTCGGGGAGGATGCTAATACATGCTCAAAACAAACAAGGAAAATGTGTGGCAAAAGGCTTCCTGAGATGCGACAATGTGGCAATAACATTTTTAGAGTCAGGAAATATTTTAGAGATACAGAAACCTGTGGGGGTCTCTGTTAGGTTGCCTGCACAGCAAATAGCTCCAGATGTTTAAAGCAAGAGAGCCAAGCTACACAGCTAGATTCACAACACGCAACACAAATCAATACAATATAGCAACAGAAGAAATAAAATCAAAGCTAATTCCCTGTGGCAGCCTGGAGAAAAAACCACGACACTCACCTTAGGGAACCTGCTTTCTTCATCAATGAGTGACACAATATTCATGGGTTTGAGTGCAATCACTTCCAAGGCGGTACAGTTATCTGTGAAGTCAATGTGATTCCAGGTGATATGCTCAGCCAAGTATTCCTCCTGCTCTAGCTTGAAGACATGTGCTACGAAGAACTGCTGGAGATGCTCATTGGCAAAGTTGATGCACAGCTGCTCAAAACTGCAAGGACACAATTATTTCTTATTTATCGTGAACATTTATATTATTAATATAATCTTCCCTTCTAGTCCTTCATAGCCTTCAGATATTGAGGTCTGGGTAAAATATACACTTAATGAGAAATACAACTGGCTGAGTAACCAATTAAAAGACAAATGATTAATCCACTAAAAATCTTGAATCACCAGGCAGCTCTCATGAAATCTAGCATATATCAAGGGCAAGTAACAAACACCACACACTTTCACTTCAGCATGAAGCTGTATCAATGGACCTCAATCATCTTCCGTGTGGAAATTAATTAACTTAAAATATAACTTCCATCAATACTAATGGTTACAATTTGTTTCTGACATGGTGTGCTATTTCTCAAAACATCCCACAAAACTTGAATGTCATACCTATTAGTGGTAAAATTTTCAAAGCCAAAGATGTCCAGTAGCCCAATGGACCTGCATGTTTTTTTATGACCCTGAGATGGTGGGTTGTAAATTGCAGTATTGATCTTATTAACTATCCAGAGGAAGAGGAGTCCATAGATCCCCTGGGTAAAGAAAAGGTGCATAAGAGCATGGTATTTAACACAAGTTGCATTCACATGTGGGGTTCATTGCATTGGTTTAGCTGATTATAAGGCTAGTGCTTCTGTCCCATTTTCTAATGTTCCTTTCACACTGTACAAACCTGTTTCATCACATCTCAACCACTATACCATCAGGTTGCAGTAAATGCCATGCACACAGCAACAAGAAGCTGCAATAAATAAACAAACATCCATAGATGCCAATATGCCATCCCTCTCCCTCCACATTCTGCCATTCTGTGCTGAAATACCAGCTCCACTGACATCAAGAAAAACATGCAACGTTCACCATGAGACAGTAAGCCCATGGATGAGAGCCAAGAATGATAATTATAGCTGTAGGCTCGTATAGATTCAAACTTCCTTAATAAATCAGATGATAAAACTGGAATACCAAACAGGACATTGTTTGTAAGATTTTGTCTTTAGACTGTTATTAAACTTCAATGACAAGTACAACCTTATCATTTTTATTTTATTTATTTATTCATAAAATGTATGCACTGCCTCATTGTAAGAAAACCTCAAAGCTGTTTACAAAACATAACTGAGAACCACACATGGGGAGAGCTGTTTATCTCCTTTACCTTTACGAAGGCGTCTCTCACATCAGCAGCCTGGGCTACACTTAGGGGCATAGAGACGCTCTCTCCCCTGATGATGATTGAGTGGTTTGTAAGGCTGCTGTGGAGTTCCCCGGAATCCACCTGTAGGAATGACAATTGAATTGTGTCATTTTCTGTAGATATAGGAGATCTGGCGAGAAAGGGCAGCACCTCCTTCAAGAGAAGGGATATAAAGTCACTTAATAGAGATGTGGGTGGTGCTGTGGTGTAAACCACTGAGCCTAGGGCTTGCCGATCAGAAGGTCAGCGGTTCAAATCCCCGCAATGGGGTGAGCGCCCGTTGCTCAGTCCCAGCTCCTGCCAACCTACTAGTTCAAAAGCACATCAAAGTGCAAGTAGATAGATACCACTCTGGCGGGAAGGTAAACGGCGTTTCCGTGCACTGCTCTGGTTTTGCCAGAAGCGGCTTAGTCATGCTGGCCACATAACCCGGAAAAACTGTCTGCGGACAAACATTGGCTCGCTTGGCCTGTAAAGCGAGATGAGCACTGCAACTCCAGAGTTGTTTGCAACTGGACTTAACTGTCAGGGGTCCTTTACTTTTACCTTTAATAGAAAGCAGGGCAAGGCAAGGCAAGCCTGCCATCATAGCAGTGGCTGGTGGCAATGAGAGCACAAGATGTGATCTCTAAGCAGAGAAGACAATATGGTAAAAAGTGTGCTACAAAAAGGGGGGGAAACTGGCAGGGGACAATGCAATACAGTGTGGTTAGAATGTCAAATTAGGAGCTGGGAGATCAGGTTCAAATCCCCACTCATCCATGAAGCCCACACCGCTTGCGATGGAGTGGGAAGCTATATTCACTGCCCTGAGTTCCTTTGGAGGAAAGGTTGTAGGGATGAAGTAAGTAAATAAATAATATTCATGTGCAACGCCAATACCTCAAGCAGTTTAGTTGCAATGGAAAAGTGTGCAGAATCCAGTACAGCACAACAGTCCAAATTATCATACACAGCAGCTAGATAAAGGAAAAGGTAAAGCTTGGTGATCATTTATAACATAAAGCATGTAACATACTTTTTCTCATTCAAGAAGCAGCCATTAGGCTAAAAAAAGTAACAACAGAAGAGGAATAATGTAATCTCCCTAAGATACCAGGGTATTTGTGTTCATAATCCATGTGGAAAATGGGAGATGCCCCTTAAGGTATGGTCCCTGAACCTTCTTACATGGAAATGTAATATACTGTACAGACATTAAGCAGTGCCAGTAATTAAAATGGTGATATTTTTTTTCAACTGTGGTAGATGGGATCCTTACAAATATACCTGCCATCCCCTGCCCACTTCTCAAAATGTTGATCCCTGAAGATCACTACAGAAACACCCCATGCATCATTCATTGCTTTCTTGCTTTTCCACATATGGGCAATCTGTTCTGTGGTAACTGTGTGAAATAAAACTTTGAATTATCCAACTTCTCCAACTGAAATATTTCCCCCCCCTACACTACACACAAGTATCACAAAGCATTCATCTTAACAGTATGTATAATAAGGAAAGTCCTTTTCAGGGTAATGTATCTACATTCCTCTGCACTTTCTTATTTAGATAACAAAATGTTGTTTTCTGCTCAAGGTATAGTCTGGTAATTCCATTAACCCCTATTTTCTCCTCTTTGGTCAGTGTGTGTTTGTGTGTAGGTGCACACGCTGGACTTACCTTCAAACTCCATATTCCCCAGATGCAAAATGGCTGCCAGCAGTTTGCTTATGTCCCAGTGCTCAGAATCAGAGAACATCAGGATTTTCATGGCAGAGCGAATATGAGCATATTCCTTAGCATCATTACGGCCTTCACAGGAAGTGCAGTCGCCCTGGAAGACAGAACAGTGGTGACATTTTTATACCGTAATGATATGGGGTGGTTCGTTTGAATGATCTCTCAAGGATGGTATCGTGATTCTGTGAATCTGGTTGCAAAAGGAGATTGCTAAACTGACTTGTGAACCTTAGCCAAGCAGATTTCCTTTCACTGGGAAGATTGGCAGTTCACCTATGCTCAATCCGTATATGTATAAACTAGGGGCTGTAACCTTGCTTATTTTGTTCGCCAAACCCACCTACCTCCCTACATCCCTTGCCAAAGCCACACACCCTCCCATTACACCTTGCCAAAGCCACCCGCCCCTCCCCTTCTCACCAAAGCCTCTCCTCAGAGCCTTAGTCCTCAGAGATTGTGTGCACACAATACATTTACAGCTAAGAAAATTGGCATAGAATCATAGAATCTTAGAGCTGGAAGGGACTCAATGGTCATCTAGTCCAACCACCCACCATAACGCAGGAATCTCGGCTAAAGCATCCATGACAGATGGCAATCCAACCTCTGCTTAAAAACCTCCAAGGAAGGAGAGTCCACCACCTCTCATGGGAGTCTGTTCCACAGCCAAACAGCTCTTACTGTCAGAAAGGTTTTTTTGAATGTTTAGTCAGAATCTCCTTTCTTATAACTTGAAGCTATTGGTTCAAGTCCTACCCTCCAGAGCAGGAGAAAACAAGCATGTTCCCTCTTCCATGTGACAGCCCTTAAGATATCTGAAGATAGCTATTGTATCTCCTCTCAGTCTCCTCTTTTCCATCTGCACCCATAAGCAAGCAAACAAACACAAAGCAAAATGCATTCTACTGTGTGTTTCCCTTTTAATCTAATCTATATGTGTGTGTGTGTATTTTTTCTGTACTTCCTCATGAGCCACAAAGACCTTCAGACCTTTTATGCAATAGGCAATCTTTGAATTCCAGAAGTAAATTCTGCCCTGCCTAGTTATCAGATTAATTTCTACTTTCTTCATATTTTTTATTATTATTTTTATTATATTTTATTTATTAAATTTATATACCACCCTTCATCATAGGATCTCAGGGCGGTTCACAGAATAAAATACAAGATAAAAACACAAGTAAATAATTAAAACAGCAAAACAATAACCCCCCCTTCCCAGAGACACATTTAAAAGGCTGCAGAATATTAATCAGCTGTAACTGAATATTAATCAGTGTGACAGATTTCCAAGAAAATATGTGTCCTTTAGCAAATGACATTCTCATTCTGTGATAGCCGGTGAAGCTTTCCCTCTCCAATTTAGGGAAGTGCTCAGAGCAGACAAGAGTGTTTCCTTTTTAGGACCACATTCCTTTCATAAACATTTCACTTTCATGTATGTCTTTCTAAAGGGGGGAGGGGAATGGCAACTGGGTTTCTGTTTCTCATCTAAGAATGGTTTGCAGATGCTCAATGGAAAAAAGTGCCCAAAGGCCAAAGTACATGCTTTATGCAAATACATAAAACTATCACCTGGGAGTTCTTTTCTACTTTATTAACTGCTTCACTAAGCAGGAGTGAAAGCGGGGAGCGTGGGGTGTGTGAACTCTTCCCCCACTCCACACTCCTGTTTCTCTGCTCTAAATTGCCTCTTCCTCTAGCTTTCTTCCCTGTAGGGTATATAAAAATGCATGGAAATACATGTGTAAACTTTGTGGGAGGAAAAGCCTCTGTGTGCTGTGTGCTTGTACTGGTGTGAAATGGCTGGTAAGGACCAGGTTCACTGATAGACATAAGGCACAACTTGTCAGTTTGCATTTCTTAGTACAGAATGTATTGATCTGATATGCAGAGATCTTTCCTATTCTAATTAATTTAAGAGGGTTTTGAAAGCTGCTCTGTGAAAGAAACAAGCAGAAGGCTTGTGATGTTTGGGTTATCCTTCTTATAAGTTATTGTAAGTTTAAGTTAAGTCTGCTGCAACTGGAATTCTTGTGGACAGTGCCAATCCTGAAAGTATTGGATTTGTGACTATTATGCTCATTTGCCTTCAGTAGAAGTAAAGCTCTGCTGGATGAAATACAATTGCCTCTGGTCCATTTTTTGGGAATCCTGCAATGCATTTAAGTTTTTTACTCTGCTAAGTATACATTGGAGTTCTTTTCTGGATCAATATTGGGTAGAATTCTATGACACAACTTACCATAGTAAGATAAGTGTACTCTGAAGCTGTGCCCAGGTTCAGCATCTTCTTCTGCTCCAGATTCATCCCCATTAACATGCAGTAAAAGATGTGATAGTTCCTTTCCTCAGGAGCCTAGAATGATAAGAAGACCCCCACAGACATAACAGCAGCACAAATGAAAACAGGAACACTGCCCCAATTAAATGCGTGCTCTGAATTACCTGGCGACAAACCCGAGACTTCTCCAGAAGGAACTGTTCTATCCGAGCGCCTTCTATCACTCCGTTTTGGTTGAAATGAATATCGATGTATTTCCCAAAGCGACTCGAATTGTCATTCCGAATTGTCTTGGCATTTCCAAAAGCTGTGAGTGAGTGAGATGGCTCCATTTTATTTTATTTTGATTTATAGTCAACTACATCCCAAGAATGCAGGACGCGGGTGGCGCTGTGGGTAAAACCACAGTGCCTAGGACTTGCCGATCGTATGGTAGGTGGTTCGAATCCCTGCGGCAGGGTGAGCTCCCGTCTTTCGGTCCCAGCTCCTGCCCACCTAGCAGTTCGAAAGCACCCTTAAAGTGCAAGTAGATAAATAGTACTGCTTTATAGCGGCAAGGTAAACAGCGTTTCGTGTGCTGCGCTGGTGCAGGCTTGCCAGAGCAGTGATGTCACACTGGCCACATGACCCGGAAGTGTCTGCGGACGGCGCCGGCTCCCGGCCTCTAGAGTGAGATGAGCGCACAACCCTAGAGTCTGACAAGACTGGCCCGTATGGGCAGGGGTACCTTTACCTTTTACATCCCAAGATCTTGAGGGTGGTGAGCCATCTTTAATGTATAAACATTTCAGTAAAATAATCTGATTAAAACACCATTAAAAGTCTATAAACCTCTGCCAGATATTGACTGTTTACAGTGTAGCCATCTAAAAGTACAGCTGTATGTGCCATTTCCAATTTCTTTTAAGAATATTCAAGAACTGGAGGATACTTTCTCCCCAATATTTTCCTTATGTGTGACAGCAAAGGCTGACTGCATGCCCTTCTCTATAAAGACATCCTGACATATTTAATAGCTGAATAGGGAATGCAAGTGGAACCTCCAGATTGAACAGTAGATATGACTGTATATGATGTACATTCTAGGGGTGCTTTCAGACGTGCAGAATATTGCATTACTTTTCCTGATTATAATGCTAGCACTTCTGTTCCATTTTCTAATGTTCCTTTCACACTGCAGCACCTGCTGCGATACAGAACTGTGGCTTTTTTACCAATATACTGGCATGTTGAACTAAATTCCATTCACACTAGTGAGCATGGTGTGTCACAACAACAACCATCGTTGGACCACGTCACTGCTTCACCATCCTTTTGCACATGAATGCTTCTGCTATACTGGTATACAACACCAACTTTCTTCACTTTACTCCTGCAATTTTATGGGTTAAGAGGCATGCAAACAGATTTTTTTCTGGAATCAAATAACATGAACATGAGTGCTAAACATCCATTGGTTTTTCAGAAGTGGCTTTTACATCTCCTGAAAGCTGAAATATAATGCAGAAATTAACAGTCAGGGAAAGGTCAGGGAAATAGAATGAACTGCCATGTGAATGGCATTATGTAGCCTACCTTCTAAAATGGGATTGGCCTCTAGAATCTGTTGTTCAATCCAAGAATGTTGGCCGCTAATAGCTGCTAAGAACTGCAAAATCAGCTTTGTGCTTTCGGTCTTCCCTGCTCCGGATTCTCCACTGAAATAAGATATCAAATCTGGTGAATTCAGTGATGGACTCTCTTGACAAATTGGAATAAAAAGTGGCCCGTTTCTTCTTGCTCTTGAATAATCTTAAATCAATTGTTGCAGGAAAAGAGTGAATTTTGCTTTCCACCATCACACTTCAACAAAGTGGATATTCTCTGAACACCTGTTTAGCTGTATTTTGATACCTCTTGCCTACACCTGTGTTCCTCTTCTTTTGCATTACCATTGTCTCATTTCGAATGTGTGGCATTTGAGGGCATGTGCCAGTTTTTACTGTACGCCTATCAAAGTCAGGCCCATGGTCACTACATGAACAAGCTGGACCACAGCAGAAAAGCAGCTTGCTGGGTGGGGCAAAGCCACTATGCTAGCGTCCCAGCGGGTGGGTCACTGTTGCCTATCATCAGGGTGAGTGTGATGGAAGGTCAGTGTGATGGAAATGCCACAACGGAGCCGATCCCACCTGCTAGGAAGCCAGCATAGTGACTCTGGCCACAGCTGGCAAGTCACTTCTAAACCAGAGGCCTTTTTCTTTTACACCATTGGAGCAAAGTGCCATAAAAATAATGGCGCTGTCCTTATTTCTACGCTGGGTGGTTCAATATGGGGGCTTGAACTGCAGATACATCATTAAGTTATCACAGATGGGTAGGTGGCTGGCAAGTGGCTTTTTTGATTTATCAGAATTTCCCTGGAAAAGGTAATTTTGGATTAAATGGGCAGGGCGAATATGGCTTGACATTTTGATGCCAACGACACTGGACGGCAGTGCAAAAAGTCTGCATTCATGAGAAACACAATAAACACCCATCAGGAAGCTTCCCTTAGATCAGGGGTCTGCAACCTTTAAGACAAAAAGAGCCACTTGGACCCGTTTCCGAAGGGGGGAAAAACTGGGAGCTGCAAAACCGGGAAGGTGACGTCGGGACGGTGCGTGACTAACGCACGCACCGCCCCCATGCAACGTCACAGCCAGTACAGCGCCCGCCACAGTGGGGAGTGTCAGGGCGCACAATGTGCCTCCTCCCCTCACTAGTATCCGCCCCGGAGTCGCGGCAAAGGTGTAAAAGAACCACATGCGGCTCCGGAGCCGCAGGTTGCAGAACCCTGCCTTAGATGATACTCTTTGTCTCCCACCCAACCCCACCAGCTATTCTTCTTTGGAATAAGCATCAAACTTTCCCACTACTAATTGCCTCTACCTGATGATGCAGCATTGGTCTCTTTTATTTCTCTTCATGTTGAAATAGCAATTGTCAGCAATGGCGAAGACATGAGGTGGCAGTTCTCCAATCCTCTTGTTACAGTAGAGTCTAATCTGTTCCATGGTATACAGTGGCAGCACTTGGTATGGATTCATAGCTACCAAGATAGATCCTGTGTAGGTCTAAATAAATTAAGATGCTTATGACACAAACCCCAAACAATATTCTCATCACCTCATGCTCTGTCCTTATCAAGTATCATAAAACATGCGTAGGCAGATTATAAGCCTTTGAAACGTAGTAGAAAGCAGAATAAATGAATGAAAGCTCTCTGCCATTAGAGTCTGTCGTACACTACTATAGGGGTCAACAACATTGGACACATTATTCATATCATATAAACATTTTGCGCATGAGTCAGCTAAGTTGTTGCCTGCAGGGAGAAATGTCCACCTGCACAACAGGTCTCTCCCCACTCTTCTCCCATGCCTCCTAAAGCTGCTGTGGAGGATTAAAGGAATCTCCAGAACAGGTTTAAGGGATATGCGAGGGGAGCGAGCATTTCATTGCATGAGCCGAACTCATTCCACGTACACATACCCCACTTAGTGCTATGTTGCATTTGACTCTACATTTTTCTTATCATTCATAATCAGTAGTCCAGGGGCACATTTAAACGGAGAATTCTGTTATCCCTAGACTGCAAATAAAGTCAGTAAAATCCATTCTTCCATCATCCCATCAGAGTTTCTTCCTTACCACTTTTCCATGTAGGCTCAGAAAACAATGGAAGTGACAGTAGCAGTACTTAATTTTTTTTCTTTTGGAGGGGTTGTTATGCTTTGTGGGGGATAACTCCCCCTAGCAATTTGAGAATAAATTGGTAGGCTTCTGTCATGTATGTGAGTGAAGCACAGTAAAGTTAGAAAGGAATTTGTTTCACTTGCTTTCCAGAACAGCTGAACAATTTTTTTTTAAAATGCCTTTGTAAACTTATTTGAGATTAACCTCAATAAACCCAGTGGGGCTTACTTCTGAGTAGATCTTCACAGGATTCTAAGGCAACTATGGTGAAAACTGAAGCACACTGGTTTTTATTCCAGATTAGTTATTCCATGACACTTTAGTCTCTGGCTCTGCCCATCACCAGCTGTGACTATCGCTGCTGGCATGTGGCAGCTGTCAGATCACCCCCAAAGGCGTATGGTTCTCAAAAGAAATAGGTTGCCCACACCTTTGTTGATGTTTTTAGAGAATGTATATTGAACATATTTATTTTACTTAACAAAATGCACAGATTTCTTCATCAAAACAAAATCTAAGTAGTCTTACAATCACATTGAAGTATTCCCTACTGGGTTTTTTTTTGGGGGGGGGGTTGTTGTTGGATATCAATTAATGTCATTTGAAGGGAAAGTAAAATGATGATTAATTCACTGAGCGGAAAATCTGTGATCAGACAAAATACAAGCTTTTATTTCACATTATTACTTGACAATGAAATGTCACATTCCTAACTCACATAGATGTTGTGTTCCTTGTAGCGGATGAGAAGGTTGCGCACCATGCCAGCTTCATTCATGTCTCCAAGACGTATCATATCTTCAACTCCTTTGACAGAAGTGGGATGCATTGGCCGCACATTGCAGATGTTCCGAGCCATGATCCAGTGTTCCTTAAATACAACTGCTTTTAACTAATCAGCTTAGATTTTATACACCACCTCAGGTCACTCCTAGGAACTAACCCTTGAGACACATTAGACAGGCCATCGATCAAAATTATTTCAGATGCGCATTCAAACAGTATTTAAGAACAGATTGTTCAGATATGGGCCTCCAGTTTGTCCCATCTCACTGCATAACTAATTCGCATAAAGTTCCAGCTATGAATCCTAGACTTCTATCAAGACCAAGAATAACTTGATCTCTGGTTGTGGCATTCAGACCCATCTCTAGCTCTTTCGCTTTATGTAAAACATTTGCATCTGTTGACTAAATGTGACACCTACCTTGCCTTCATCATCTTCCAGCAAGAACCGTCCAGAGTCAGAAATCTTTACAACTGCGCCAATGGGCACATTAAATTCACTTCCTGAAGAGGCCTCCAACCATATATGGTCACCCTTGTGGAAGAAAGGATATAAAAGTCATTTACTTATTTGTGGATATGTTACACTTCTTGTGCTTTGGAGAACCGATTCCTCTGACTTGATGTTGATTAAACTGTGGGAACCTTTGCTTTGGATCTTATGATAATTTTTCAACCTATTTAAAATTTCTTTCTTTAATAATGATGTGAGTTTGGGGAGGTTAGACTGCATGATGCCTGAGTCCGTTCTAATTCCTTGAATCCTGGATCTAGCAAGGCTTAAAATCTAATGGAGGATTCCACTGTTGAACTAGCAGGCAAGCTTCTTGGTAAAGTCTTGGTGAATGGCCCTAAGTATGTTTGCTAGTGTAAGAAAGGAAGCTGGCTCTGTGCCAGAGGGGAAATGGGGGGGGGCCCTCCCTCACTTGGCTGGCAGAGAGGACAATAGCCAAAGTGTAAGCAGTGGCAGACCTTGGTGTCTCAAATATTAGTGGTGCTCTGTGTGACGCCAAAATCTGCCCCCCTCCCCCTCCCGCTGCCTCTCATGTTCTGTTGGACGTCTTCCATTAGAAGCCAGAGAGTGAGAGCTGTCTAACCTCAGATTCTTTTTCTTGATTGTCTTATTTATTTTTCTGACTTAAGGCCTGGCTGGTCAATTTCATAAGCATTTTGTTTTCTCAGAGCACTGGTGCAATTGCATATTGCCAAGGTTTATTACTATGGAACAGTTTACTGGTAACCTTTGTTATTTCTATTTCTTCTTTAAAGTATTTTATTAGCTTACCTTTTATAGGCAAACAATTGTAAAATATAGCAGCTGTTGCAGTACTTCATGGACTCATGCAACAAACTGCCAGAGGTGATTTCCACATCACACTCGCTGGATTTCATTATTATTTTTTTAAAAAAATTAAGCAAAACCAAAGGCTGCAAATTTAAGTAGAATAACTATAGGGAGTGGGGACAGTTAGCTATTTCCCCTCTGTATGTAGGTTCAAAATCCCACTCCCCACCCCAGAGTTGGAACTTGGGGATACATCCTCTGTTATCTCATTCATATTTTTGGAAAGAAACACACATTGGATGTAAGATAGCAACTGTATTATAGTTTGCTACTTTTGTGCTATGGCAGTTTTGTGTTGTATATAGCTCAGATCTTAAACTGCACCATCACCCCCAATGTATATATGATGTGTCACACCAAGATGAAGGGCTAGACTTACTTTTCTGAAAACAACCATCGTGCTTCAGGGTGATACATGCAGCCTGTGTTCATAAGGAGAGAAACATCAAAAGGAGGTCAAATCTTCCAGGGACAAGAAAAATCATAATCCAATATGTAATTAACAAATTGGTTACAAAGTTTAGAGGGAAAACCAAATGGGAATTCTTTGTATGGTAGATGGAAAAGTGGCAAGTGAGACCAAGGCTAGATGTAGGAAATATATTTAATGGCCTGCATAATCATCCCAGATTATGTTTTATGTACTTGCTGGCTTTAAGAGACAAATCCATAAATGTTTATCCATTTATCTTTTTTTCTCCTAACAATAATTTATCAGCATTTTGGGACACATTTCTCCTAAGAGCAAGACAAAGTGGGGAGTGTTTCCAAATCTGAGTAAAATCTATTCCCTAAACATTCAAAAATCAAAACATTCTTCCCAAATGATTAAATACTCCATAGAGCAATCTGTTAAACACTGCTCTTATGTGACAATTTTTAATAGGAATATTCACCTGAAACTCTGAAATCTTACATGTTTCTGACTTTAACATAGTATTTTTATTATTATACGTAAAGCATTTGAATATAAAATTATTATTTGGTACATCACTGGGTGGCAAAGGCTCAAAGGTAAGACATTGGAAACATTTTTGAAATAACAGATTATCTTTTTGAACATAGCACTTACATTCCTTGTAACACAGGATGTCTGGCTACAAATATTAAAAGTAAATCAAATATTATTAAGAGTATGATTGAAAACACCCCAATAATTATATTTTAAAATTAGTTTTCTTGATTCATATCTTCCTCCAAGATGATAGTTGCTAAAATTGTGCCTTTCTGGAACATTGCAGTTCTGTTATTCAACTATTGTAAAATTTATATTTTAAAGGTTAAAGGCCTTTGATTACTCAGAAATGAGTTGTGATCAATGCGGCTTACTTTAAAACAGTTTTGTCACATATTTTCATTAAAAAAAATACAAATAAAAAAACATGACTGCAATCTTACAATCAGTTACGGGCTGTCTGTGGAACCTTTGGAAGTTCCTGAAGTGGGTGCTGTGTCAGGAGCTCCCAGTATGCCCACTAAAAGCTCAATGGCATGGATGTACCACTGAGGGGAAACACCAGGGTTTGAAGACACATTGAGGGTGGATCAGGGGGAACCTTGGACCCACAGGTTCCCAAGTCCCTTTGATCCTCCAACACACCAAAGTCAAACAATACACAAAGCCCTAGACCTGATGCAGGTAATTGCCCTCCCTCCTACTAGTATAAGGGGGAAAGAGAAAACACTCCCCCCGCCCCCGCCATCTTCTGCCCTGGCCAACTCAAGCTAGCAGGCATAGGAAGTGGCAATAGATTTCCCATGGATTCTCCTCCCTCTCCCCCTAGCTCCATAGGATTGCTCTCTTAAAGTTCAGCCCCAGCCTCCCAGCCTTTAATAACTTTCTTATCCGATATGTCCACATCAAATGGCCATATTCCTGTGATAAATTAATAAAAAATAACTAAGATGGAGAAGGATAATTTTCAACCCTTCTGTGTGGAGCGGCTTATAGGAAGCAATTTCTCCTTTGCTGTTGCATTTTAAAACCCACTATCCACACCAAATGAAAGAACATAGAGTGTACTTACTCCCTGTTCAGAAGATTGGTTATGTCGGATGGATTTCACGTCTCTCTTTTACAGAAGTAGTGTAATAAGAAAGGAGATTTAGCCACAGAAGGCCAGTTCTCAAGAATTCCACCCTGAAAAGACAGTCCTCTGTTCAATGAGGAAGAGAAGAAACGAATGACGTTCCCTTCGTAGTTATTTATTACAGGACTTTGCCCCCCTGTTCGAATATCTTCCATTTCTGCAGCTGGCATTTCAGTCAAGTGAGGTCAATTAATACCTTCATTCACAACTCTTTTGAGTGTCCCTGTAATTTTAAATTCATTACCCCAAATAAATTTGGTTTAGATATTTCTAAAAGGTATTCCAAAGAAAAATCTGAATGCCTGGTGCTTTTAAATAGAAACCAAAAACTCAGATGCAGTTGAAGGATATCTGGTGGTAATTATCATATACCCTTCTCTCACACCTAGAAATGACTGCCTTTTTTGAGATGGTGCCTGCTGTTATGTATGGTCTACAGCTGATGCCTGCCCTGGAACTCCCTTTAATTGTTCAATTTCCTCCACCTGTCTGCCATCTAAATTTCCCACAATGCCTCCAGTTGGAGCATTGCAGGAAATTAAACGTGTGGCTTTCACATATCCATTGCAGGCTACCTTTGGAAGAAAGGGTGAGATATAAATTCAGGAAGTAAATTAAAAAAAACTGATAGGGATTGGAGTCCTACTGCTTTGTGTCATTGCTACTACCAGTCAAGCCGGTCAGGAAGGCCACTGATTTAAGGGGACAGTTTGCTAAGGGCCCCCTCAAACTTGGAACTAGTCCAGGAACAAACAGGTGTGTTCTTTTTTCTTAAAAATTATTAGATTCAAAAATAATTTTATAAATATTTTTAAAAGAACTCCTTTTCACCTACAAACGTGTGCAGCTTTAGCCAATTAATCAAAACAAATATGATTCATCAACTCAACTAAAAATTGTTTACTCAGCTTATACCCTTATAAAAACCCATTCTGAATCTTGTAACACTTTCTCCACATGCATTTGTTTATTTGGGTTGCTGTTCCACTGTTTATATGTTCTTTCTCTTTCTTGCATATTTGCCAGCGCATTTCCAATTAGACAACTCTATAGCACATATTAGGAAATGTAATTACCACTGCTGATTGAGACAATTTATACTATCAGCAATCAATAATGATGAACAAATTAGATAGCAATGTGCACACTGAACTGAGTAATGCTGAGCGACATTAATCCTGCTATTCTGGAGAACAGAAGTTCATCTGTTTGAACGTATACAGAACTTCTCAGCAGCTTCTTAATAGCCTGCTGCCATATGGATAAAAGGGACTTAAAAAGCACGTGGGTGTTACTCTTGTTGTTTTCCTCTTTCTCTTGAGAAAATGCACAAGTTGTCAGTTGCACAGAAAAAATTAAGGTCTGCTTCAGTCCCTATGGCAGTTAAATGTCTCTGAGCTTCTATAATCCTGGACATAACACCTCACAGATAAATGCTAACTTCACTTTATGTACTTTTTGCCTGCAGCAACTACTTATTAAACACTTCGCTTTACCTAAGCACATTTGTATTGCTACATTAGTGAATATTACTGTTAATTTTTTTAAAAGTTCATGGGAGTTAAAAAGGGAGAGAAAGAAAGAAAGACATACCAACAAAAGGCCTCAGGTATTTCCCCCGTTTTCTTGAGCATCTTATCTTTAGAAAAATTTGCTTTTCCCAGATCATTTATGCTGCTGTGAGAAGAATATAATTGGGATAGATATTGGGTGCATGGTATTGCACACCTATACACACACACCATCCAGGTGGGGCGTCTTACTACTGGTGTTACAAGGTAGGTCAATCTTTCCTGTCATGCAATCTCATTAGGACCTGCGTGACATCCATCCTTCCCTCTGGGATCCAGCCAACAAAGTATTAAAAGCACGAACTGCAGACTATTTTGTGCCAAGATCTGTCTCATCAAGCACAAGTAGGTGCACACATAACAAGCAGAATACCTTCAATAAGCACTCATACATTTGTCACATCGCTCATAGGAACTAGGAAATAAGTAAATAAACATAATTAGAATTGGAAGTATTAGCCTTGTAAATAATCGGGGTTTTTTTTGCAGTATAGCCTCATTAAAATGATAGCAGGCTTGTTAGTTCAATGTATGAGGAATGCAAATACATTGCAATAAAAGGCAAAGGTAAAGGTACCCCTGCCCATTCGGGCCAGTCTTGCCAGACTCTAGGGTTGTGCGCTCATCTCACTCTATAGACCGGGAGCCAGCGCTGTCCGCAGACACTTCCGGGTCACGTGGCCAGTGTGACAAGCTGCATCTGGCGAGCCAGTGCAGCACACGGAACGCTGTTTACCTTCCCACTGGTAAGCGGTCCCTATTTATCTACTTGCACCCGGGGGTGCTTTCGAACCGCTAGGTTGGCAGGCGCTGGGACCGAACGACGGGAGCGCACCCCGCCACGGGGATTCGAACCGCCGACCATGCGATCGGCAAGTCCTAGGCGCAGAGGCTTTTACCCACAGCGCCACCCGTGAGGGGATATAAAACTCTGAAATATGTAAATGATCAATTACCAGTCTCACACCATAGCTCAATGGTAGAACACAAGCTTTCCATGCAAAAGGTCCCTAGTTCAATCCCTGGCATCTCCAGGTAGGACTGAGATACAACCTGGAGAGTCACTACCAATGGCAGACAGTACTGTTCTAGGTGGACCAATTGCCTCAGCATTAGGCAGCTTCCTATATACCTAAGTAACTAAGTGTCCAGTTGTTGGCATAATACTATGTAAATGGTTGCAGCACCAGCAAGAAAACATGTCTCTGACTGGAGTCTCAGAGCTGGGAATATACTTTTTAAAGTATGAGCAAAACCTAGGAGAAACTTTGAAACACTTTGGGGTATGTCATGTGCATTAATGGATAGTGTGCACAAAGCCTGGAAGCAGATGCACACCCTACATTTAAAGCAAATCTAACGCAGTTTAAGCACTTGACTTCCCCCAAAGAATAATGGGAACTGTAGTTTAAGGGTGATGGGAATTGTAGCTCTGCGAGAAGCAACTACAGTTCCCAGGTATCATTGGAACCCATGTGCTTTAAGCATGTGTTGGGTGTGCTTTAAATGGATGTTGTGGATCTGCTGGCTACACCAGTGCCAGGATGCACATTTTAAAAAACTTTATTTCTACCCTAACCATATTACTTCAAGATTTAGCAGCACAAATGGGGTCCGGCCAGTCAGCCTATGTCATATTCGTTTGAAACTGGAGGTTGTAGAAAGGGTTAAGTTGTGATAACGCCTTTCTTCCTTCTAGTCAGGGAAAGAGCTATATATGGGGAGGCTCCTCCGTCAGAGCAAGGCTCAGCAAGGTTACAGCGAGGCCACCCGCAGCCGCCTTCTGCGTCGCCCATGATGTGATCAAAACAGCACCACCCCCGCAGGCAATAGCACGCGAAGGCGGCTACCTCGTCCCACAAGCCCCGCGAGATATTAACCTCTCGCGAGCAAATAGACGCCATGCCAGTCGCTCTCAAGCACGTGATCATTTTTCGCTGGCTCTCCGCATAAGCCTATAATAAATTACTCTAACGGAAGCTGTGCATTCACTATCGTACTGGATTCCTCAGGTCCTCCCCTCTCCCGGGGTGGAAGTGAGAGTTGCTCACAGAAAACATTGTTAAAATCTGGTTTTATACTGGACTCCTTGGCAGGTTTTGAATAAACATACACAAATTTATTGAGGGTTAATATAGTAGATAAATAAAAGGATGTACAGTATACAGAGAATAACATGAGTTGAGAAATCAGAGAGGAGCTGAGGGAAGTCTGGGGGGGGAGGAAGGAAGGGTTCTTTGGGAAGGGAGGGGAAAGGGGGGGAAATAATGACGATGATTTGTATTGCTAATATGTTATGTTGAAATTGTTGTTTTTTATAAAAAATAAATCTGGTTTTATATAGTGGGAGGGTGTATATATTTTACTGCAGGTGGGACTGGGCGGTAGCTATTCCCTCCCTCTGGGCAAAAGGTAGCACTGTAGCTCTTTCTAACAGGCGTTCTGCTCCGCATGGGAGGAAATGTGAGACGAGCCTCGGCAAAGCCGTAGGAAGCGAGGCTGCTGCTTGCTGGCAATGGATCTCTCAGAATTTAAGATGGAAGGAGGTGGTGCGAAGGCAGATGGTGGTTGCTGCAACCTGAGGGATGCTTTGTATAGGAGAGCTTGGGCTAAAAAAAAATCCAACCAGCCTTAACCTAACTGGCAATTATTGTCACTGCAGGGCTGCCGTAAGCCCCCTTTTCCTAGCCGCCTTCGATATACGGACTTTAAAAAGATTCAGAAGTGAGTACCAGTGGCAGGTTCAAATCCCCACTAGGGCCATGACGTTTACTTGGGCCAGTCACGGCGTCTCTTCTCCTAAACTACCTCGCAGGGCTGCTGGGAAGATAAATATCTCGGCATCATTGGGAGTAAATATAGGATGAAAAGCCAAATATTTTAAAAGCCAACATTTCCTTTCCACACGAATAAGACCCGAGTTCGAAAGAGCAGCGGTTTATTTGTTGCTCCTTATTTCTTCATTACGAGGGTGCTGGGTGGGTACGGAAAATAACGGAGAAGATCGCTCTCCAGACAGCGTTGCTGCACTACTCTTCTTTTTTTCTGTCTCTACGGGTCAGGCACACGGCAGAACGGAACGCCTTCCCTCCCTCACGTCACAGCGATATGGCCTCAGACCAGCAAGCCGCGCACGCGCAAGAGCTTCCGGATTCCAGGGAGGGTGACGCCATTTCGCGGCTGCGGAAGTTCCTAGGCTCCGCGCGGGGGCGGATGGGAAGGTCGTGGGTACTGTTGCTTCCGGCTTAGAAACTGGAAGGTGATTTTCCCCCTTCCTTCCTTCCTTCTCCCCCCCTCAAACCCCCCACCGCGTCCCGGTTTCTGCGGTGCTCGCCGCCAAGCTCGGAGCCCCGCCCCCTCCGCTGGTCGCCCTGTAGTAGTGGGAGGCGGGGCTATGGAGACGGAGTATTACGGTGGGGAACCGTCAGGTACAGTCGGAGGAGCGGGGAGGTTGTGCTCAGCTTGCCTTAAGTAGAAGAAAGACTGAGTGGCAGGGGGATAGGGGGCCGGGAAACGGGCGCCCATGGGGGCAAGCAGGGTGCTGGTCGGGGACTCAGCAAAGGCGATGCTACTCTGCTCTCAGTCACCCCTTTTTGTCGTGCCTTTTCATGATAAAAACTCGCGTGTGTATGTGCACACGCAGCATAGCCCGTGACCCGTACAGCACGTAGCCTAACGGCCCTTAACTTCCATGCAGTATATTTGTGTTTTGCTCATAGCTGAATCCCTATCGTCTCCTCACAGTCTTGCACCCATAGACCTGGTGCTGATAGACGCGCTCACAAATATTTCGGCTGCCTGCATTTTAGTGGAATTTCTGCTTCCAAGTTACATACATGCCCCTCCAAATTGAACCAAACAGGAGGAAGCCAAGATCACCTTTAGACCTGGACCGTTTCTTTTAGTTGTGTGAAACTTAGGCTTGCCCTTCGTGGAGACTGGGTAGGCTGAGAGAGTGAAAAGTACTTGTTTCAGCCCGCTAGCAGTTTTCTTGCTGCTTTCTCCATTGCTTATCCTATCAGTGGGCAAAAAAAACATTCAGTCGGTTTCCGCAGTGCTTGATCCATGTGCACTTTGTTAACTGTGCATCTTTCTGGATGATCTGGTTGGTCTTCAGCTCACTATCTCCAGTTAGTTGGTATAGTGTATGGGTTCCACAAAATGATTTTGTAAGCCATAAGTTGCTCCCTGCAGAAACTGAAGGCTCTTAGCAATTTCTCCTGTCTTCGACTTGCATCCTTGTTTTACAGCGATACCGAAAATTGATTTGTGCTTAGGCACGGCTAGCAGAATACAAAATGCGTAAGTCTTTAATGAAGTACAAAGAGCATCCTATCATATATATATGGTTTGCCACATATTGATTGAGTCCTAGCCTCTGTGTTTTAAAGGAATATGTGCATCACATATGATCAAAGGTCTTGTTTTTATCATAGCACTTATACCCAAGCACAAAATGTAGACTGAATCAGCCCTCAGATGCTGAAATCCAGAGCGATCCTTGATATTTCAGAAAATGGGAATGTGCTTCCCTAGACAAGTTCTTTTAAAGCAAAGTTTATTTCTATAGTCTAAAACAGGCATAGGCAAACTTGGCCCTTCAGATGTTTTGGGACTACATCTCCCATCATCCCTAGCTAACAGGACCAGTGGTCTGGGATTGTGGGAATTGTAGTCTCAAAACATCTGGAGGGCTGAGTTTGCCTATGCCTGGTCTAAAACAAGTGTGTTAGATGATATTGAAACATATTGGAGACAGTGTGGTTATATCATGAAAGGCTAAGACTGTCAGTGGCTGCTAACTAGAATGGATGTGTTGTGCCTCCGCTATTGGAGAGTGTGTGACTGAATACCAGTTACTGGGAATTACAAGTAGAATATGTGCTGTTACACTTAGGTGCTGCTTGTGGGTTTCCAAGAGACATCTGTTTGGCCACTGTGAGAAAAGCATGTTGGATTAGGCGGACCTTTGGCCTAATCCAGCAGGGCTTTTAGGTTTGGGACTTCTTTTCTGAAAGCAGTCACCACTTGTTGATTTTGCTTTGAGTCTTTTTAATTCTGTATTCATCTTTTTTAAAAAAATGTCTGCAATAGGAAGGTTAATCAGTCATGTCTTATGTTGTTTGCCACCTTAAAAGCTAAGAGTATGGTGAATATAAAAATAATAGTAGCAGCCTCTAAGATTGTCCAATTTGTTGCTAACTTCATAGAGACTTTTTGGCTTCATACTGACCACATTGATGTCACCTGATGCTAGCTTTTTTGTATTTGAACAATACCTCACAAATTGTGACATTGTTTGCAAGTATTTAAAATTTTCGTTAAGCTTCATTCTGATCTAAAAACAAGTATCATGTTACAGATGATGGTGGAGCAACACCAGTGCAGGATGAACGTGATTCAGGATCGGACATGGAAGAGAACGGAAATGAACAGCACTCTGGATCAGAGAATGGAAGCATAGGACAACATTCAGAGGTAGTTGTGAAAGAGTTTCAAGAAATCCTGGTTCTTATGCATAGGAAGAAAACATTTCTTAATAAATATAACTTACTAAATAGTTGCTGATATTTGAAACAGCCCTAAATACATTGGGTGGTATCCAGATTTCTCATCCTGTCAGTGCAAGGAAGGATTGCTACTTGTGCAACGGGAATTCCTTCCCCTCTGTGCTCCCTCTTCCATTCTCAAATCTGCTCCAGAGGTTGGAAGAACCCCCAGAACAGATGGAGGAGAATGGTGGGGAGAAGTCCTGTTGTGCAAGTGTAAATCCTTGTAGTGAGGGATGGTTACTTAACACTATTTAATACTTTGCTTTGGTAGGAAACAAAGGACACCACTTTTTTTGCAAGTTTTCACAGCTTTTTCCAATAAAATTATCAAGAAAATGAAATGCGTAATAAATTTAAAAAAACAACCTGACAATTTTGCACAAATCCCTGAAATGCATTTATTTGCATCGTAATGTAGTGATGCTTCTAATACATTTTTTAAAATGGTCATTAACACAGGTACAGTGGTACCCCGCAAGACGAACGCCTCGCAAGACGGAAAACCCGCTAGACGAAAGGGTTTTCCGTTTTGGAGGCGCTTCGCAAGACGAAGTTCCCTATGGGCTTCCTTCGCAAGACGAAAGCCCATAGGGAAATCTCCGGGACAGCGGGGAAGCGCCTCCGCTGTCGCCCGCCAGCATTTTAAAAAGCCCCGGGACAGCGGGGAACTTCTCCGCTGTCGGGGCGATCTTAAAATGCTGGCGGGCGGGAGCGAAGCCTCCGCTGTCGCCCGCCAGCATTTTAAAAAGCCCCGGGACAGCGGGGAACTTCTCCGCTGTCGGGGCGATCTTAAAATGCTGGCGGGCGGGAGCGAAGCCTCCGCTGTCGCCCGCCAGCATTTTAAAAAGCCCCGGGACAGCGGGGAACTTCTCCGCTGTCGGGGCGATCTTAAAATGCTGGCGGGCGGGAGCGAAGCCTCCGCTGTCGCCCGCCAGCATTTTAAAAAGCCCCGGGACAGCGGGGAACTTCTCCGCTGTCGGGGCGATCTTAAAATGCTGGCGGGCGGGAGCGAAGCCTCCGCTGTCGCCCGCCAGCATTTTAAAAAGCCCCGGGACAGCGGGGAACTTCTCCGCTGTCGGGGCGATCTTAAAATGCGGGCGGGCGGGAGCGAAGCCTCCGCTGTCGCCCGCCAGCATTTTAAAAAGCCCCGGGACAGCGGGGAACTTCTCCGCTGTTCCGGGGCAATTTAAAAGCCCCGGACCATGCCCCGATGCCGGGCGGCGGACGGGAACGCCTCCCCCCGCCGCCCGCCATCGGGACCATGCCCTGATGCCGGTGGACGGGCGGGAACGCCTCCCCCCGCCGCCCGCCATCGGGACCATGCCCCGATGCCGGGGGCGGGGCCGCGAAGCCTGGGCGCGCTGATCTCAGCGCGCCCAGGCTTCGGCATGCCGGCAACTCTCCGCAAGCTGCGGCAGCGCTGCCGCTGCTTGCGGAGAGGTCCGCGAACCCTGGGTGGACATCTTTTGAAGGCGGGGGGGAGCAAAGACTTTTGCCCCCCGCCAGCCTTCAGAAGAGGTCCTGGACCTCTTCTGAAGGCCAGCGGGGGGCAAAAGTCTTTGCTCCCCCCTGCCTGCCTTCCCGGGAGAGCGGAGAAACGCAGCACGTTTCTCCGCTGTCCCAGAGGGCTTTTGAATGCAGGCGGGGGGAGCAAAGACTTTCGCCCCCCCCCCAGGCCTTCAGAAGAGGTCGGGGGACAGACTGTCCCCGATCCTGGTCTGAAGGCGGTTTCCCTAGGAACGCATTAATTGATTTTCAATGCATTCCTATGGGAAACCGTGCATCGCAAGACGAAAAACTCGCAAGACGAAGAGACTTGCGGAACGAATTAATTTCGTCTTGCGAGGCACCACTGTATTGTAAAATAGAAAAAGAAATTGGTTTGTTGGAAGATAAGCCAGACTGAAAAACAGACATGTGTGAACTGTTTCCGACACCTTAAAAATGTTTTTCATAGTTACATTCAAGTTTTTTTCCCATCTTTAATTTGCCTTTTTGTTGCTTTCCTGGAATTACTTGTTTTTTCCAGAATGAACTTAGTGATGGAGAAGATGACAGACAAACTACAGAACACCCCATGACAGACTCTGAAAACGAAGATACTCCAAGGCAGAAACATAGTGATTCCGAAAACGAGGATGCTCCAAATGATAATGCCAGTGACTCAGAAAATGAAGGGACTCATAGAGGTAAAGACAGTGATTCTGATAATGAGGATCGCCCAGTTCACCATGCCAGTGACTCTGAGAATGAAGATGCTGTAAATAACCAGGCCAGTGATTCTGAGACTGAGGAGCCTCCTAAAGGCCATGGTAGCGATTCTGAAAATGAGGAGCCCCAGAAGCCCTTGGCCAGTGATTCTGAAAATGAGGAACCCCAGAAGCCCTTGGTCAGTGATTCTGAAAATGAAGAATCACACAAAGATCATACGAGTGACCTAGAAAATGAGGAGCCACAGAAACGTCCAGCCAGCGACTCAGAAAATGAAGAGCATCAAAAATCGCATGATAGTGATTCAGAGAATGAAGTAGCTCCAAAACCTCTTGCCAGTGACTCTGAAAATGAGGAGCCAAAGGTTCAGCCCAGTGACTCTGAAACTGAAGATATTACTGGAAACAAACCAGAAATAGAGACCGGTGATAGCAACAAAGAACATAAAGAGGATGATGAGGAGGAAACAGAGAATGGTGCTCAGCTTTCAGACAATGAGCAACTAGGAAAAAGGCTTCAGGACTCTGACAGCGAGGAAGAAGACAGTCCTAAAAAACAGAAGCTAGTAGACAGTGATGAGGAAGAAGGGAAAGAAGAGGAAAAATTGACAAAGAGGAAAGCTACTGTCCTCTCTGATAGTGAGGATGATGAAAAAACACGTAAGGAAATACTAATTTTAGACCCCTTGATTATTCAGTACTGGTTGAATCCCTAAAGAATGCATGAGTGGACTTTGTTGAAAAGGTGGTGCTTGTTCTCTGATGGCTCATTCACACCTGCAGTCGCCACTTGCATCATTGGTCCTCCAAGTGATGAATATGCATATGTGAAATAGCTTAAGGATGGCTGGCTGAGTTTATTTCTAGTCCATGCCACTTAGTGTATGTCTTAGCTCCTGAGTTCATTCTCTCCCATTTATATTGCAGTTAATTTGCCCTAATATATATTATAAAATGTTGCTTAATTTTACACGGTGATGCGAAGTCTGCCTTTAAAATATGTTTTTTATTTAAACGGTTAATTAAAAAACCCAGCAAGGACAATACACAATTCACAATGTGCCTTTGAACAAAATGCTCCTGGGACATGATGACATGCTACCCTCTCAGGGACATTGCGTGCGGAAAATAGATGAGTGCCCCCATGGACCTGTACAGTTTCCCTGCAATGGATTTCATGTCATGTCCCTTTCAGAGACACTGCTACAGAAGTGATATTCCAGCCTTGGCAGGATTTTGGATTAGATTATCTTTGAAGTCCCTTCAAACTGGACTTCTGATAATGATATTCATACTAAATCAGACAAATATATGGGGGAAATGGGTGGGATTATATACTACGTGTGCTGTAACATTTACATTAGCCCAAAGTCATAGCAATAAATTGCAAAATGATTAAAAAAGGGAAGGAAAGAAGCTGATACCAGAAACAGCAATTTTCACAAAATATCCAGAAGTAAGTTATATGTGTCTTATTTACATTAGAACTTAATTTGAAGGACTTTCCCAAAATAATTAATCTTTGTCAGTTTACCAAGCAGACCTTGATCCAGTTTTGGCACCTGAAGCTTCCACCGTCTTTCCTTTTTACCTAATTGGATCAAGAACTGAGAGGGGAAATTGCTTCCCAGGCTGGTGCAGCAAAGACGTTCAGAATCAGGCCTACTACAGTCACATGACGGGAGCAGCGCTGGCTCAGCACCCACTAGGACCATGTGCTGGATCTGCATCTGAACAGCCCCATTTCACGAGCTTTTGCCGTCTATTGCCCTTTGGGGTGGACAGATTGGGGCTTCACATCAGCAGGGATGAGCAGAGGAACACCTCTGCCCCCTCCAAACCCCCTCTAGTACAATGAATCAGAGGTTTGGTTTGCTGTGCTAGTCTAGCAGGGACAAGAAAAGGGAGGGAGGCACCAAAATAGAGTGTGCAAGTTTTCCTTGGTGTTTGATTCTGGCAGTATTTTAAGAGCTGTGATTGATTGTGCCTTCATCCAGGAAACTGTATATTAGGTTATTGATTCCATGTTATTGGTGGTACATGAGTCTTAAGATAGGCTCTCTGAAGTGTAATTGGAAGCTGATTGAGTCCAAAACCAAGTTCTAGAGGAAACAGATAATTGCTTTATAAAATTATTGTGACTGCTAAGTAAGAGATTTGAAGTACATCTATGATGGTATGTTTAGCCACAGGCTTATTATATGATGATGATGATTTTTTCCAAAGCTGAGGTTGTTGACTACTAACAAATTCTTTGAATGATAAGTGAAGGAGACTTTCCCCTCTGCAAGTGTCGACTGTTTTTGGCTCAGTTATTGATGCACTTCTTACTTTGTCCACCTATGTTAGCAGCTGTAAAAAAAAGCCGGATAATCTCAGATGGTGAAGAATCTGATAGTGATGCTGCATCAGAGAAATACGAGAAGCAAAAGAAACCTCTAGAATCCGATAGCGAGGATGAGGGTGACAAGGCTGATGATGGAAAGAAGAAAGAAGAGAAGGATCTTTTTGGGAGTGACAGTGAGTCAGGAAATGAGCAAGAGTAAGTGTCTGTCAAGTAACAGAGTGGTACACTTGGGGCAGCAGTGGATGGGACATGGATGTTACATGGAACAAAGTTGATAAACTGGGTGGGGAAGAGGAATGCAGTTGCTGGAGTTCTCAGTTCTGTTAGAATTGAAGTGAACAAGGCTATAGGGAATTAATAAGAAAAACAAATAGCATATTTTTCTTGCAGAAACCTTATTGCAGATATATTTGGAGAATCTGGAGATGAAGAAGAGGAAGAATTTACAGTAAGTATGTTGAGAACATGTTTTTCCCCTTGTCTTTCCCATCCTCCCACCTTTTTTTAAGGCTTCCTTGTCTATATCCATTTAGTAGACCTTGTATTCTGTTGTTACTGAATTAAATTTCACCACTTCATCAGCCCTACTATGTGTTGGATGCAGTGTAGACATCCTTGGAAAGAGCAGCCTGGATTAAATGGTAATAGGAATTTTGAGAACTATTAAAAGGCTTGTGTTGTCTTTGTAACTAAAGGGATTTAACCAGGAGGATTTGGAGGAAGAGAAAGGAGAAAGGAAAGGAGCAGCTGACGATTCAGACTCTGATGACAATATCAAAAGAGGAAAGCAGTAAGTGTTTATTATGATTGTTACAAGAAACTAGATTTGATTTGTATACATATTTGCCTTAAAATATTTATATATTTTTTATATTTTACTACATTTATATCCTGCCATTCCCCTAGGAAGCTTGAGAACATACATTGTCCCCCACGCCTGCACCCCATATTATTCTCAAAGTAGCCTTCTATATTGGATTAGACACAGAGATTTCAACACCACTTGTAGGCTGTTGCTTTGAAATGTCTTCACATAAAGCCTCAAAGAAGAGACTGCATTAGGATAAGGGGCAGCTCTCATTCTTATCAGAGTTTGGATGTTCGGCTTCCAAAAAAACTTTCGAAAACCGGAACACTCACTTCCGGCTTTCGATCGTTCAGGAGCTGAAACATATGAGCACCAAGGCGTTCGACAACCAAGGTACGACGGTAACGCCTACAAGCAGATAAAGTGCTTGTGTTGATTCTGTTTTAATTGACTGAAGTGACTTTGACACGTACACTCATAAGGCTACAGGGTGGCTAGTTCCAATCTGACTTCATGGAAACCTTCTGCATTACAGCATGGACTTCATGTCAGATTTTGACATGATGTTACAACGGAAAAAGAGCATGAGTGGCAAACGCCGGCGCAACCGTGATGGTGGGACATTCATTAGCGATGCTGACGATGTAGTCAGCGCTATGATCGTGAAGATGAATGAAGCAGCAGAGGTACGTTCCTTGCATTCAAGGCTCAATTCACTCAAAAGAAACACTAGGTTATGGGAAGCAATTCCTTTTGCAGGAGTGGCAATGAACAATTTGAGCCAAATGTTTCTAAATGCTGAAGTTTTCATCTGCAAATATTGAAAGCACTTCTTATGTACAAAGCACCATAATGCTGCTTGCAGAGCATTGTCCGCATCTCACAGTCATAGTGGCAGAGAGGCAGGTGGAGGCAATGGCAACACAGCAGCCAACTGGCAGAAATGCCCTCAGTCTTTGCAGAAATGGCCCGTGTAAGTGTGGGATGATTAGGTGATGGCAGCGGGAGCAGCTAATTGGTGGAAGCACATCAGTTTTGCACAAATATTCCATACAAATAATTACAGGTGGATAAGACAGGGAATGGTAGCAAGAGATGGGGATTTTGAGCATTAGAGAGGTAATAGCTGTCTGACAACAAGCTAACCCCATCACAAAGTTGAAGAATAGATCTAGGGCATAGGAGGAGACTGCAGTAGCAAGGCACTATCCAGAACAGAAGCTGAGTAGCCAGTGCCCTGCAAGCTAGTAATTAATAGACACCTTTCCCCCACCCCAAGATGCAGCAGGAGGGCATTGAAGTTGTGCACACAATTGTTATGCACTATGTCTTACACAAATGCAGATATGTTGTCTTTGTGTTGTGAAAATGAGGAAAACCTTGACGCCTCTGTCATGAAACAACTGCAGCAAAATAAGGTGTCTGGACTGTGCATTGTAACCAAACAACCATACTGTTTTCAAGACTCAACTATAACATGCGTGCATGAGTATAATCTCTAAGATTTTATTTAAGGCCATGGCACCAGGCAGACAAAAAGGCCAGCGAATTTTATACAAATGAAATTACTTATTTGGTTTGCTTCTTCCTAGTTATTCTGCTAGAGGAGAATAATCAGGCTGCTTTACAAGTCTTCTGAACTGGGATTTTGAGTGTTCTGCTTTTTTTCTGCTTATTTTTTAATTACATCTATAACTTCCTGCAGGAGGATAGGCAGCTGAATACACAGAAGAAACCAGCACTAAAAAAGTTAACTTTGCTGCCAATTGTTGTTATGCACCTTAAAAAGTGAGTAAAAGCTCATCTAAATTATTTTTCCACATGATGGGAAAGAGGGAACTTGATGTGTTTCTAGGGCTACTATTTCCATGTTAGAATGTCTCTTGTATTGGTTTTAGAACAGGAATGTTTGTGTAGTTGATGAATTGCCAAAATATATTCCCATTCCTGCTTCTGATAGATTTCAATTTGAATTTCTAGGCAGGACCTGAAAGAAACTTTCATTGACAGTGGTGTGATGTCAGCCATCAAAGAGTGGCTTTCACCACTACCAGACCGGAGTCTACCAGCACTGAAAATTCGTGAGGAGCTTCTGAAGATTCTGCAAGAGGTTAGTTTCTAATACCTAGCTTGTAGAATCAGCATTACTGATTCAGTTCTATGCCTTTGTGACAAGTTTCTGAGAGAGGATAGATGAGTAGTCCCATATGAGGAAGGTATTTGTACATATCAGGAAGATGAATGGCACTGCAACAATAGCATTCAAGTGTCCACAGACCTGTTTTCATTCTAAAACCAGTTTTAAAATGAAGCTGCTCTAAAAGGTATAAAACAAATGTTCCATAAAAGCAGTTAAGAAGGACCAGAGAAAGCTGAAGCAGTACCGAAATATTCCCAGTAGACTGAAATTCTCAAGTTTACCTGGGAAACTCGTCCCACTCTTTCTTAATATTTAAAAAAACAGTTTGCAGGTATTTAAGTCCACTTTGCTGAAATGTTTGCATCCTATGTACAGAATGCAGTCTTCAATTCTCAAGGTTTAGTAGGTGATGGTTTCCTGTGTGTGTATGTCTTCAGTTGCCTAGTGTAAGCCAAGAGACCTTAAAGCACAGTGGGATTGGACGAGCAGTGATGTATCTCTACAAACACCCTAAGGAGTCACGACCCAACAAGGACATGGCAGGGAAGCTAATTAGTAAGTAAACATCGGCTTTCATGAGATGCACTGCACAGCCGTCTCATACTTCAACATTTACAGTTCACAGCCAGCATGCCCCCCTCCCTGAAGTGTGTATGTGCTACAAAAAACCTTCAACCTTATAGAAGACTGTCTGTGGTGCTATATGAAGGCTATATTTATTTTTCAAAGCTTGTATATCTCCTAGATTCCTTATCTTTCATTTCTTCATTAATAGTATATTGCAGTTAAGGGAGATAGGTATGACTTTAATGTAACTTTTGTCCTAACTAAAGGTAAAGGTAAAGGTACCCCTGCCCGTACGGGCCAGTCTTGACAGACTCTAGGGTTGTGCGCCCATCTCACTTAAGAGGCCGGGGGCCAGCGCTGTCCGGAGACACTTCCGGGTCATGTGACCAGCGTGACAAAGCTGCATCTGGTGAGCCAGCGCAGCACACGGAAACGCCGTTTACCTTCCAGCCAGTAAGCGGTCCCTATTTATCTACTTGCACCTGGGGGTGCTTTCGAACTGCTAGGTTGGCAGGCGCTGGGACCGAGCAACGGGAGCGCACCCCGCCGCGGGGATTCGAACTGCTGACCTTTCGATCGGCAAGCCCTAGGCGCTGAGGCTTTTACCCACAGCGCCACCCACGTCCATAAAGTTAGACTTAAGCTAAATTAAGTACAAGGGGCTTGACAGCAACAAGTGTTAAAAATGTATATATTCTTATCTGTTCCAGTGTCTTATCATTTTTGCTGATAGTGTCCTATCTTTAAATATGGTATGAGGAACCTTTGGCCCCCAAACTCAGTCACAGCCATAATAGTCGGGTCAGACATGATGAGAGCTGTAGTCCATCTGGAGGGCCACAAGTTCCCCATACCTGTTTAAATGCTAACTTAAAGTTCCTGTTTCTTCAGGCTACATTTTAGACTGAACTAACATCTTAAGTATATTGATGAACAGGGTGGATGTTAAACTGCAGATACGGTGCATACTCCCCCCCCCCTCCAAATTTAGCCACAGCCATTAGGTCTGGAAACACTGCTTGAAAATAGAAACCAGAATTCTGGAGTTTGTAGGCTAAACAAAGATAGAGAAGCCATTCACCCACCCTGTATATTCTTAAATGGGCTCAGTATCTGTGTTAAATAGTGAGCAGTAAGGCAAAATCGCCTGTTGGATAGTAGGAACTCCTAGCAGGTGCAGTATATATGTGTAGTGCTGCTGTCTGTACATTCACTTTTTATTTTAAAAACAACAGATGAGTGGTCTCGGCCTATTTTTGGTCTAACATCAAACTACAAGGGAATGACCAGAGAAGAAAGGGAACAGAGGGATCTGGAGCAGATGCCACAGCGAAGGCGGTTGAGCAGGTATCTTTAGCAGTATTCTGCACTGCTAACTTTATAGCATAGGCTGATTTTCTTTCACACTCTGGACTCCATTCCCTGGAGTGTCTGGAATCTTAACTGGTTGAGAGTCTTGCTTTTATTATATTCCGTTTATTTTTACTGAATTTTATGAATACCTATTCGTTTATAAATACTTACTAAATTATCTCTGTTTGTGTGAGAGAAATGGTGATGGTGATTGTGATAATAATTCTCCCGCAAAACAAAATCTCATTGTCTTTACAGCTCTGGTGGTCAAACACCCCGCAGGGACTTGGAGAAAGTATTAACAGGGGAGGAAAAGTAAGTCTTTTCTTTTTTTGCCATTTTAGTATCTCTAGAGAAGCTTTGTGCTTTATGTTGGGTGGAGCAGGGAGATGAGTAGAGAATAATTTGAGAGAAGAGATGCTAATAGCAATCTTATGTTACTTAGCAACATCTCTTGTCTTATTTCTTCAGAGCGCTAAGGCCTGGCGATCCAGGATTTTGTGCTCGTGCAAGAGTTCCAATGCCCTCCAACAAGGATTATGTGGTCAGACCCAAGTGGAATGTGGAAATGGAATCTTCTAGGGTAAGTGATTGAGAAAAAAGGAAATAAGTTTCTTCTGCAACATCGTGCCCAGACCAGTTCTAGTTTAGATATTATGGAAATCAGTTGAGCCTATCCTCACTGTTGCTTTCCATTCATATATATTGCATATGCCTTAAGTCACTATCCTGTCCAAAGACACTACATAAAAATCTATCCAAAATAGTTTAGTGTCTCAAAATACCACTGGAAAGAATTGAACATTCATTGTTGCTGGTAGTAAGAACCAGCAGTTCTATATTGATCTGGTTATGTGTAGTCTTGGACCCAGTAGTGAGAAGCAATCTTCCTCAATACAATCCTTTACTTCAACCCACAATATTTTTCTGCACTACTTTTCCCCCTAATAGCCTGAGGATTATGAAGTCAGTAGGTTTCCATCCTCCAGTTTTTTACAACATGGCACTGGATAAAGTCCATGTTGTTTGTTTGCAAACTTAGATAAAGGAAGAGAGCAGTTGTTTAAATGTATTGAAATTTTCTATTCTTATTAATTGTTAGTCCTTTGACTGAGATGTTGTTTCTAGCCCGGGACTGTTAAGAAAGGTATTAGTCGGTTGGAAAAACACAAGAGGAAGTTTGCTGAACAGAAACGACTCAGCAAAGTACATCGAGCTGTCAAATTCAGCATTGAAGGCAACAGGATGCCCTTATAGCCTTGTAATTCTGCTTACCCCAGGTCTGAGAGGTATCCAGAAAGGATGTTTGAAAAATGCATGTGCTTTAGCTGTTGCCAGTGTGCACTGTCAGACAAAGCAGCATGTCTCCACTAACTATAGCCTAGGAAACTTTATCCTTCTGGCACTGTGATGCACAGAGCAAGTCAGGAAAAACAGCTTTAATGTGCTAATATAAGTTTCCACAACTGCATGATCTACTAAAATAGGGAAATCACATTGTCAAAGATCACAAGCCCCCTCCAGCAAAAAAAATTGAGCGAGCATTAAAAAATTACTCAAAGGGTACAAAGTCCCATCACATTTTAAAGCATGACTAATCTTCCCTAGGGATACCTAAGATAATTTCAATACAGTTCTCTAGTGAACTGGTGATGAGTTTGTCTCCGCAAGTTGAAGCATGAATATCTAATTTAAGTGTGCATATAGTACAATTAGACTACTTTGGGATATGAAGATGACAAATCGTGTAAACTTGCATTGCTGTTTTAATGCACGTAGATAGGAGAAACATGAAGTGTACTTGCTGACTTTCAGACAGTCCATATAATAAATGGGGAAAGCTGATCAACTAGTTTTCATTAGTTAAATTTGAAAGTGACTGTGGTCAGCTATTTGGAGTGAAAAATTTTCTGTTTCATAAGCTTATTAGCAACAGTGAATGGGAAATTGCAAATGCAGTGGGCAGTATCCAGCTAACTAGTTGTATTTCAAACCAGGGCATCAGATAATTTTCTGATGCAAACTGAAAATTGCACTTCAGTATTTTATAGGAAATCCTGATTACTGACTTCGTGACATTGGACAGAATGCTGTCTATTACTAACTGCAAGACATTATTGCCTATAAGATAAGAGAAGAATCATAAAGTGTGTAGCATTCTGAAATATGCTACAGAAATAATCAAACTTTGATATTTGAAGAGAAATGTTTAGAGAGATGGATGCCATAGCAATAATGATAGATGGTTATTTTTAGATTTTGTAAGCCATTTTGAGAAATACTTTTTTGGAGGGCAAAAGTTAGATATATATGTTTGTATAAATAAATAAATAAATAACAGATGGCATAAAATGGGAGAGTTGCTGAGTTCACATTGTAATCGTTGCTTTTTAAAAAATGGATGCTGGGACTCAACCTCTCCTGGTTGTCCTAAACATGGAAGTATATTACTTTCAGATGTGTTAAAGCATGGGTAAGCAAACTAAGGTCCGGGAGCTGGATCTGGCCCAATCACCTTCTAAATCCGGCCCGCGGACGGTCCAGGAATCAGCATGTTTTTACAAGAGTAGAATGTGTCCTTTTATTTAAAATGCATCTCTGGGTTATTTGTGGGGCATAGGAATTCGTTCTCCCCCCCCCCAAAAAAATATAGTTCGGGCCCCCACAAGGTCTGAGGGACAGTGGACCAGCCCCCTGCTGAAAGTTTGCTGACCCCTTGGTTAATGGGTAGTTACAGCGGCCGACAGTAGTTATCGTTCAAAACATCTGGAGGGCACCAGGTTGGCAGAGCCTGAAATCGAGAGTGCATATCCCTGTTACAGTCTTGGTTTGAAAATATGCTGTTGGAATCTCCTGTGGCTTTATCAGCTTCTGTATAGAAGGATTGCAGTTGCTGGAAGAGTTTGGTGTGCATGTTTTGTCCTTTTTGAAAAAAAGCAAATCTGGAATTCCTGCCTCTTCGTAAAAGTAAGCCTAAGTTTTCTTTTAAGTTCCAGGCAAGCTCCAAGAAAGGGGTCAGCCGCTTGGACAAACAGATGCGGAAGTTCACAGACATCAGGAAAAAAAGCAGAACGTCCCACGCTGTGAAAATCAGCATTGAAGGCAATAAAATGCCATTGTGACTCCATCCAGGAAGGATATTTTCTGAATTCTGCTGTGAGAATTGCACCTACAGACTCTTGGAAAGATGTCTACATTTTTTTAAACGAACTCTGGGTGTTTTTTTTAAGTGTATCTTCAGATTGTTGGTTCAGATGGTAGTAATACATGTTGGCGGAGGGTTGTGAACCCTGGATGTTGTTCATTATGATTGTATTTAACCTGGTCTCTTGTGTCCTTTGTACAGATGAAAGCTTGTATTGCTACAGACCTCAGACATTAAAATCTTTCTGATGTGTGGGGCTGTGTGGTGCTTGGTGCAATGAATGTATATTTAGAAGGTTCAGCACAAGCTGCTGAATCCTGCAGATTGATAGGTGTGACTACAGTATTTTTTTATACAAATACACAGCCTGCCGTTGTTATATACACATGTCTAGTGACTGACTTAGTTACACTAGGAGTCTTTTACTTCTCTCTTGGTGCTAATGAAAAAGGTAAAGTCGCCTGTTCTACCTTTAAAACCACACTAGGAACAATCTTAAGTAATGCTGTTTCATTTTAGAGATAAGGGGCATAACCAGCTGAAAAATTACTGTGCCTAAGTCTAATTGGACTTAAGCATTTAACTGAACCTTTTTATGGGCTGTAGCCTATGTTTTAACGCTATCAACAAATGTTTTAGAATGGGTCTTTGTCACTTTGATCAAAGCAAATGGTAGTGACTACCGTAGTATTGGGTACACTTGGAATTGCATTTAGTGATTCATGAGTGGACTTACCCTTCTCTCTACCCTGCACCCCTCTCAGAAATCTGATACAGAGGGTTGGGAGTGCAGGGGGCACTGATGTTCTGTTGCACAAGCAGGTGTTTGCTTGTACAGCATTGAACACATCCCCTTCTTTATACAAGAAAAAGGTACACGTGGGATACTAGAAACCTAAGTGGACTTGAAGAAAATACTTTGCTACTGTTTTTGTCTGATGGAATTCTGCTATCAGGTTATATAACTGCCTGTTCTTCTTTTGCTCTGTAACATTGATGATGAGAATGAGGAAAGATCGCTTTTAATTTCAAAAGCTTTCTATAAGCTATCTTTGTTATAAAATATAATTTACAATAATTGAATAATCGTGAAAACTTCACAAAAGTCCATGTCTTAATGCAATACTTCTGTCATTTGTTGAACCAGTTTCTTCTTCGTTATATGTAAACTGAAAAGCAGAGATTAGATCAGTTTTAGACCTGGCATGTAAACAGGGGCAAAGTCATGGCTTGAAATCTTGGTTTATTTAATCCCCAGTTTCCTGGATTGAACATAAATGGAAACGGTAGTTTAACAAACCCAGAGGGAATTACCTTAAGAGGAGAGTTGCGGCACACTACTTAGTACTGGTTGAAATAAACTGGTTTATCAGACGCAAGGTGGGTTATATCTGAAATGTGCCGGAGCACAAACAAATACTAGTAATACTTCTAGCATTAGAGAGATCCATCCCTAGCCTGGTGGCACAGTCCACCCCCGAAGACATTGATAATATATTTATAGAAGCAAAATGAAATAAATTTAGACACAACACATGGGTGGGTGGTGAGATCAATGTCTCTCTGAGCAGCTCCCTGCTGCTGATGTAAATTGTCCCCTCATTGTTCATCAGTCTCCACAGATCAGCAGAAAAGAGAATTGGCTACACCCCATTGTGTGAAGATGGCCCTTTGGCCAAAGAAAGCTAGCTATTCCTGCTCTAGAGAATTTAAAGGAATTATACCTCTCCTGTGCTGTTGAAGCTAAAAAACATTATAGTAACATGAGTGGCTAAGTGTATGCCAGAATAACTTTCCATATTGGACACTTGAAAAATTATTTAATGATGTTTTTTATGCCATTAATCTGAATGGGTGCCAGGGAGAATCCCTGACACGACAGACCAAGTGTACATACATTTCCCATGCAAAACAGCAATTGCCTACAATTCTTAGGTTCAAAAACATGTCCAAAAATATGACTGTTACTTCGTAAAGTATTTGGGGTTACTTAAGTCACCATGCTCAGCAAGGTGGGGGGCTGCAGACTAGATATTTAATGAAGTTTAAGTTGGAATAATTATGAGAAATAAAATTGCTGTGGCTAGGTAACAGTGATTGCTTGAGTCCTCTTTCACATCCTGGTTACTGCTTCAAGACTACTGCAAGATGTATGTGTGTAGAACAGTGAACTAAACGTACTACACACTATTACTCAAAGGAAATTGGCTACAAAATCTTCATTTTAAAAAAGTTATTAAAATAAAGTTATCCCCTGCTGAAGATGTGTGTGTAAATTCTCCCATGCCTCATATTTCTGGATACTGGAGCAACTTTCAAGAACAGCTGAGGAAGCGGTCCTGCAGTGTTAACTGTGTACACAAGTACTTGCAAATAATTGTCAAATGTGCAGAGAGTATACTAAAAAATTGCTTCTGTTACAGGGAACGTGAAAGTCCTTCCGAATCAGTCGTGCTTTCAATGGTTTCTTTTATCCATGAAATGTAGTTGGATACACGTGTGTAAGCCCCATATTTTCCCACTTCGGCGCAGCCTTCCCCCCAGCTGACAACCCCCAGGAGATACCAGGTGCTGCGATAAGCTACAGCAAAAGGTCCTCCACTGTCTCCTTTACAAGCATCTTGTGCTTCTTCAGCATAGCCTGCACAAAACATGTTGTCAGTGATGAGCTTCTCGGTTGATGGCCTGCAAGTGTCTGCGCTCACAATAGGCAAGCTGACTTTCATGAGGAAGCGAGTTGACTTACCCTTGGTATGTGTAGCACCCCATCCACTAACCATTCCTGATGCCCCCTCTCCAATCAGTAAAGTAGTTAGCTGAGGGTTGGGAAGGCAGATGGGGAGTACGTGCTCGCTGAAAACCACACTGCTGGTCAGCTGGATCAACGCAATATCATTGTTGAAGTTCGTAGAGTCATACTGAGGATGTTTCCAGTACTGTCGAACTCCCACCTTTTGTTCATGCCGTTCTCGCTGATGTATGTCAAAATCTCCTGAAAGGCAAATGAAATGTAAGAAGAGTGTGATACCTTTGTGCAGTTAGTTGTTCCTAATGGAAGCAGGGTAGGGGGCAGGGAATTAAAGCTGATTTTTAAATATCCTTAGGAGAAATAGGAAAAGGATCCAAAGAAACCAGTTTTAGTGTGCAGATCCAAAATGTTTTAAGTCACAGTCTCTTATTCAATTAATGTTCTGCCGTAAGTCTGCAGCTTATGTGGGTATTAGGTTCCAGGGATCACACCAAAAGCCCAAACTGTGGACAGGTGTCTCCCCACTTACACAGGGGTTATGTTCCGGGACCCTGGGCACGTAAGCGAAAATTGCATAAGTGGGGAGCACCCTCTAAAAAATCTCTAAATGCCCATTTTCTTTCTGCTCTCCAGTTCTCTCCCCAGTCCAGATCAGAATATCTGGAGTTGAAGCTCTTGGGTTGGCTGGAAGCTGGAGTATGCGTAGAAAAGCAGCGGCTGCTGCTGCACTACCCCACACAACAACTGTTAGGCGGGGCTGCTAAGCAGCCTAAACAAAGCCCCACTAAACAAAGCTCCAGTCTCTTCAGGGCTTCCTCCACCCAAACTGATGTCCTGATGGCTCTGGGAAGGTTTTCTGTAGCTCTCTCTTGCCATTTCCTGGCATGATTCTATCTATCTATCATCTATCTATCTATCTATCTATCTATCTATCTATCTATCTATCTATCTATCTATCTATCTCCTTCCTGGCACTGGCCGTATACGCTGTCACACGCAGGTGGGTGGGGGCGCGGGGTGCCTGTGTAGTAAAAAAACATTAGGTTCAATGGCAGGTGCCATTGCCAAAGTCATTTTCCCCATATAGTGATACCTTGACTTACAAACACCTTAGCTTACAAACACTTTAGGTTACAAACTCCGCTAACCTGGAAGAGTTACTTCAAGTTGAGAACTTTGCCCCAGGATGAGAATGGAAAGCGAGTGCCGGAGGCGCAGTGGCAGCAAAAGGCCCCATTAGTGAAAGCATGCCTCTAGTTAAGAACAGTTTCAGGTTAAGAATGGACCACCGGAACAAATTAAGTTTGTAACTAGAGGTACCACTGTAAATTGCAGGTTTGCTGTATTGCACTTCAATATCAAGTCTTCCATGAAAGTGCACCTACAAGATTAACTTAAAAACTGGCAATTAGTTGGGTGCTGATAACAACATTGGAAAAGTTTGTAATTATATGCACTAATCTCAATGACCTTGAAGGCTCTTTAAAAAAAAATAGTGAAACAATGATAGATGTAAGAGTTCATTGTATCTTCTTGGGGGCATGCTTGGAAAAGAACAAACCGTGCAATCTTTTGATTGTCCTTGTGGCTCACCTACAGTAACTTGATGTGGGATAACTGTATCCAGGCAGTGTGCTGCAGTGAGCACCCACCGACTGCTGATTAAGCTGCCACCACAAAAACCGTAACCTCTCTTATTTTGGAGCAGTACCTATGGGGAGAAGTAACACTGTTGATTCACTCAATCAAATATGCATATACTCTACACAGCAGTCGTGCCTGCCATGTGAAACACCCATCAGACGTTGAGGAAATACTGTAAACAACTATCAGACTTTTAGAAGACATCTGAAGGCAGCCCTCTATAGGGAAGTTTTTGATGTTTGATGTTTTACTGTGTTTCATGTTTTAATTCCTGGAAGCTACCCAGAGTGGATGGGGCAACCTAATCAGATGGCATATCAGGTTGTTGTTGTTGTTGCTGCTGCTGCTGCTGCTGCTGCTGCTGCTACTATTACTACTACTACCGGTACTGCAGGCATGTTCAGATAGGAACCTTTAACAAGTTATGGAAAGAAAACAAAAATCCAAGGAAAGGAGACCAATAACCAGCAATGTATGGAGAGATGAAGGAATATATGTATGGGAATTTTCTTTAAAGGTAATTCAGTTATTTAGCTGTGAAACAAAATGCAAGAAGCGGGCCTTATAGAGAGATATAATGATGTGCAGCAAATGTCTCTACGTATGTGGGATACATTTGCAGCTTCCCACAGGATCAAGCAAACAGACATTAGGGGACAATGTTCCAACAAAGGCCCATCTGCATTATACATTTGAAGCAGGATCACACCACTTGAAGCAGCCATGCCTTCCCCCCAAATAATTGTGGGAACTGTGGTTTGCTCAGGGTGCAATTTCCAGAGTAGTTTAACCATCACTCCCTCTTCTCGTGAAACTGGGAATTACAGCTCTCTGAGGGGAACAGAGGTCTCCTAACAATTCTCAGCACCCTTAACAAAGTACAGCTCCCAGGATTATTTGGGAGAAGCCATGGCTTTTTAAAGAGCTTTAAATGTACAGTAGATGGAGCCATGCTGTTGAAGGGGAGGTGATGACAGATGCTCACTGTGCAGACACAGAGCTATTTTGCTGTTTGTTTAAAGACAATTCACTGGTCATATGACCTGGCCCTGCCATTGCACAACTACAACAATGTAAAGTGAGGTAATTTTGTCAAAACAATATATGTACCTGCCAGGGACAGCCTCCTGGGCGGCAGAACGAGCCTCCAACTACCCTGGAACCATCCATTTCAGCACTGTCATTGAAGTTGAGCCAGATGAAGGAGTCTGTGAAGTTTCCTTTCATCTCTTCAGTGCCTTCTTCCTCAGCCTCTCCCTCCATTGTGTCATTCAGGCTTGCTGAGGAGTTGTAAGCCAATGACTGATTCCAGTGGGCCACGTTCTCCTGAGCAACTCTTGTATCCGTCCCAGTCATATCCCAAACATTAGTTTGGTTGTACTCTTCTGATCCTTCCTTGTTAGAGCGTGTTGATCTCTTAACCAGTCCACAGGGAAAGCGATCTTAAAAGGGGTGGGATTAGACAAATTTGTTGTGTGTAAAGCAGTCTGTTTAGACAAGTAAATGAAGGTGGCAACACCACATGACATTTCCTGGCATTTATATCCCATTGCTTGTAACATGAAAAGTGAGGAACCTAAGGGAGAATAATCACTTTCAACACCTCAGAAGATTTTTGCCCCATCCCTTCTGAATCAATGAAAAAAGGGGGTGGGGAGAGAGAAACATTCCCCACCTCCTTAACTGTATCAAATCCTTAGAGATAGGATTGGGAAGTCCCAGGTTCAAATTCCTCCTCAGCCATGAAGCTCATTAGGTGACCTTAGGCCATTGGTTCCAGCCTATCCTACTACCTCAAATGGTTGGTATGAAAATAAGAGAGAGAACCATGCACTCTGCCCTAAGGGCCTAGGTGGAAAGGCAGGATATACATGTAAATAATAAGCATTCAAAAACACTGTAATGTACAGATAGGCCACGATAATTGGTTCCCATTTCTGAAGGGTGTGAATTAGTATTGGGAAACAGAGAGCCTAAAGGTTGGTGGTGTGGTGCATCCAGTGCTTTTTTTCTGGGGGGGGGGGAACCACAGGGGTACGCATACCCCTAAACATTTTGTGAATCTAAGTTTGGCCTCATTGAGGGGCAGTATTTCAATATGAGTAGGAAAATGAGAGTACCCCTAAACATTTTTTAGGAAAAAAAACACTGGATGCATCAGACGGGAATCAGCTGTTTGGAAATTCCTTATGGGGGTGGAAAGCTGAATTAATAATTTGGAGTAGCCATTAAGTGGCAGCAGGTGCAATTACAATTGCATAGCAAATAAAAACATGCTGCAGGATACAGTTCCTTTTAGTGGGATGTTTGGCTCTGGGTGTTCACAAAATGCAAGCTTGGCCCTAGGCAAACAATGCAGCATGCAATTAATATGGTATCTATGTTGCTAGAATGATAGTGCTGGTATGAATGTAGGAGATAATTTTCACAGAATTATAAGCTCATTCTAAGTGGCTAGGAGCAAGCCAACATTGCTTCAACTTTCAGCAGCAGGAGGGAAAAATGAGAACGAAACATTTTGTAAGATGGAAAGCGCTATTCCAAAACATGAGGGGCATCTCAATCAGTATTAAGTACCTGACGGTGTGCACCTCTCCCCATCTTCACTTAGCGTATATCCCAACGCACAAGAACAGGTCACTTGAAGCGAACGTTCATTGTCATGGCAATATTGCCAGCAGCCACCATTCTTGTACCAGCATTCAGATTTCTCTGCATTAGAAGTATACCTTTTATTTTGGATCATTATTTATCATGTGTAATGGATGCTATGATATGGCTGCATAATAAGCAGTCATTATACATAACATGTCATATATGCTATTACATAATAGCAACAGGTGCTGTAATGCAGCTACACGGGCAACAGAAGGACTTCTGCCAAAGAAGTCTGGAAACTGTAATATATCCCTCAGAGATAAGAGTTCCCAGCACCCTTAACAAACTCCAGTCCCAGGATTCTCTGGAGGAAGCCATATGTTTTAAATGTGCATTGAACTGTTTTCAGTTTTGTACTTAAGCCATTCAGTGTTATTGCCTGGCATATAAATATCTTAGGGAAGCAAGCAAACAAGGTAACAAATGTTCATATCAGCCCATATTCTGTACTCACCTATTTCACAGTGGCTCCCTCCAAATCTGGGAGGACAAGTGCAAACAGTTATATAGCGTTTAACCTTGCAGATGCCACCATTCTTACAGGGATTCTCTTTACAAGTGTCCAAATCTGTATGTAAGGAGAGAAGCTTGTGATAAAAATCAAGGCATTAAAAAGATGGCCTTGCGGGGGAGAGAGGTATTTATTTATTTAAATGCTTTACGCTCTGCAATACACAACACAGTTACAACATTAAAATTACATACAAAATTAATGTCGGTAAAACTTTGCGACACTTAAACAAGGAAGATGGGGGAAACAATCTAACACATATCAGTATACATTTTAAAGAAACCTCAGCCTAGCAAGCCAAAAGCCTGGCAGAAACAAAAATGTATTCAATGAACAATGGAAGATCAAGAGGGATGAGACCAAAGGAACCTTCTGAGGGCTTTTTTGGCCTTCACTTTGCATTAGGAACCAGCACAAAAAAGAAGGAAATGAAAATCTCTTACTGTTGTACATGAACCAAAACTCCACCTGCAAAATGGTAAAAAATAAAATATTGGGTAAACAGGTTGAAGAACACTAGGGGAAAGAACTTTCCATTTAAATATATATATATATATAAATGATTTTCTGTTATTAGTTAAATTAAGATACTTCTGATGGATGAAACTGCCTACTTCTATATATTGCCACCCCCCGTTGTTCCAATGCTACAAATCTTTGCCTTACTAACTCAGGTTCTTACATAGTACACTGATCCCATTCATGCTGGGTCTGGGTCATAGGAGAGAAAATAAGCAGTGACCCCACCTACCTCTTCAGTATGACATTCCGTAGAACCTGTGGAAGTTGGTGTAAAGCCCCACCCATCATACTTGAGAGTATGGGTAAGGCAAGACGCTTTCGTTATGTTTGATTTGTATCATTATGTATCGTTATGTATCATTGATTTTATTTGTTGATTTTAATAAGTTATGAGTTTGAGTTATATATTTCCTAACTATTTCCCCCCTCTTCCTTCCCATCTTTTCTTCCATACACGTCTTTTCGATTGTAAACCTGAGGACAGGGGCGGTGTTCATTTTTTTAAAATGTGCAAGTTGCTCTGGAAGGTTTTCCAGCTAAAGAGTGGGGTAACAAATAATTACAAACAAACAATTATGATGCTGATCCATATGAGTGGGTCAGCAGACTATTCTATGCCCATCTGATGTGATTGACTCTGTGGGGTATTTGGATAGGTATATCTCATTGTATTTCACAAGTGTCCAAACCAGCATTAGATTTCCTCAAGTTCAATTCCTCACCGTTTTCTCCTCTGATTTGAAAATCTCTCTTGCCTCTTCAAACGAACACCTTTCTTCATTGCATTCTCTTTCCATATTTCCTTGGCGAACCTCCTCCAAGAAATGATTGGCACGTTTATGAATTCTCAGGATTTGGCTTGCCTCGTCTTTTCTCAAAAAAACTACCGGTATGAAAGCAAAATGAGCTGGCACTATGAACCTTGATTCTTCCATTCAAACTGCAATCCTGCAGAGTTTATTCAGCAATTTTATACCAACAATTTAGTAAATAAAAATGTTAAGTAACTGACCAACAGAGTCACAGATAACTCAGTTCTCTATCCCCAACATAAAACCTGCCCCCCATTAAATTCTGACTACACCCACGTCTCTCAGCATAGCAAAATGCAGCTCCCTGCTTTTCCCGACAGCAGCAGCAGCAGAACCAAACACAAAATTAATGGGCGCCCAGGAAACCCAGGGGAAAAGCACCAATCAGAAGAGCCAGAAGGAGAAGGTGAACCAATCACATAAGCTGGAAGCAGGAAGACCCCTGAATAAGTTGTGGCTTGGTCTTTTGGCTTCTTTTGATCTAGGTGCTGCTCCTCTCCGGCTTCAAGTGCTGTTGCTGAGCTGCTGGAGCAGACGTCTCCCAAGGCAGGCCGCAGGCATCAGCACTGGCATCCGTGCCAGTGGCGGCCACTTCACCTGCAGACAACCAGCAGGTTCAGTAGCAGGATCTGCCACTCCTGAATCACAGAATCATAGAGTTGGAAACTCAATCAAAGCGTCAGCTAGTCCAACACCCTGCAATGCAGGAATCTGAGCTAAAGCATCCATGACAGATGGCCATCCAACTTCTGTTTAAAAACCTCCAAGGAAGAAGCGTCCACCACCTCTTGTGGGAGTCTGTTCCACTGCCGAACAGGATCCTGCCACCTGAGGCAATGGCCTTGTGGTGTGGTGTTGTTGTTGTTGTTTATTGAGTTTATATACCGCCCTATACCCCGAGGTTTCAGGGTGGTTCATCATAGTGCTGGCCCTGGACCTAGTACCCTTTCATCACATACATGACAGAACATCAGTTATACAGTGACATCCACTAGGCTCACATTTGAAAGTTTGGAATAATGTTTCCCCATAGGGATCTGTGGTTTGGGCAAGGCGGTTGGGTAGAGGAAAGTGTTTAACAAGGGGGTGGTGGTTATGTTCCCATGTTTCCTTTGAAGACCCAATACATTTTAAAAAAAATAATAATCAGGCTGAAATCCTAAACACATTTACTAGGAAGTAACACACTCAACACAATGTTACTTAGTACCAAGTAAGCATGGATAGGATTCTGTTGCATGTCTCCTTGTGTGTAGAGCTAAGAAGTTAGGTAGGAGGCACACTAGGTCATCCCCCCCCCCTTATGTAATACAGTAAGTGATAGGGGAAAATATTTGCTGACAGTGATGCAACTCCAGGGTTAATCCCAGGGTAGAAATTAGGCAAGTAAAATAGAAGACACAACAGTGATTTAGGATGGAATTCCTCTTGTGCTTACAGTTAGGTACTGATAGTGTTAGGTCTTAGCTATGGTATGGATATTCATATTGTCCTCTCTTTTTTACAACAGGGGTAGCTAACCTGTGGCCCTCTAGCTGTTGCTGGACTACAACTCCCATCAACCCCTGACTAATGGCCATGTTAGTTGGGGCTGATGGGAGATAAAGAGTCCAACAGCATTTGGAAGACTGCAGTTTAAGCCACCTCCAATCTACAGTCACAGTTGCACTCTGTGGATAATAAGTACCTACCTGACAATGAACTTGGTAGGCTGCTGTAGAGGGAGTACACTAGTAAAAGCAAGGCCACACCTGAGGAAACTTTAGCCATTATACAGCTGAAGTGGGTAGACTATTTAGCGGGATTTGGCGTATAAGTTACCTACACGTGGAAGAAAAAGAACACCAATGTATTGCTCAAACACAGGAGATGAGAGGTAACCAGGAAAAATGGGAGCAAAACCAGGGGAGTGGGGAGTGGATTAAGGGAGAAACAAATATGGAAATAAAGGGATTAAAAGGCAAGAAAAATTCACAACTTTGAAGGATTTTAACTATCGTCTAAAACCAGTCAGTTAATGCATTGCAATAGTAACTCAGCTGCTCTGCTCTGTCAAATCTGAATGTGGAGAAGATGGGAGCCTCTAATAAATTCAATCTCAAATAGCAAATAATGGATGAATTTTATTGGTAAAGATGATATCTTGAGCAGAGAAGCCAGTTCCTTTGACTGTCCTGTTTGAAGTCTGAGGAAGGCATCAGATTGGCATAGCTTATCCGTTGACTTCCTTACAGTTACTGATGGATGCCAGATAAAATTTTCAAGTAACACATTTACTTCCAATCTTTACAGGGTAAGGGCATCAAGCAACTGAAACCTCATCAGAAATGAAATGGTATGGATGTTGAAATGAAATGTGCAAAATAAAAACTCCAGGTTCCATCTAACACCACTTTTCCTAAAGGAAGCAGCCCCCAGGACAATGTAAGATAAAAAGACTGTGGTCTCTTACCTGATTAGGAAGGACAAAGTGCTATTTAGATCAACAGGAAAGAAAGCTATGAGAATTTATCTGTTGATGATTAATCTACCACAAATATTGACAAAGTAGCCTGGGCCCTCTGGATGGGGCACCCTTTCAGCTGAAAGAAAAGAGTATTTAATTCAAAAGCTGATCAGATCCTAAAATGCCATTACAGTGGTACCTCGGTTTATGAACTTAATCCGTTCCGGAAGTCCGTTCTTAAACCGAGGCGCGCTTTTCCTAATGAGGCCTCCTGCCGTCAGTGCCCTTCCACCGTTTAGATTTCGTTCTTAGACTGAGGTAAAGTTCACAAACCAAGACACTACTTCTGGTTTTGCAGAGTTCGCAAACCGGATCGTTCGTAAACAGGACTGTTCTTAAACTGAGGTACCACTGTACTCTAATTATGGTGCTTTTTTAATATAAATGTTCACACTTCAAAGGGGTGTACCCACCATCTGAGCTAAGCCAGGTGCCTGCCAGAGAGAGGGCCTTTTCCTACAATTTTTACCCGTATGTTCTCAATCTGCTTTTCATGCTCCAGGTCATGGATTTCTTCACAAGTGTACACATCCTTTATATACAATGCTACTCCTCCTTCCTTCCTGTTTGAGCTATTCCTTTTGAACAGGTTATACCCCTCAATTCCTACATTCCAGCCATGAGTCTCATCCCACCAGGTTTCAGGAATGCCTACCAGGTCGTATTTGCCATCCTGTATTAAAAGCTCCAGTTCATCTTGTTTGATTCCCATACTCTGTGCATTTGTGTAGAGACAACTGAAACCATGAATTGTTCCTTGCAGCCGCTTCCTTCCTGTAGTTTCTTGCCCTTTAGCAGGTTTCTGGAGTGCCACCTCCGTTTCCTGTGCATCAATGGAGCTATTATCCCCAGTGCCAGGTGCTCTTTTGTCGTTCTTATAGTTTTCTCTCTCCTCGTCAAGATCTATTTTAAAGCTCTCCTGATCAGATTCCCAAGACACATTCTTGCCAACTGCTGTGGGGTGCAGCCCATCTCTCGCCAGAAGTCCTACTTCAAGGAAGAGACCATGATCCAAGAAGCCAAATGCTTCCTGATGACACCACCTGCACAGCCAGTGGTTTACCTCAAGTATTTTCCTCTCTCTTCGTTGGCCACGACCTTCAACAGGAAGGAGTGATAAAAAGGCTACCTGTGTCCCAAATCTCTTTAGCTTCCTTCCCAGTGTCTCACAGTCCCTTCACTATGTGTTGCATTTTATGTGTGGCAGTATTATTTGTACCCACATGAATCAGAAAGAAAGGGTAGTGGTCAGTGGCCTTTAGAAGACTTGGGAACTTCTCCGTCACATTGTGAATCTTTGGACCTGGAAGACAGCACACCTCCTGTGACATCCTGTTTCCTCCACACAATACTGCCTCTGTTTCCCTCAGTAGGGAGTCACCTATCACCACCACTCTTCTCCTCCTCATCCTCCTCTGGGGAGTAGCGGGAATTATTCTATGGGATAGGCCTTCCAAAGGCTGCTTGGAGTGTTCTGAGGTCTGCTTCTGTTGTTCTCGAGTCTTCCCTCTTGTTTCTTGGAGTTTATTTTGATATTGTTGGGATAAGTTACAAACTTATGGTTTGAGTACTTCCTACTCCTTCCTCCCAGCTTGTCATCTCAAGGCTGCAATTCCGTTTCTCTAATGTCGTCTCCACAGAAGGTAGCTGTGCTGGTCCCGGGGGTAAGGTACCTTGGGTGTAGCAGAGTCCACACGAAGAGGGGCGAGGTCTGAGGCAGAGAGCCGGGCGGGGAACAGGAACGCTGGAACAGGAGGCCGAGCAGGGAACAGGAGTACCGGATAGTCAGAAACAGGAGGCCGAGCAGGGATCAGGAACACAGGAAGGTCCGAAGCCAACAACGACGTTGCTCCCGCAACCTGGGGCCGGGCTGACTGGGCTTTTATCCTCTTCTAAGGCCAGGGGCGGTCCCGGCCCCCAGGAGCCCCGCCTCCTCTGGCCTTAAGGCGAGCACTCCTCCTGGGGGCAACCAGTTCCCTTCGCCTCTCTGCTCTAAGCCTCTGCAGATCAGGAGAGGCCGAAGGGTTACTGGGCCCTGGAGGAGGCTCACCTGTGGCCACTGAGTCGTCAAGCCTCTCTGGGGCCAGAAGGGCTTCACCTGGGGCCAGCTCCTGATGCACTGCCACAGGTGCAGGCTCTTCAGCATCTAGGCCTTGCCCCAGTTTTGCCCCAGTTCAGCCGGCCCTGGAGGCGGGGACTCCTGTGCAGGCTGGGATTCCTCTGTTTCATCCTCCGAATCGGAATCCCAGGCCATCACAGTAGCAAGTACGTTATCAGCACACTCATCCACGGCCAGTAGCCTTGGATCTGATAGGGTTAGATCAAGAATGGAAAAAGACTCCTCCAAATCCATTGCCTCCTGTCTCTTTATCCACTGGGGTGGGGGTGGGAATAATTGTTCTGTGCACTGTACTAGACTCTTGCAATGGGTGAACTTTCTCCACCTTGGGGGCACTCCCATCTATCTTGGTGCTCAATCTCAGTCAGCCCAACTCTATCAAGTAACTCTGCATGTTGTCCTGTTGCTTGAGGTGTAGCTAGGCAGGCCTCAAGTTGCTGCACCTTCTCTTCCAGCGAGACAACCAGCTTGCACTTAAGTGTACTGTTGCTTGTTCTCTGGCAGAATGACAAACATGGCACAGGTGTTACAGATCACTGCAGCAACTCCCTCGCCCTCCATGTCTCTGGTCCTATGCACACTAAGTGACAGAACTCTGGGCCACCCCCTTTAAACTCCCCGTTAAACGAACTAAGTTTGACTGCTGCTGGTTGCTAACACCTCCCTCAGTTTTATGGTGTTATTATAATTTGGTGGCTTTTACCTGCTGCTTCTTTTGGTATTTACATTTTAATTGTTTGATTCTTTTTTGTGAACCAATCTAGAAATATGATTAAGATATCAAGACTTTAAATAAATAAACAAACCACTGCCTGAAATGCTTTCCACAATCAGGTCTTCTGAAGGCATTGTGAACTTTTGCACCAAACTTTCTACGCATATACTATTTGCCAGCAAAAAAGATGTTTTCTGGAAGGCAAATGTACTTCCTCCCCAGAGCCACAGTTATTTATTTTTATATTTTCTGCTTATAGCAGAAACCCACACTGTTAAATATTTGATATTTGGGAGCTGGGGGACAGAATATATTATTTACTGTGTGCTGAGACACAGTCTTTCCCTCAGGCACTCAAGGCAGATATTTATATTATATTATATTAATAATTATTTTCAAAGCATTTTCAGAGGCTTGCTCAGTGATTAAGCAACTGGAAAACATAGAAAATTGCAACATGCAATAAAAATCCAGCATAAAAACAAATCACAAAATTAAAAAGGCCAGGCAAATAGAAAGAGAATAATCATGGAGCCAGTCAAACCTCTCAGGGGAGAGAGAGTTCTAAAAATACTACAATGAAAGCAAGAAATGCAAAATGTAAACATTAAGACAACAAAATTATTTTGGCTCTTGGCAGTCTCTTCAGGAACAATCCGACCTTCACCTCTTCTGCCCTCCCCACAGGGCTCACAGTTATTTAAGTATAGTAAACATGCAACTTACATGGGGGTTACGTTCCAGGAATAGCGCATTAAGCCAAACTCACATATAGTCGATATACACTGTGTGCAATGGCAGGTAGGATTGCTAAAGTCATTTTTCCCCAGACACCCACCCAATTCTCTCCTCCTTTTTAATTTTTATTTACCGTATTTTTATTTTTTTGCCAGGCACATAAAGCTGAATGTGAACAAGAGACTACCTTGGTCAGCCTGACCAGTGATGCCAATGGGTTACAGGGTGGTCAGTAGAACAGCAGCTTCTCCAGTCTGTCTCTATGGCAGAACAGACCTCCTAAGCCTGTTCCAAGGTCAAGAGGTTATGGTTAAAGAGATGGTGTCATGGACAATAGCAACAAACTCTGTCCCACGCATGTTATTATGTGGGTGGCTGTGGCTGCAGTGATTGGCTTTTGGCTCCCAACAACCTGCCACTCCTGCATGTGGCCTTGGAACCAAACAAGTTGTCCACCTCCTGATTTAAGAAATGCAACACACCACACATACTCACTTTGTATACTCTGTATTTATTAGCAGAAGACAATGGGCATACCGAGTGTACTGCCAAAGTACTCCCTCATCCTTCTTTTGTGACAGTGTTTGGTGAGATTATGCTGTCTTTCATTTGCTGATAGATCCAGTCAAGATATGCACTGACTTTGGTGTAGATTCCAAAGTTATCAATTGCTCCACAGCCTTCTCCCCAGCTCACAAGTCCAATTAAGAACCAGGTGTTCTTGAATTTGGTGACCATAGGGCCACCACTGTCTCCATGACAGGAATCCCGGTTATCTCCCAGTATCCCGGCACAGAGCATGTTTTCCGAGACAGAATTCAACATAGAATTGACACAGTCATTCCGTGGTGCCACAGGGATTTCAATATAGTTGAGAACAGAGGAGTAATTCACCTTCGAGTCCTCACTCTGGCTCCCCCAGCCTGTCACCACAGCCTGTGTCGCTTCTCTCTCCAAGTGCTCTGCCAGCTTCTTGGAAGGCAGGCAAATAGGAATTGTGAACTTGTTGACAAGAACTGGGCGTTGTAGGTGCAGCAGTGCAATGTCATTTTCAGAGGTAAGTTCAGAGTAGTTTTCATGAGGCAATAACTTGTCTGCAAAAATAGTTTGCTCACTTTCTTCTGTTCGCCGGCGATAATATTTACCTGTAAGGGCAATAGGGAAACTTGGAAAGTGTCCTTTCTCTTGGGATCTAAGTCAACCTTACCTCTCTCAAAATACTTTAGCAGAACTCATAAAGAGGCGGTAGTATTTCTTTCTTGCATTTCAGGCTCAGCAAAATCCAAATCCGTAACAGGAACAAGTGGCAGTATAAAAAAGGGCCTGTATGCCTGCAGAATTTATGTGTAGAGTCTAAAAGGCTCGTGTCCCTGCAGAATTTGTGTATATTCAGCAGAACTGTATACCACACTGTACTTGTAGCAGTGAGGTTGTACCATAAAAAGCACATAGAGGAAGAAGAGGAGGGAGTGCAAATATATATATCCAGATTTGGATTGAATCATGGCTAGGTAGAGGATTCTTACAGTTCATAAGCAAGTAGTGAATGAGAAGAATGGTTTTGTGCACAGCAGGGCTGTACTACTTAAAACTAGAGGTCAGAGATCATATGCTTGAATGTGCCATTCCTGCATATAGAAAGCAATATATCAGGGAGAAATGCCTGACTAGCTGTCTTCCAGAAATACTGTTTTGTTTTTGGTTTTTTTAACTGTGAGAACATCAGGATGCAACAAGAGCTCTGCTGGATAGGCCAAAGGCCCGTCTATTCCAGTATCCGGTTGTCAGAGAGATGCCTACTGAGAAACCACAAGCAAGGCTTAAATGCAACAGCACGCTCTCCTGCTGCAATTCCTAGCAACTTGTATTCAGAGGTATACTGGCTTCTACAATGGAGGGAGGACTTAACTAACATGAATTTGTTTAACCTTCTTTTGAAGTCACCAAAGTTGATGGCTATCACTACATCCTGTGAGAGTGAATTCAATAGTTTGAAGATGCACTGTATAAAGAAGTATTGAACTATTCTGAGAGAGGGAGAAACACTCTCTCCTTTCTACATCATGCAAAAGTTTATAACTTCTAACATGCCCCCCTTTGCTTGTCTTTCCTCTAAACTCAAAAGGCCTTTGTCATACCAGCACCAGGAGTCATGCCAGCATGCAGAACCCATAGCTGCAACCAAAGGAAATGTTTTACCATGTGATTTGCTGATGTATAAATTCCATCCCTACTCCAAAGCAGCACAAAGCCAAGATAGAATTTTTATTCCCTTTATGTCAGTTCCATATATCAGGTTTGCAGTATACTAACTTCCATAATTTCAGCAAGAGGTGACCAGATCTTTATATCTGTTCACATGTGTTAGTACCAGTCACCACGTTTAGTCTTTTCAGTCTAGACTGGACCATACTCCCTGCATCTATGGCTTGGACATTACTTAGTTTGAAAGAATTTAAATAGTATTGATTGAGGATTTTGTTGTCCCATATTAAAAAGAAATGCAGTCATGATTCTCCTTACCAAATGTCAGTTTGACTGTTCGCAGGCTCTTCAAACAATGTGCAGCTGTCAGCACCCAGGTGGGGTGAATGAGAACACCACCACACAAAAATCTGCCTGCACTATTGCTCAGCATAACCTGCAACGAAGAAGAGAAAGAAAGCTATTGACTTCATTCATCCATCCTTGACTGCGTGTGTCCAATACATCTGACTTAGGTTCCTCCAGATGAGCTATTTATGCAGCATTCCTCCTGACTTGCTTGCACAAAGCTTCTGTGGAGTTTAGATTGTATCCGACCTTTACTGAGCATTTGTTCCAATTTGTTTGTGGGAAGGTTATATGAGCATTCATCATCATTCATTTATTCTGATTTACTTGCAAAGTGTTTATATGTCTTCCCATTAATCATTTGTTCATCCCACACTTTTCAATGCATTTCCTAACTGCAAAAAGTCTGTTTCTTTTTAAAAGTAGGCTTGTTGTGCTAGGGCGACAGAACACTTTAATTCACTATAATTGTGCAAACCTAAAATTTTCAGTATGCGTATGAATTCCACCAGCAAAATACTGACAATCTGGAGGAATCCCCCATATACTCAAGTTGCTGTTCTAGGTCTAGAATGACAAACATTTTCATATGGCTTTCTGATGCACATCATAAACTTACTTACAGAGATTGATGCATTAAAGTCTTTGGCAAAAACTGAGCTGGTTCCAAGTACTGCATCCACCAGTGAAAGCCAGGACAGGAGAGGGTAAAAAAAGAGTACTTACCTGAAGAAATAATACATACAGGTGGGATCAATGATGATATGAGCAGCCAGAAGTATGAGAACAAGGCCTCACCAGGGGGTCTCTGAAAATAAGAGACACCCCTGGGGTTCTGACAATCATTGAGACTGACAGAAGCAGCAGGGCCTGACAAACCCATTCAAAGGCTGAATATTTTTATTAGTTCTTACCTGCCAGGGACTCTGTCCTTTTCTTCCAGGTGTTCCCCCAATTACTTTAGCAGTCTTATAGTTGAAATTATGGACTTTTCCACAGGCAAACTCCACTGTAAAAGAAAGAAAAAAGAAAGGCAAGATGAAGGATAACCTAGGAAGGTCTGTACAATTTCTATCACTTTACGTCAAAAAGAATCCAGCCCAGCCTTCAAAGCTACTTTGCTGATTTCTGGAAGTTGCATAAATTATCTAAGCTATCTCCTTCCCAATTTCTCATTAGCTCAAGCTGTGGGAAATCCTGAATTCTTTTGGCTTTGTAAGTAATCTGTAGCAATAATATAACACACTAAAATGTTTTAAGTTGTGTTTGTTTGTTTGTTTGTTTAACTCCTTTGGTACCTTTGAGGCCAGAACTAGATGTTATGCCAAAATATACAGAATCTTAGCCTCTTTTATGCCAAATAACAACATTTTATTGTTCATATGTTTGCTGCTGTGGGCTTCCTTGGGAGGAAGGGTGGGATATAAATCTAGTAAATAAAACAATAATACATTTATTATATGATCTGTTGGGTTCATGCATGTGAGCGGTCCCCCCGCCACCAGCATCCATACAATGTTGTCATCAGAATGCCGTTTAACCCAGAGTTACCCTTTCAGGGGGAAATCAAGTAAGTAAAAAGAACAACATGACAACCTGGTGTCCAATTTTCGGTTCTCAAATCGAACCTCCACTTGGAAGCATCCACAATCCAGAGAATGTGAAATATGCCTCAGAGCCATTCAACATCTGCATGTTAGTTTAACTTTAGGTCTTTTTGTGTTCATGCGACTATTTTAATTTTAATCTATAAGCTGTTATTGTTTATTGTATATTGCTTTAAATATCTATTTTACTCTTGTGAAAGCAGTCTCAGTTGTGCTTCTGAACTGGTCTTTGACTGTAATAATAAGTTATTATTACTAACATGGTGGTAAAATTCTGGACTCTACCACTTCAGATTGCATGAGGACTTTAATAATTTTCAATGCACCCATTTTTTTAAAAAAATCTAATTGCATATTGTACATAACCTGTCAGGAGATATTTCTAGCAACAGCCCATCACCCGAATGTGCCAATTTACCACATGCAGGGAAGTTGTTGTTCTTGTTATTAATAGAAACATGGGGGAAGACATTACCCCACCTGAAGATGGTAGAGTCCAGAAATCTACAACCTAATTTTATATGTATTATTATTAGGTTTTTCCTCTCACAGGGTGACCCAAATTAAAGACATCCAATAAAATTCTAAAAACACAGCTATACAGATAAAAGGCAGGACATACAGATCCCACTCTACTAAAGGCCAAAATGCCACCCTTCTTTTAAATCTAATTTCAGCAGGGAGAGGGGACACTGTGGACTTCAGGGGAGACCTCTGTGGACACCTGTGCACATGCCAGCACCATGTTGGCAACTACTGCCCTAGTACACATGTTTAGGATGCCATGGAACTTATCTAAGCATGAGCTAATTCCTATTTGCAAAATGGCAGCCCCCCCATCTAAGCGCATTGTACTTCCTGAATATATACACTCCCCACACTCTATTGTTGTACTGTGTATTTTGTGTCTATGGACCACAATAAAGCTGTGTGTGTAAAAAAAAAAAAGTACCGTATTTTTTTTACACTCTCACAGCAGCATAACATGGGTGGTGGGTACCTGGCATCCACTTGAGTTGGCTCCCTCATTTTGCCTAAGGGTAGGACTGCCCTCATTTCCTTTCTTGTACTTCATAGTAACAATTAAATACCTGTGAATACAGCTAGAGAGGCAATACTACTTAATAGTATTTAGAGGCCCAGTATACCTGAAGGAGCGTCTCCACCCCCATCATTCAACCCAGACACTGAGGTCCAGTGCTGAGGGCCTTCTGGCGGTTCCCTCACCGCGAGAAGCCAAGTTACAGGGAACCAGGCAGAGGGCCTTCTTGGTAGTGGCGCCTGCCCTGTGGAACACCGCCCCCCACTTTCAGATGTCAAGGAGATAAAGAACTACATAACTTTTAGAAGACATCTGAAGGCAGCCCTGTATTGGGAAGTTTTTAATGTTTGATCGTATTTTTAATATTCTGTTGGGAGCTGCCCACAGTGGCTGGGGAAACCCAGCCAGATAGAGGAGGTATAAATAAATTATTATTACTATTACTACTACTACTACTACTACTACTACTACTACTACTACTACTACATGGCTATTCCACTATGCCACAGGCCACTGTACAGGAAGAATGAATGTGTGTGGGGGGGGACCCAAAAACCTGATATTGCAAAGAGACTGAATTATAAAATTATGCCTTAAATAATGTGGCTGCCTCTGATTTGAAAAGCCAAGCTCGTGCTTATCCATCTTTCTTACCAACAGGTTCACAAGAAGTATAATTATCAGCCAGCCGATAGCCTGAAGCACAACTGCAGTAGCGGTACTGGTCATTGTCTTGTTGGCCCTCATTACAGAAATGTTCACAGCCACCATTGGAAATTGAACAGTTGGTGTAGTCAACCACTGGGCATCAAAAGAAGTAAAGTACATGTTGAAAGGAGGCAGTCCTTTTCCTTGAAGGAGCTATTTATGTCACTCGACCTTCTCCTCTTAAACTGTGCAGAAACAGAACTATTTGATGACCGAACTTATTCTTTTCATTATTGAACATTTGTCTCCTTCCTCTCTTATGACAAAGCATTAACTTTCTGTGCTGGAAATAATGACTTCTCCTCGCAGTGAACTACTGGGGAAGAAAATCCAAACTCAACAGGAGAACAAACTTGACTGACTGTGCTGCAGTTGGAGATAGGGGAGGAATTTGATTTACTGTATTTTTCGCTTTATAAGACACACCCGACCATAAGACGCACCTAGTTTTAGAGGAGGAGAACAAGAAAAAATATATTCTCTCCCTCTCTGCTCGGCGCCTCTCTAGCGGAGCGGCAGGAGAAATGGAGCCCCTTCCATTTCTCCTCCCACTTCGCTGAAGGGGCGCTGCGCAGAGAGGGAAAGCCATGCAGCGCCTCTCCAGCGAAGGGAAGCCAGGAGAGCAAGAGTGATCGGTGCGCACCAATCCCTCTTGCTCTCCTGGCTTCAGCGAAAGCTGCACAGCCTGCATTCGCTCCATAAGATGCACACACATCCCCCCTTACTTTTTAGGAGGGGAAAGTGCATCTGATAGAGCGAAAAATACAGTAGTTTGCATTTAAAGGCAAAAACTACTGAATCCTCACTTTCCCAAACAATATGCAAACAGAAACATCACTGTGTGAACCTCTGTCACCATGAGCTGCAGATTCATAGCTTGTCCTTCCAAGCTCACCTGAAGCGAGAGGCTCCCCATTACAGGCAGGCACCCACCTAATGAGGGGCACCTTTGAACTGTGGGTCAGGCTAGGATCGGGTGGCTGTCAGATAGCTCAATCTGTAGTTTCAAAACTCTTCTCAGGCTGGAGAATTGCTTTCTACTTTTTAGTGGGTCTGTGGCTCCTGCCTCAATATAATACATACATAGATTTAACAGCCTATATATGAAGAAGCATGTTTACTGAATGAATTGGAATACCAGTCACAATATACACCTCTTACACTGAAGAAAGTTGCCACCACATAGCCCTTAGCAAACACAAACCTTTTGCTTATTTGTTTTTTAAAAGTGCCAAACAAGTAAGACCTTTCCCTCTGTATTGCTATACCCTGGGAACAGGCTGACACGCTACTAATGGTGGATTAGAGAGCTAGTACGTGTTGATAACTGAGCACCAGTAGTATGTTAGCCTGTGTGTCTCCTGTTCATGGAGGGGAGGGAGTAACCTGACTGCAGGGGGAATGTCCTTAATTTCTCACTACTTAAAAAGAAAGAAGCGTAACTTTTCCATTTGCAAGTTCTGTAGTTAGTGTACATCAAGAAAGGGGCTTTAGAACAGCATGCATATTCTATACAAAATTGTTGTATTATCAATCTGAACTCGAAGGAATAGAGAAACCCCTTACACAAGAACAACAGTTGCATTTTGATAGTAAAATGGAGAATTGAAGATTATATTACCATATTGGCACTGGCGCCCCTCCCAGCCTTTGTTACAAATGCAGTCAAATCGTCCAATGCCGTCTTGACAGGATCCATCGACACATGGACTGGATTCACACATATCTCCATCTGAAAACACATTGGCAGGGAAACCCAGACCATATACCGTATGTCTCTTTGCAAGGGAAGAGTTAACTACATCACCCTATTGTATAAACTTGCTTTCTTGGTTATGCTTCATCTACAGAAAATATTAGCAGACACAAAAGCATTAACTTGCTTAGGACACAGGGGAACTTTACAGTGAAATTCTGCTTCCAGGCTACAGAAATAATAGGCTAATCTGTGACCTCAGTGCTTGCCCCCAAGGGTTAAATTGTAGAGATCTTCCGGTGTGCTGCGAACCTCACTATTAAGGAAATGTGTAGAAAAGTCCTAATAAAACATATCTAAATATGGGGACACACAAATACACGATAGAAAAAGAGAGAGAGAGAGGTTCCCACTACACTCAAAGTGAAAATTCTTTTTTTTTATAATAAATTTTTATTAAATTTTTCCACCATAATAACACAAGCCACAAAGCAGAATAATACACAGAAACAGAAAAGGAAAAAAAGAAGAAGAAAGAAAAGGAAAAAAATGGGGGGAAGGGAGGGAACAATAGACAAATAAACAATAATAACAAACTTAATTCTTCACAAATCCAACTTTTTAAACATCTTGATTGACTTCCTCAAATCCCTCCCTTCTGAGTTTCCTTGTAATTTAAAAGTAACAGCTTTTCAATATCATTATTAAACTAAAACAATTTCCAATTATAGTCATCTTATTCACTTTTCTTGACATTCTGAATCCCATTTATTTAATTATAGGGGGTGAAACTTCTTACTTACCAAAGTACTTTGTCCAAAACTCCAGCTGAAAGAAACAAAATCGAGGTTAATATTTGAAATGGAGTCTTCTCCATGATTCGATATGGATTCTGCCACACAACCTTTTGGTGCAGATAGGAAAATCAACCTCCTTGGAACTAATTATTATTGGACACCACCTACCCAATTTGGCACAAAAAACATGACAGCTGAATAGATTCAGCATTTGGGGAAGCATATTACTGCTTTCCAGGGATGGCCGACCCAATAGCTTCAGTGAGGCAGTTGCCTCAGGTGGCAGGGCAAGCTGGGAGGGGCAGGAGATCAGGGCCCACAAGGAGCACACCGCTGCCATTTCCTGCATTTGCCATTCACACCTGCCACTTGGAAAAGCGAGGCCACAGCTACCGCCACCTGTACCTCTCCAACCTCTTTTTTTCTCCCCCACTGCCTACAATGTGCTGGGGCTTCCCTGGCCTGCATCTAGTCACCTCAGGTGGCAATGGGGGGGGCGGGGGCGGGGAGGAGGAGGAGGAGGTGGCAATGGCAGGGGACGCCATTTTCTGTTTTACCTCAAGTGGCAATGGGATTCAATGCTTAGTTCCCAGTCTTTAGCAATAACTTACTGTTGCTTCCTTGGTTTCAAATATTTCACTGGCTTCCTCAAAATCACATACTTCCTCTCGGCATTCCCGTTCCAATGAGCCCTGCTTTAATTCTTCCAAAAAACTATTTGCCCGCTTCTGGATTTTCAGCACTTGGTTTGCTTCTTGGCTGCTATAAAATACTTCAGGCAGAAAACAAAACAAAAATATCCATCTGGGCCATTTATAGCAACATCATGCTATCTGCAGATACTTATTCACAGTGTATTCCCCATTTATTTTATATAATGGATGTAGAGGAGAGGGAGAAGAGTTTTTAAAATAGTAAACACTAAATACTGAGGGATTATTAAAACTTGGAAAGGAGAAAATAATGTTGACTTTAGCAGTTTATTTATTAGTCACTTTTCAGGGTTAAACCCTCACAGAGAGATGTGACTGTGAGAGAAATAAAAGGAATGGAACAGCAATCAGAGTATGAAGCACTGAGTGAATGGAGTCAAATAGACATATGAAAGATGCTGAATTAGATCACCAACATTCTCTTAAGGGAAGTCAACAGTGAAAAATGTTTTTAAGGTCTTGGATGCCAGACCTGAAGGGGCCAGGGAAATATTAACTGAAAAGATGTTTCACAACTGCAGGGCCAACACCAGGAAGGCCCTGCCTCATGTGTTCACCAACATAACCAACTTCACCAGTGAGAAGAGACATATGGGTAAAAGCAATCTTCAAAATAATCCAGTTACAAACTGTTTAGGGCACCAGCACTCTGAACTAGGCCCAGAAACACACTGGTAGCCACGGCTATCAGAATGGTGTTGATGAATGCTGGGGCCTACCTAACAATGCTTTGCAATGAGATATACTCTATTGTACACCCCTCCTTGCCCAGACTGGCTTCCATGTCAAGTGAAAGCACCCGCATTCTAACTCCCTATGTAATCTGAAACTATTTTGAAGAGAATTCTATAGAGAGAGAACGCAACTGTCTCTGGGGCTTGTGCCCTTACTATCGTACCCACAGAAATTTCATAGGACACAGTGTATTTGATAAAGAGTAATGCAGGAAAGAAGAAGGATATACCTGAGCCTTCATGTCCACTAGGCAATATGAAGGCAGCTGAAAACACCGAGAGGGTAAAGATTCTCCACATTGCACAACACATCACACACCTAAGAGAATAACCACAGAAGATCTGACCATTTGTTTTAAGGAAATACAAGCTCCTATAACACTATATATTTGTATTCAGATTTAATACCGTTCCACATTTATAACTGTTATAGTTTACACAGGCATATATAAAGTATGGTGGACAGTTTCATACAATGTACTCTACAGACATTGGAACATTTTTTCCACAGCTACCACTCCTGATCCCATTATATATTTAACTAAATTATGTTTCACCTTCACAGTAGCACATTCATTCTCCTAAAAAACCCCCAATTCTATGCAAAACACAAAGTTGCTTTACTGTCTTTAATATCATTGTGTGTTCCCAAAGTAAAAAGAACACCACACTCATGTATTTGGGGGAGAACGCCACACTAAATGTACTGCTGTTTCTCTTTCCAGATTTCCCACTGTTATCTCTCCCACTTTTTACCTCTTCTGTTTTTGACTAGGTTAAAAAAATGTTTTAAAAAGGAGAATTAGTACTGGAAAAAACCCTTCCAAAAGACTTACTGATTTCACCAGCTGAATCACAGTTGTCTACTTTTCTGCCATCAGACTCTGAGAATGCTAGTTAATCCCTAACCTCAAATATTTACTCAGACACACACTCAGAGAGCCTTTGTTTCAGTCAAACAAAAACTGCTTCTATGGTATTTCTACAGAGCATTAAGGAAGACCAGGAATCACTTGCTTTCAAACATTTCTCCCCCCTCTCTGGCCTTTTTCTCCAATTAAAGTAAATGACTAGCTGAAGTAAATGTTAGCATTCCATGAACACTGCTATGCTCATAATCCTTGTGGGATTTCCTCCTTCTTAGAAGAAAGAAACCTAATCCACTTCATTTCCATTTTAATCATTTGAAGTTCCATCTTTATCCACCAAGCAATTTCAAGTTGAAACCAGAAGGGAGCACTAGAGAGCTACAATTGTCCATTTACATCCTTTCCCTCAAGGCATTGGAATGGCACCCATGCCTGTGAAAGGATGATGTTGGTGTACTGGTCTCTGTTTTGTCCTTCTTCCCTCTCCTGGTGTTTTTATTGCCTTCAAAACAGTTTACCATTTTATTTTGGTTCTCCTATCTACTATGTTCACTTGTTCAGTGTTTTGGCAAAGGAAAGCCCCCTGTTGAATTTTCACACAGCTCTTATCACTAGTAAGCTGATCTTAAGTGTTTAGCCAAAATCTGTCCCTTTGCAATTTCTACCCATTAGTTTTAGTCCTGCTCTCTTCTGCATCACAGAACTTCAGGTATTTGTAGTCGGCTATCAGGCTTCTCCTAAAACTCACCTTCCCTGAGATAAAGATAACCTTCTCCTTCAACCATTCCTCACACAACCTTGTTTCCAGACCCCTCACCATCCTGACCATTGTTAATGTTCTTCTTTAAATGTGATACTCAGAACTAGACATGGTGCTCTGGAAGCAGACGGGCCAATGCAGAACAGAGTGGAAATGCTACTTGGGATCTGAACACTGTGAAGGCAGCTGCATCATATTGCTGGCACCTAGATCTCTTTCACATGTACTGTTACCAAACCAGATCTGTTCCATTCTATACTTGTGCCGTTGACTTTTAATACCTTTTACATTTCTCTCTGTAGTGTTTAATCTTAATAGTTTTGGCCCAGTGTTCCAGCCTGACAAGATTATCCTGAATGTTGGTTTTGTTTTCTATACCTCCCAGCTTTGCATCATCTGCACAGTTGGTAAGCACCCTCTCTACGCCATCATCATTTGATGTTGTGCAGAACCAGGCCAAGGATTGAGCACTGTGGCACTCCATTCAGGACCTCCCCTCCTGGCTGATGCAGAGCCATGAACACTCACTGGGAATGGTTGTTCAATCAGCCTCAGATCAACCTATAAGTAATACTGTCCAGCCTACATTTTAATCACCATGTAAACAAAGATGTGGGATGCGGGTGGTGCTGTGGGTTAAACGACAGAGCCTAGGACTTGCCAATCAGGAGGTCGGTGGTTCGAATCCCCGAGATGGGGTGAGCTCCCGTTGCTCGGTCCCTGCTCCTGCCCACCTAGCAGTTCAAAAGCACGTCAAACGTGCAAGTAGATAAATAGGTACCGCTCCGGCGGGAAGGTAAATGGCGTTTCCGTGCGCTGCTCTGGTTCGCCAGAAGCGGTTTAGTCATGCTGGCCACATGACCCGGAAGCTGTATGCCAGCTCCCTCGGCCAATAAAGCAAGATGAGCGCCGCAACCCCAGAGTCGGCCACGACTGGACCTAATGGTCAGGGGTCCCTTTACCTTTACTAAACAAAGATATAATAGGAAATGCTTTACTGTTCTCACAGTATTGTTGCACACCACCCCAATCTCCAAGTGCTGTTAAGATTCCAGAGGTTCTAGGCACTTACCCAGGGTAGTCTTTCCTTTTGGAAAAGAGGCAGAGTGGAGACTGTGGTGTCTTTATGATATATGGAGGCTACAATGGAGGAGCTCACAGCACCAACACCCCAAGGAGGTCTTGTTTCTCCCAAACATACATCAAACTTTGCTCTTTAACTTTGTTCTCCTCCTATCTCTCCAGCTTGCTGCTTTCCTTCCTAGGTCACATACCGTAACTACTCTTCTCTGGCTTTAACTGTTGAGGGAGTGGCCCCCACCCATTTGCTGCCTCACACCAAGCCCCTTAATACCCCTTAATGGCCCCTCACCCAGGTTATCACCCTCAGAGGCAGCTACCTTGGCTGTTCCAAAAATTAAAAACCTTGATTAAATTCTAACACTTGCTTGATCCAAGAAATAGGAGAGCCCGGCACACATCTTAACAGCCCAAACTTACAACACTGTTTTCACTATCTACCAAACCCGTAAACCTTTCTCTAAAAAGAGAGACAAGAACATTCATTGGGCATGACTTATTCTTGATCAACCCATGCTGGCTCCTGGAAATAAATGCATTATTTTCTATATGCTAATAAAAACCCTCAATTTGTTTGTATTCAATGATGGAAGCAGGTAGACAAATAGAAGTGGGTACTGAAACCATTGCAGTCAGGAGAAACAAATGGTAACCAACAGGATAGTGGAATTTTTAGAAAGTATTGTCCTAAAGATTGAAGTGAGTGAATTACTTGGTACAACCAGTTACATCTATATAATGATCCAGTTACTAATACTGGATCCAGGGTAGGATTATGAAAGGTCATACTCCATCCTGGTCTGCATGGAAGTCTTGCTTTGCTAAAGGGCCATAGATGCAACATCTGGAACCAATGGTCAGATTGCACAAGGCATCCTCACTCATAAAAGGGTTGCTCTTGACATTCGGTGACCATGGCATGCAGGAAAAAAAGTGAATATGCATTAAGCATCAGTGAAATGGCTTGCAGAAGGGAGCTTCTCAGCAGTATGAGACACATTGAGCCTCAGGAGTGACATGCCTCATCCCAGGACATTTAAGAGTGACAAAGAGGAATCAAATGAAGCACCTTGTGATGATGGCCCAAGTATAAAGCTTTGCCCTTGGCACTCTCTCTTCCAGTCACATGTTGAAAGCAAGGATGCCCAAGACATAGGAGGCAACAGCTCTGAATGGTAAAGTCAGACTGCACAAGTGACCCGTGCCTCTACTTCTAAGAGCACCTCTCCCAATATCAACCACCTCACATCCTTCCACTGGTAGGTGAGGCCTTGTTGGTGGTGCTACCACTGGGGGCTGTCTGGTTTGCACTGACCTGTTAAAGGCCTCTTCAGTGGTAGATTCCTGCTTGTCAGATGTCCGTCTCCTTCATTATCGACTTGCAGGAAGAATTAGAAAACATTCCTGTTTACCCAGGCATTTGACGGCTGAAAAGATACTGTTCCCGAAAAACCCTGAAATCACTGGCTGAGAGAATGCAATTATTTGTAAACTGTTTAAAGACTGTTTTTAATGATAATTGTTTTAATGTGTGTGATCCCCTGGACTCCTTTGGGAGGGTGGATGGGATATAAATTGGATACATAATAAAGTGGGGTGCATCTTACCACATTAAGATTTTGGTATATACCATTCTTAAACTTCGTAGTTCATTGTGGAAAAACTGGCTTAATGCATCAGTGCTGTGCCTGATTACTCCTCAGAAGAGCAGGTTCCTGCTACAGTGCCATAAGTACAAGTAGACAAAAAGCTGTCCAAGGTAGGTCAAAATGAGTCCTAATGAAGGTAGTTAAATGTTTATGGACAACTTGCAACACCTCACCTCATTCCTCTTGTTTCTATTCATGACTTACCTCAATTTTGTTTACATGTTTATGGTACTCTCATAATGCATCTTGTATGATGGGCAACAGTCACAAGAAGAGAGGGATATGCCAGCTCTCATTTAACAGTCATTCTGTACCTCTGTCTACTTCTCACTGTTAGGTGCAAATTAGCCGTATGTTATGGCTGCAGCCCTTGTAAAGACAGAGATAAGAAATAATATTTATTGGAGATTTCTGTGTATCCTAACATCTCAATTACCAGAGTTTCCTGGGGTGGTGATGAAAAAATATGAAAAGGAGGGGAAAGCCTTAAAGAAAACAAATGTTTTTGTATGTGTCTTAGTTTCTAAAGAAGGAAAAGTTCTTCTGAAACCTATTGGGGATTTTCTACAATAAACTTTTATTTGGGGCACTTGGACAACCCTTTTCTCATCTGTTTTACTGATATGAAAATATGGAATATTGAGGCTTTAAAGCAGAGGTTGAATCGCCACCTGTCATATATGATCTAGCTGAGATTCTTGCGTTGCAGGGCGTTGGACCAGATGATCCTCGGGGTCCCTTCCAACTCTACAATTCTATGAGTCTTTGATTCATGCCAGTGTGGTTAGTGTTGGCCTAGGACTGAAAAGCCTGGGTTCAAATCCTTGTTTAGGCATGAAGTGCTGTGGGTGGTATTAAGCCAGTCACTCCTCTCAGCCAAACCTATCCCATAAAGTTGTTGTGAAGATAAAAATGGAGATGAAACCATATATGCTACCTTGACCTTCTTGGAGGAATGGCAGGGTATAAATCTAATCTAATTAATAAAGAGAAAACCCAAAGGGACAAGATATACTCTCAAGTTCTCTGTTATGCAGAAGACTACCAAAAACTACTAAAATCAGAATGATGGTTTTATGGTTTTGACCATGAGGTTTTAAACATATAAGAGTTGTATCCAATGTTGTGAGCAGACCCTCTGAAATTAATGAACATTGTGAACTTGAATTCATTAATTTCAATAGATCTGTCAGGGTAACATTTAGTTGGCTGCAACCCATATATTGCCAATTCAGCAAAATCAGCTGGATGAAATATAGCTATAATACCAAACACAGAAAATATATTTCTTCACTTGAAAATAAACTCCCCCTGCACAAAGTTTGGGATTGGTCTCATTTTTTTACAAGCTGCTATTAAATTCTATTCCCTGCTTGATAAACATAGCAACAGATCCATTATTGATAGGAAGCTCAGAAACAGGATTTTCTTTATATACAAGAACAATATATTTACAACAATCAGCTGCAAAATATGTACATACAAGAGGTGTCTCCATGGTAATCACTGTATAAATTAAAATAATAAATAGCACATTCTATTCTTAAGGCACGAAACCTTCTTCCCAAGACTGTACAGGATTGAAATGCCTCCCTATGCTTTTGACAGATCACCGGAATGGTTACAACACCCCTGAGGGAACAGTCATCAGTGGACAACAATACAGACATCAAATGACTTATAAAAACATTTTTCTTTCTTTTCTTCTTTTTTTTTTTTTACATCACAAATATCTGTTAAGATACAAGGAGTTTTGTGTAAACAGTATTTAATTTACCACACATACTATATTCACCTTTAAATAATACTCAAAAAAACAATTTTAATATGATATAGGTGGTCAGAGCTTTTCTTTTCAAGAGATACTGGCACTAAGTGCCTCTTTACAGTTCCTAT